AAAATCAAACACAGATCCCATTTTTCCAACTTTATTTTGTGTGAAGGAGAAAATGGAGCTCTAATTAGTGACTGTTTCCGGGGGTTGAATCCCAGTGGCAGACCGAACACCCCTGTCTCTCTCTCTCCTCAGTCTCAAATCTTTTAAGTTTGGCAGAAAAAAAAACCCCATATATTATAAAAAAGAAAAATCCAGAACAGTACTGGAAAACAAGAAAAAATGCCACAGGGGGTCTATAACTCTGAAGAAATACCGAAAAACGGAGAACAGGTGGGAGAGAAATCTACCGTCCATGACGTGCACGAGGGGAAGTTACTGCAAAGAGCTCAGAGCCAGATAAAGGCAGAATGAATACACGCTGAGAAGAGGAAGAGGCCTTGGGGTTACATTTAGGGCGACTAATTATACAACATTCGGAACAGAACACCTGCCCGATTCCTTATTGTTTTACACAATTTAAAAATATTTTTTCTGTTACGGTTGACATTCAGTACTATATTAGTTTGTGGTTACAGCCCAGTGGTTAGACATTTATAAAACTCACAAAGTGATCTCCCTGATGGATACATGTTCCTCACACCTTGTCTAACAGTTATATTATGATTCCCAGACATGGAGCACAGAGAGGTTAAGTAACCTGCCCAAGGTATTCAGTGACAAAGGAGAGCTCATCGGATCAAAGCCCAGTTTCTGACTAACACCTGATACCACGTCTCATATACCAGTGTTCATATTTTTATGACATAAAGGAGTCTTAAAAACGATCAGGCAAAAGTCAAACATTCATGTAGAAAAAAAGCAAAAGATGTAAACAGGCCCTTTAGGTCAAATGTGCAATAAATAAAATAAAAAAAACATGGCAACTCACTAGTAGTTGAAACTGCAAATGACAACAACTGAGTAACATGTCTGCCTATCCAATCAACCAGGATAGAAAAGAATAGCAATAGTCACAGACCCTCCTGGTGCACATGCAAACATTCTGAACCTTCTGGAGGCTAACTTAGTAATCACGGTTAAATGTCTTCAAATACGTCTTCCCTTAAGTCCCAAATTCCACTTCTAGGAATTGATTTCAGGGAAATAATTATGGATATGCTTAAAGAAAAAAAAATATATAAACAGTTTACAATACAGTCCCGAGGAGATTAAGTGTACTCTCCTTATTTTCCCTTTTCCACCAGCTTCCCAGCTATCCCTTGTCACCTGCACAGTGGATAATGAATGGGTTGCTGTTTGGGGAGGGCAGGATCGCGGAGCAGGGATGAGGAGGGTGGAGAGCCAACCTTGTCCCATACACACCAACAGGCAAGAATTCAGGGAAAAAAGAGCTGAGCTGTGAGTGCACTTCCGCCCTAGGTCTGTCCCTCTGTTTAGCAGTCTCCTATTAAATCCCACATTCCTTCTTCAGCTTTAGAAAACACAGTGTTACAAAGGAGTGGGCCTCACAGTTTAAACAGTTGGGTTCCACCCTGCCACTGCTGCCAGGAAATGATGAATAAAAGTCCCATCGCCAAACATGAATAAAACAGCCAAGCCGAAAACCTACCTGGCTGCTGAGTTTCCCACCTGCTCCTTCCCCTTCCTAGGTGCGGAGGCCAGCCAGGGGTCGCTCCCGAAGGCCTGGGAGAAAGGCAGGCAGGCGGGGAGAAACCGTGGGTGAGGCAGGAAGTCTGTGCTGGGCACAGGCAGCAGCAGCGAAGGCCTGGCTTCAGAGGAAAGAAAAGTGAAACTATTTCGAGCAGATCGTGCAGGAAGCTGAAGGCTGTGCCTGCAGCCTTGCTCCACCCCCTAGAAACTTGGAGATTACCCAGTGCACAGCGATGGACAGGCCCAGGAGGGGTTACAGACGGGGAGGAGGTGTAAGGGTCCAGATCCAGGGTCCAGGGGAATTGAGGAGCCACCAGGGGTCTGCTTCCTTGCCCACCTCTATTTCCCATGACGTCGTTCTGTACTTTTGGGGTGAGGAGCATGTTCTACCACTGCATTGTGGTGATGGTGATGGTGACACAACTGATACATTTACTAGAAACCGTCCGAGTTTAAAAATCTAACAAGCAATTAAAGGGGACGTGAGGTGGCTCAGAAATGCCTGTAATTTGTCAGGATAAAATCATTACCTAAGAAAACTGAAATACAGGGAACCCGAATATAAACTGAAGTTATGCAGAGGTAGGCAGCCCTCCAGGCTGGAAGATGACTGGGAGCTAGGCAGGCAGGGGGGCGTGGGGAGAGTGTGGAACCACAGCTAAGACAGAGACCACTCCATCACCCCCGGAGGTGCCTTCTGCTGGTGTCTCCCCTGCCGCCCCAGCATCAGGCAACCCTGCTCCTCTCTCTGTCACTACAGATGGGTTCTGTCTGTGTTCAAGTTTTATGTCAGTGGAAACACACAGTGTGTGCTTTTTCATCTATGGCTTCCTTTGCTCGTTACCATACTTTTGAGATTTATTTCCGTTGCTACAAGTTGGTAATTTATCACTCTTTAGCAGGTGTGCTGGCCACCTCTTGCTCATTCTGTCTGATCATCACGATGTTGTCGATGTAATCAATCAGTCTGATGGTCTATGGGATGTCCAAGTGATCCAGGTATCTTTGAACCATATTATGACAAGGGGCAGGTGAGTTAAAGTGACTCCTAAACAAAACTGTAAATGAGTACTCTGATCTGTCGTGTGAGAATGAAAAACTGTTTCTGATTCTCCTTTCTAATCAGACAGGAGACGATACCTTTGCCAAATCAATGGCCCCACGCCATGAACCTGAGGCTGTGGGATGATGACCTGGGCTGGGGATCTTACTGCCTCAGCAGTAAGATCCTGGCCTGTTTTCTTATCTCGGTTCTCCAGCTTTCCCATGAATTCTGTGAGCTAGTGAATATACTTCCAAGAAATGGATGTTCTGCTGAGTTAGCCAGAGTCCATGAAGTTACTTGTACCCCCAAACCTCAACTGATTAAAAAGTTGGTACCAGAGAGCGAATTATAGGTAGCAGATCTTCACAGAAATGCGGTCAGTCTGGGCCTGGTTATCTGACCTAATCGGACGTAATGGTCGTGAACATCCCACAAGTGTTCCAAGATGGGGGTTTGCTGGCCTTTAGCAAGCAAGGGCAAGCTAGCAAATGAACTTATAACACCGGACTGTGATCAGGACTCTGCAGCTCACTCCCTGATTCCAAGTGCCAGGTATTGGCACATAAACCCAATGGAGAGAAGTCCTTCAGGTAGAAAGAAAACATCAGCTTGCCTTCAGAGATTATCACCCAGTTGGCCAAAATTTGGGAGGGAGACAGAGGAAGGAGGCAGGCCGGCGTTTTCTTACCCCATGGGTCCCATGCAAGGAAAAGACGACTGATTCTCTAGTGAATGTAGAGAAAAGCAAGGCAGTGGAAAATAGAACCTAAAACTCCAGCTCGTTGTTATCTGGGCTAATGCATGATACTGCAAAGTAGGGCTTTCTGACACACAAGAAAGGAACACCCCTTCAAGCCCAGTCTCACCAGCAGTCAACTGAGGAGCACCAAAGACTTTGTGCTTAGAAGCAAAAGAGACTGGCATGTTTATGTCACTGCCCAGCTCAGTGGTGGCCTGGGTCGGCCTGCTGCCTAGGGCAGAGAGAGAGGAGAAAGAGGGACACCAGGGTGACCATTGTAGTCTGGGCCAGGCTTTGTCTGGGCCACCATGGCCCGTAGAGGCTGAGAACCAAGAGGCTCAGCTTACCAGGTTCTCTGCCCTACATGGTCAGAAGGTAAGGAAAGAGGGAGGGAGAGAAGGAGGGAGAGAAGGAGGGAGAGATGAGGGACATGTGGGAGGGAAGGAGGAAGAGAGACGGGGGTGGGGGGGGGGTGAGAGAGAGAGAGAGAGAGAGAGAGAGAGAGAGAGAGAGAGAGAGAGAGAGAGGAAGGCATGTTTGTGTAGCAGCTGGTGGGCACATAGACCTCCTTGCCCACTCTCCTGGAATCTTTTGGTGGGAAAGAAAGAGCAAAAGTTGGCAGAGGGGTAGAAATCCCTGCCTTCTATATTTTGCAAACATATATATGCAAAACCTGGAGCACATTTACAGTGAGCCAGAAGAACCGGGATTGCTTCGCTTCCCAGTCCCCGCTGTGACCGAGGCCCTGGGTCCTACAGATACCCTGGTTCCTCTTCACTTCTGCCTTCGACCCATTGCCCTACCTGGATTTGTATCCTCTAGTTTCCGGTACCTATTTTATTTGCACATTGTTCCCATTTCTTTATTTTTCAACTTTATGTTGATACAGGGTGTTTTTATGCATTGCTTCAAATCCTTTACAGAATGAGGGCTGGGTGTAACTGAAAAAATTATGTACCAACACAAATGCGACACATTGGTTAATTAACTGGCATCATCTTGACGTTCAAGGCCAAGGTAATCTCAGTTCTAAACCTTCTCCCATCTCATGAGAAGCCTGTAGCTCTCCTCGAGATTTCAGTGACTAGCCGAAGTTCAGTTTTCTTCCTGGTAACTCTGGCTGCCTTTGGAAAGTGCTCCCATATTCAAGAAGTCTTAGAATTCCACACCAGGCTTCTGTGCCCAACCAAACCTGGTGCTCCCCTCTGCTTGCAGGAGTTGGGAGAGTTCTCTCTTAACGCTGGCCGCCTTCCAGAACTTGGAAGAGCATCTCCCCCATTTCATAATGCTGAACGTTTGGGCTGTCCTCAGGCCCAGGTCTGTGCACTGGGCCAGCCTCGCCAGCCTGAAGCTTGCCGCTGTGCCGGGCCAGCCCCTGGGCCTCAGAGAGGATCTGAAGCGTTTCACGTTCCTTCTCACCCCACCTCAGCAAGGGGAAGGACGAATGTGAAATTCTCTTAATCCCCATACAACAGTACTGCCTCGCCTCAAAACAACTTTCATTCCTTTGAGTTAATTGGACTTCCCCGCCAAATTTCCTTTGTGTGAACAAGTGGCCCCATCTCCCGCCAAGTTTTGTTTTGCTCCTCCTCCCGGGGCTGAGCACTGCCTTGAAGATTGGAGGAGGGACAGACACGTCACAGTGATCATAGCCATTTCACGTTTCTTTCACCCCTTGGGTGCCACTTCTGAAGGATCCTTCAGTGGGTAGCCATCCTCGTCCTCGTTAGAGCTCTGGGAAGGAAGGTGGCAGAGAGACAGGGCCAGTCTGCCCGACCAAGCGAGGTTCTAGTCCAGCTCCATGGCCCCAGGGGGCCAGCAGTAGAAGATGGCAGGTGGAGGCCGTGATCTCAGCTGCAGGTCAGTCCTGGCTTTCTCTGCTGTCCTTCATCTCTGGAAGGTCGGCATCTACCCTTGTTCGTTCTGTCTACCCAGCCTCGCTCCCCAGGTGTGCAAGAGACTGAGATTGCAAATAAGTCAACAAGGGGTGTGTCAGGTTTTTAAAATTAAAGTGGGGAAATTTAGGGCCGCAGGAGTCACACCACCATATTTCCTTACTTCAGCCACGCAGCTGGACCTCGCTGCAGAGCTCAGGGATTCCTCACAACCTTGACCCCTCTAATTCCCCGCACGCCTCCTCTATCCCCATCCGAAGGCAACTCTCCCCAGGAAAGGTCTTTTTAGAAAAACTAGCATCCAAATCAAATGCCTGACTATTGTCAAATGTTTTCTAGTTTCCTGGTAGGCTGAGAACCAGTTTTATTCAAAGTATGCGAGTCAGTTCAGTGCCTCTGACACTGAATAGGAGGAAGTGAAAATAGGTGGGGCCCAACAAAGATTGTACGACCGACCGTGTGGGGAGTGAGCATTGATTTTTTTTTCTCTGGGATGTGTTACCCATCTGGTTAGAGAAAGATGCAAGTTGTTTTTTAAAAATGCAAGATAAAAAAAAGAAATAAAATATAAATAAAAAAAAAAAGCAAGATAAATACACCCATATATTCTTGTTGGTAAAAAATGAAAACCGTGTACAATCCTGGACTCTGAGCTGGGGATATGCCTGGCACTAGCTGGGTACCAAGAAGGCCACTGTGAGGGTGGGGTGATGCTGCCCTCATAGAATGAGTTAGGAGGTGATGCCCCTGCTTCTGTTTTCTGGAAGAGACCATCGTTGGAATACTTTAGTAGAATTAACTAGTGATACCATCTGGGCCTGGTGCTTTCTTTTAGGGAGGGGCTAATAATTATTGATTCAATTCCTTTAATAGAGATAGGCTTATTCAGAGGCTCTATTTTTCCTTGTTGAGTTTTAGTAGTTTGTGTCACTTAAGAAATTTGGCCATTCATTTTTTAAAAATCAGATTTGTGGTCATAGTGTTGTCCATTGTATTGTTTCTTTATTATTCTTTCAATGCCCATGGAATGAATAGTGATTTTTTTTTGTTTCTGATGTTTGTAATTTGTCTTCTCCCTTTTTCTTTGTTAGCCTGATGAAAAGTTTGCCAACTTTATTCATTTTTTTTTAAATCACCTTTGGTTTCATTGATTTTTTTCTAATGTTTTCCTATTTTCAGTTTCATCAAGTTCTACTCTAACTTGTATGATTTCTTTTCTACCACTTGCACTAAACTTGTTTCTCTTTTTTCTCTAGTTCTCTTAGGTGGTAGCTTAGATTATTGATTTAGATCTTGCTTCTTTTCTAATAGATGCATTTTAATGCTATACATTTTCTTCTAAGCACATCTTTTGTTGCACCCCATAACTTTGATAAGCTGTGTTTTCATTTTTTAGTTAAATGTATTTTGAAGTTTCTCTTGAGAATTCTTCTTTGATCTTAGAAGTGTGTTGTTTAATTTCCAAGTACTCGGAGATTTTGCAGCTATCTTTCTGCTATTTCTACCTTAATTCTATTATCATATGAGAACATATTTTTTTAAATGGGTTGGCCAAAAAATCTGTTATATTTTTTCCATAAAATAAAAGACACATTTTTCATCTTCACCAATAACTTCAGTGATTTGGATATTTTGAGTATGTTGTCTATCTTCCACAATTGGCTTCTAGTGGGTAGAGGCCAGGGGTGCTGCTAAACATCTTCCAATGCATAAGACAGCCCCGCAGCAAAGAATTATTTGGTGGAAATGTCAATAGTACCAAGAAACTTTATAAACCACTTTTGACATGTTCAACCAGTTACAGTACCTTCTCCATACAATGTGCTAATCTTTTTTTGTGTTTCAATTGCAGATATTACTTTCTTGAAGTAATAAAACATAATACTCTGAAAATGATGCACGTTTTCTTCCATCTTTAATAGTAGAATGACTGCACAAAAATGCACCAACTTTGATAAGTTTTTTTTTCAAATGCACACTGATATGACAGCTGTCACAATACAATATAACAAAATTGTTTTGAATGAAGTTAAAGGCAACTAAGCACTACTGGAACCATTGTACAGAAAGGATGTAATGGAGTTTTTGGCCAAGCCAAGATGATTTCTCTCCTTTTAAATTTGGTAGGATCTGTTTAATAAGTCCAGAATGTGGTCTATTTTGGCAATATACCATGTGAGCTCAAGAGGTATGTGGACTTTGTTGATGTTGAAAGGAGAATACTATAAATGTCAATTAGGTCAAATTTTTGATTGATGGTGCTGTTCAAGTCAACTATATTCTTTTTTTTTAAAAGATTTTATTTATTTATTTTTAGAGAGGGAAGGGAGGGAGATAGAGAGAGAGAGAGAAACATCAATGTGCGGTTGCCGGGGGTCATGTCCTGCAACCCAGGCATGTACCCTGACTGGGAATCGAACCTGCAACACTTTGGTTTGCAGCCCACGCTCAATCCATTGAGCTACGCCAGCCGGGGCCTCAAGTCAACTATATTCTTACTGACTTTCTGACTGCTTAATCTATCAACTAGTATAAGAGGGGTAATGAAGTTGTTAAACAATATTAAAAAATCTGGTGGGTTTGGCTAGAAATAAATATAAAAATTTATTCAGGAATCTTGGAGTTTGCAAACTGGAAACATAGGGAAAAATCCAGAGGTGTTGCAGAGAAGACGAAAAGTTTAAGGTTATTACAGTAAAAAGTGTGTTCTTGAGAATTATCAGTCCTACATTCTTAGTTCTTGGGTTGGTTCAACCCTAGACTCTGAGCTGTTATCAGTCAGATGTTAGGATGAATGATGGTTACCAGGATGTCCAGAAGATGGGCACCAGGAAGTCTGGTACCTCCAGTGGCATGCATAATTAATGTCAGGGGTGTGTGTGCCCTTGTGAGGGTAACCAGAGGGTTATACGGAGGTCTAGATGTATGTCTTGGCTTTGACAAGGACTGGAAAATTCAAAAACATTTAAGTTCCCAGACTTCTTAAAACAAGAATGGAGTCTTTTCTCATGTCTCAACTTTCATGTCAATACTTTTAGTAGCTTTGTTAAAATGACTAATATTTGTGTATAGCTTATCTTTACTCCTTTTGCAAATTCTTCAACAACAGTAGTGGATTTATCTAGTTTTCCTTTTAGTTTATCAATTTAATTTCATGTATTTCGATGAAGTAGTAATCTGCAGTGTGGGTCAGTAGGCTGGAGACCAAATAGCTGAAGGTGCATCCAGTCTAAATGCAGTTTGGTGGGAGATTTCTTCTTATTCTGGGAGGCTGGTCTTCTAGTTCTATTCATGTTTCCAACTAATTGGATGAGGCCCACCCTCATTATGGAGGGCAAACTGCTTACTCAAAGTTTACCAAGTTAAATGTTAATCTTGTCTCTAAACACTCTCTTGTTCCTAAACATATCATATGGAGCATGATATGAACATTGATATGAATAATATCATGATTCATATGATATTGTGATATGAACCATCACAATATCATATCAATTCCTATAAAGACTGTAACATTTAAAAATTGAGTGTATTCCCTAGAGAATTCAGGCCAAAGTCTTTTTGCAATAGTTTTAATTAGCACAAGGTGAACCCTTTCACTTCTTTGTACAAGTCTTTCTCAAGCTCAGTGTTTTTTTTTTCTATTGCACCCTTGATTATTCTCTAAATAAATAAATTCCATTTCTTCTGGTCTCTCTGCAAGAACGCTATTTTACATGCTTCGGTCCTCCGTGGACTATCTTTCGTGGCTAAAGTCTTCCAGCTCCCACAAGCCTCTCCGAAACCCAGTGTCTACATTCACATCACGTCTTTGTTTTTCAGGCTGTTCACTGGGGACCAAAACCCAGGGGAGCAGAATGTGGAGGAGCAGCTTTTCTATGAGTTCATTTTCAGGTTCTTCAAAGAAAATAAGGTGGAGATTGCGAGTGCAATAAGGAAGCCATTTCCCCTTTTTATGTGCCTACGAGACCGAGGCCTTCTCCCTGAACAGCTGTTTGGAGTAAGTGAGGAGACTTGCCTCCTGGTAAAGAGCCCCTCATTGTATTATTGCAAACTTCAGGGGGCAGTGAGCCCCCTGAGTGTGGACCTTCACCGTCCTGTACCTGAGGAGGTGACAGGAGAAGCAGAGACCCAGAAAGCATTCTTCTTTCTGTAGTCAATGTTGGTGGAGGGACACGGGGATGGGGATGTGGTAGGATTGGAAGCGGGAACACTCCATAGGTACAGACCACGTCAGGTACAGCCATACAGTGCGACACAGGTCACTATAATGGATGCAAATAAGTGAGTTTGGTAACATTTCATTACAAAGTCCTCTTATTTTACACACTTGAATCTGAGATTATTGAAACTCACGGGGAAGTTGTGTCACATTAGGATAAATTTGAAAGCAGATGCTTACTGCCTTCTCTCCAAACTGTTTCTTGTTCTTTAGACAACTCTGGAGCCCTGTAGTGTACCTAAAGCTTAGCAGTGGGTCTTCCTAAGGATACTGAGGGCAAGTCTTCTCTTTATCTGTGAATTTTCATTGCCCTTTGGCCAGGTACACAGCAGGGGAGAGTGGTTGTCTGGTTTCCTGGGACTTCAGGCCAGATCAGTCCTGGGTGGAGGGCAGCAGGGTATTGTCTAGTCACTGAAATGGCCACCTATTACCAGTCAAGCCACTCCTGAAACCTCTTGGCCAGACTCTTACAGCCCCACGTGATACGCAACTTCGAACCCACTTTCATTCCTCAAAGTGGCTCTGTGAAGCGTACACACATGTCCAAGAGTAAGGTTCACAAAATCAGTCTATTTTCCCGGTGGAGAATATTTAAGTGGTCATCTAAATATCTGTAACATTGTAACATTTTTCAAGAGAACAAATGGTTTATTTACAATCTGAATATTCTATGACTCTGAACACATATCTACAAAGTTGTCTTTTCAATATGTTTAAGCATTTTCAAGAAGCTTGTATAAACCTGGTCCCCGTGGAGACAGTGGCATATAAAGTGCTCAGTGAGCTGGAGAAGAGATTTGACAAGACAGTTCTGGAGGTATTGTTCAGCAAGGTGAACCTGGAGGCGTATCCTGCTTTACTTGAGGTTTTCAGAAACTTCCAAAATGGTAATTATAGCTTTCCATGACATTTGGGGATTTGAGTTCATTTCATTCACTTATTCATTCATTCATTCATTCATTCATAATTAATATTTGATGGTTATTTTGGGTGATTGCTATGTGACAGGCATGAGATAAGACAGTGTACGTGACCTGAGGTTAACAAAGCCATCCCACAAATGATTCTTCAAGCAGGACCTGAATTGGGTGCTGAGAACCATAATATTTGAGTTTCTACTTTTATTGGGGTGGGGGAAGGAAGATTTGAATTATGATCTTTTGTGGCAAAGGAGAAAGCCCTGTCTCATATTTGCATTAATGTTCAAAAAGGAAAAGATTTCCCTTGTATTAGAAAATTTATCATTAAGTGAAGTTCTGTGCTAGCTTACTTCTCCAAACAAATAAGAGTCAGAAGAGACCATCAGCATATACCCATACACTAGGGAGGAACAGCCAGCAAAAGCTATAGAATGCCAAATGAATGAACTTAAGCATTCTGTGGCTAAAAAAGAGAGTGTGAGTGAGGGTGTTAAGAAGCTAATTCTGAAGAGGGAAGTCAGAGGAATTTTTGAGAGTCCAACACTCTGTTCCAAGGAATTTTAAGTTTAGTACGTGGGAGATAAAGCATCATTAAAGATTTTTAAACAGAGAACAAGTAAAAGGAGTCAGTGTAAAGAATGGGATGTGTTGGTTTGTGAAAGCTGTATTTTGATTGTAACAGGAGCCATCTCACTTCCACACTATGATATATCTAAGTCAGAGATAAAGAAATCAAGTACTCGTCACGAATTTCAAGGATGTCCCTGGGCCATGGGTACAGATGGAATGGCAGTTTTCTTTACTACCTACATCTTAGGGCCTCTAATTTTCTTTTTGGACTGTGGGGATTACCCTACCTTGGCCCCAGCACCCATCTCACAGGGGCTCCCTAGAAGGGATGACCTACCCCTTCGGCTCACTGCCACTGCAGGGGGAGGGGCTGGGACTGCACTGCTCACTGCCTGACCCAGTGCAGCTGCCCACCTGCCCTCAGGGGAGGTTGGGGGAGAACCTGCCATTCATGGGAGTTGTGGATCAGCAGCCTAAAGCCACGCTTTGGGAAAGGGGGCACGCAGGTGTGAAGAAGACCCCTCATTTTCAAAATGCCTGTGCGTGGAGACCCTGCTTTATGTTCTCTAGACTGCTGACCCACACAGCATTTACACACCATGTCCTCCTCCAGACTTTTCCTGGGCATGAAGTCAACATGTCGTCATATGGCAAATGCACCTGCCATTCCCACAGGTCCTTTCTACCTTAACCCCCAATAGTGCCTTGGCCCCCCAGTGGGTTTGCGCACAGAAAGTCTGCTCCAGTTACCTGTCCTTCTAGACCGCCATCTTTCTGCATTTCTTGGGTGTTTTTCTCATGCCTTGTGGGGTCTGGCCTTTTCATCTGTTTTCTGAGTCACCTTGACATGCAGCTCTGAAGTAGGGTACCCTGGGCTGGTTTCCTGAACTTCTTTACTATGTCCTGGTACAACGGTTGTACATTCACTTCCTGTTTGTGCCTCTCAGAAAATACGTATTCCTGATTGTGCCTTCGAGAAAGTGTCTTTCCTTTGTTTGCTGGGTCCCTCCCACTCATTCCACCTTGGGAACATTTTATGTCCCTTTGTTACCAGATCATCTTGGGTCTCCTGTCTTAGATCTCCTGTCTTCCTTTCCTCCTTTTTTCTTTCCTTCTAAAAAAATCCCCCATCCTTAAAGATGTTGGTGCTTTCTTTTTTTTTTTAAATGTAGGTCTATTTCTCTATAAACATCACCTTTCTGCTGAAGAAATCAAACCTCTGGGCTTCTTCTGTATTCCTGTTGCATGTAGAATTTACAAAACACATTCCACATATATTATTTATTTTAAGTTGGCTTTCACTGTTCTCTGATCATCTTGAAGGGATTTAACCACGATTTACAACTTGTCCACTGTCCATCATTTTTAAACCTTGAGAGGTGCATCTCTGTGTGGAACAGCTATAGGGTTCTGGGAGCAACATCAAGTCACAGGCCATGCGAGACCCCTAAAAGCCCAGGATTTCCTGAGGGCTGGAAGTCTTCCCTCTGAACTGTTGGAGTCCAGAATGTACCTGGAGATGTAATTGTGAGATGCATCTCTTGGTCACTGCCTGAAACCTCTAATTGTCTTTTCCTTCCTCTCCTCAGCGATTCATGAGTACTTCAGTTACCAAGCTATTGATGAGGAAGAGACAAAGGAGATACTTAACTCCCAACACATCTGTGGACAAGGTAATTAGGACTTGATAGAAACTTGTGTTCTCATCTACTGAGACAAAAGGTGATTACAGATCAGTGGACTGAACTCCTGAGTGGAGACTGTACCCTGGGGAAGAGATGCAGGAGGAGGTGGGAAGTCAGAGCAGTGGTGAGTTGCCTGAGTTCCCAATTAACCAACCAGATGTGGAACCCAACAATATCTTCAGACAGATGTAACACCTGAGAAGTTGGGACATACACCCAAGAGAGAAATCTTGCTGAGACCATAAGGCAGCATTAAGGAGAGAACTGACTGTAGTATTTATGAGTTAGGAATTCACTGGATCTGTGAAGGAGTAATAGTTTGGTCCTTTGTAACAAGCCCCCAAAAGAGGATTTTGGTGTATCTAAAGAAAGAAATGTTGTAAATATTACTCATAATATGAGAAAAGAGAGGAAGCGAGTAAGTAGTAGTTGTGTGTGGAAGAGAATGTAGAAGGAGTGGTGCTGTGCAGGAAAGAAGAGAGGGAGAAAAGGAGTAAAAGGGGAAGAAGAGAATAAAGGGCAGTAATAATTTTAACAGTGACGATAGGAACAACACCTACTTTTACGCCCCACTAGGCATAGGATGGTCACTTCCCATAGATCAGCCCTAATGCTCACAAATGAGCTATGTAAGGTTGTAACCAATAACCACCAGTTCTAACTTTTCAACCACCCTTTCATTTATATTATTAGTCACAATTAATCATTAAATTATAACACATATAAGACATTAATACTGAAAATTGTGATTTCTTGTAAAATTACTATACCCCTTCATATTACTCATATTGCTTTATGAGTAGCATCTCACTTAATCTTCTTAACAATGCTGCCACAGGGAGATTTGTTATTCCTGTTTTATTCAGGAGAAGAAACTGAGGTGCAAGGGAGGATAGTTAGTGATGTGTGCAGGTCACACTACTAGGCATTGGCCTATCTAGGACTCACTCCTTCTCCTCCATACCAGCTGAGAGCTAAGGCTCTGAGGCCCCACTGGGGGGCTTCAAGTCTTGGCTCTACCATTTACTTACCTGGGCGAGTTACTTAATTTCTGTGTTCAAATATGCTCATCTGTAAATCTGTATCTCTATCTCCACCTAAAATAATGTTGGTTTAAGAATTAAATGACTTTATTTATGCAGAGCACTAAATTTGTGGTACCAAGTGGCCCAATAATTAATGGCACAAAGTCATTGCTATGTGTTTACTACTGTTAATAGAACGTATATCTGACTGCAACAACTAGACATTTAGTCTTCCCGCAGACACTCACTGAAGAAAAAGTTATTTTTCAGATTAGAGTAGCAATGAGTGAAATAGCCTTCAAACCCAAGAAAAGGCCATCCGTAGGCCAAATGGGCTAAAACAAATTTATTTATTTGTTAAATGTTGACTTTTCCCCCAAAATAACCAATGTAAGAAAAACCATAAGAATATAACCAGCCTTGTAGAATGCCATGAATATATATCTTTAATTTGGATGTACACCTCAGGTATTGTACATTTTTACATTTTTAACTGTGGTCGTACATTTGTATAAAATTTGGATCTCTTTTAATGATCATACTTATTCTTTTGAACAAAGACAAATTGATAAAAGTATAAAGTATACATTAAAAGGTATAGAGTATATAAAAATATGCTTAGAGATTCATCTACTACTAGGGTAGGGGAAATGAGAATAGGATAGTGGAGGAGTAGTAGGAGACATTGGTAAAGAGTGAAAGAGGTATATCGTAAAGAAGGAGAAAACAAATTCTTCAACATTCTTAATGTGATTCAGATGCCACCCTACCTGGAGCTGGAATTCAACAGTGTCTCAGTAATGGACAGCAGATAAGTACAAAGGAAGAAGATCCACCTCTTGACCCAAATATTTCAATAAAAATCCAGGACATGACAAATGAACCTGCCCAAGAATCTCAACAAGCAGGTATGGTTGACTTAGTCTAAAAATTGCCTGATGACTCAGAGTGACTCTAGCACATATGGCAAGGGGCTAAGGGCTGTGTCACATGGTTATAATTCATAAAGGAAGTCCCAAGGAGCCTAAAATAGGGTAGGAGAGTAGACCAGGGCCTGATTTAAGAAGACGTGTATTTACCAAAAAAGGGTCCCTAGTTTATATGGCAAAAGAGAGAAGGGGAAAAACCACAAAGAGACAGAGAGGGTAGGGTGCTCAAATAACAGAGAGAGAACTGGAAGGGAAAGACTAGAGACAAAGGGGAAAGAGTTGGAAGCCTCCCCGGGGAAGGCAGAGGAAAAAACACAAAGTGGAGTGGCCAAGGAGGGAGAAGCCCTCAGAATGAAGGGCACACAAACAGTTCCTTGGGTGGAGGCAGCGTGGGAGCTGGACGAGAATTAGAACTGTGAGTAATGGAAAGAAGTAGAATGAGCTGTAAAAAGACTGGAAAGAGAGAGCAAACATGGAAAAATGAAGCTTCACTCCTCTTTCACATCATTCATAAAAGATAATTCATGTTGGGTCACAAAGCTAAAAGTGAAGGCTAAAACTATGAAGCTTCTAGAAGAAAACACAGGAGACTATCTTTGCAACTTAGGCAAAATTTTGTTATAAGGACACACAAAAAATTGGTCATAAAATAAAGACTTGATAAATTGGACTTCATCAAAACTAAGAAGTTCTGCTATCCAAAGATACCATTGAGAAAAAGACAGGCAAGTTGAGAGACTAGGAGAAAATATGTGCAATACATATATCTGACAAAAGGCTTTACCCAGAATATATAAAGAACTCCTATGAACAAATACTAAAATGACACACCACAAATTCAAAAAATAGACAAAAGACTTGAACGGACACTTCTTGGAGAAGATAAAAATCATCAACAAGAACATGAAGTATAGAATGCCATTAGTCATCAGGGGAATGCAAATTTAAAACAACAGACTACCCTTCACTCGCTAGAACTGTAAAATAAAGCAGACTGAAAACACCATATGTTGGTGAGAATATGCAGCAATTAAAATTTTTTTCATATATTTTGTTGATAGGAATGTAAAGTGATACAACCACTTTGGAAAACTGTTGATCAGAGTCATAAGCTTAATCTAACTTAGGGCTCAGCCAACCCACTCCTAAGCATGAGAAAGGAAATTGTCTGTGCACACAGTGACTTGCACAAAAATTGTTAGAGTAGTTTTTTTCTTAATAGCTAAAATCTGGAACCAATGTTTGTCAACAGGAGAGTAAACAAATAAACTATGATATACTTATAAAGTAGAATAGCAATCGGCAATAAAAAGGAATGAACTACTGGTATATGTAGTAACATGGACAAATCCCCAAAACATTACCTTGAACAAAAGAAGCCAGTCGCAAGAGTACATGCTGAGCGATCTTGTATGTGTGAGCCCCAGGACAGACTAGTACTGAATCAGAAAGGAAGAGCTTAATAATGGTGATAGAAATCCAAGCAGTGGTTGCTTACAGTAGGAACTGACTGGAACACAAAGAACAAGGGAACTTTCTGGCATGGTGAAAATGTTCCAAATCTTTTTTTTAATACTTACAGTTACATTTATTATAGGAAAAGATACATTAAAATTAGTTGAAGATGCACAGGGCATATAGTCTGGGAGGCCTCCAAAGGGTTCCAACCTCAAAGCTTCCCTTATTTCGTGATGCATTACCCTCCTGACACTGATGTGTAGCAATGCACACAGAGTATTGCCAACAATATTACATGCATATTATCACTTCAGGAAGCTCACCCAAGCTTTGGTGGTCAGAGTTTTTATTGGTATGATTGATTGAATTGTAGTTGAATTGAATTTCTAGTCCATACCTCCCATCACCTGGTTAGTTTTTCCAGTGTGGGTGGCCCACTCAGAAAACCTATCTAGTGTGGCTGGCTCCAACCTGTGCCATCTCATTAACATAAACTATCAGCTGTGGTCCAGGGAGCTCACTATGAAAAACAAAAACACTCCTCTTACTTGATAATTTCCAAATGTTTAGAAGTAACCTCCAAGAATCAGGACAATATCAGACCTCTCTTTTGACAAGGCCAAGTTCTTTACTATTACAGAGGGTCCTTTCTCCTTTTTTCACTTTCATTTATTTTCTTATTAAAAATTGCATTTATTGGGGTGACCTGTTTAATAAAATTATATAGGTTCAGGTGTCCAAATCTATAACACATCATCTAATTATTATATTGTGTGTTCACCACCCCAAGTCAAATCTCCTTCCATCACTATTTACCCCTCCCCCCTTTACCTTTTTCTACCCTCCTTACCCTCTGAAATGTTCCAGATATCGACTGTGATGTTGGTTACACAACTGTTTTCAATTACGTGAGGTGCATCTCAGTGAAAAAGGGGAACAAGCCTCTGTTCGGCCTCTGGCGGAGTCTTTGGTCCTTGAGTTCAGTTTGAGTAAACAGGTCTCTTCTCTGGTCACTGATTTCTGTCATTTTCTTGTCACCTTCTACAGTGTGTTGTAAATACTCACCTGTCCACATGAATGATGTAAGAGGGACAGAAGATAGACCCGGCTTATTGCCACATGATGGACAGGGTAACTATCATTTAACTTATCAAGTCTGTATTAAATCTTTGTTTTCTTGACCTGTGGAAGCAAAAGGGACATTTTATCTTCTGTCCTAGGCCTGTGATAGCTCTACATCCCCTACATGCCCTTACCTGCCCACAACTATGAGTCAGGCCATGAGAAAAGGAATCTGAGCTTGTGAGTAGACAGAGTATCTATTGATGAAAATTATAAAAAGAGAAATGGAAAAAGGTAGACAGGAGGTAATATATGACAAATTACACAGGTGAATGCAGTTTTTTAAAAAGGGAACATACAACCCTACTATTCCAGGCTGGGATGGGAATATTTTCAATTAATTTTCCAGAACAATTTAGAGTACCTTCAAAATAATAGGACATATCAGTTTCACAATGAGGGTAAATCCTCACTGTGCAGCCAGCCAGTTGGAGGTCCCTGGCCCTATAGTCAAAGTCCAAGAGGAGAGTTTTGGAGAGGATGAGAGAGGGGAACCTGGAAGATGAAATCACATGAAGAAACAAAAGTTAAAATAATATTGGCAGACAGAAGGTCAAAGCACAGTTGGAGATCCAAAGATGGAAAGGGAGAAGGTATAAGACACATCATAGAACAGATAAGCTAAGCAAATCTTTCAATGATCAGAGATAAAAATTGAGAGGAAACCATCTAAGAAATGGAAAGATGGAGAGGAAAATAAATACTAAGAAATGGGGGACGTTGGGAAGAGGTACCAAGGCAACCATGTAGAGAAAGAATTAAAGGCAAATGAATGCAAAATAGATTGAGTGAAAGTGAAAAACAGGCAGAGAGGCACAGATTGGGACATAATAGGTGTGAGGTAAGAGCTGAGTGTGAGCATCTTTGGGTACAAGGGGTTGACAACATTAGCTGTGAAGTTTCAGATGGAACTGTCCTTAATTATCAAAGTGGCCCTTGCAAAATATTCAGATTGCAACAGGCTCTCCTGAATATACCAATGATTCCCAAGACCAAATCTCCACCCAGGTTATCTCAGATCCGAGGAGAAGGGGTCTGACAGAGATCTACACTTGAATTTTTTGAAGAGCCTTAAATGAGGCAATTGCAGACCTGAAAGCAGCATCTCCATTACTCATACGGGATCTAATTCCTGCTCAGCACCCTTCTCTCCATGAGGAATCACTATTGTCCCATGGTTTTTCAAGTTGAAAACCTAGGAGTCATCCATGGTGGCTCTTGCCCTCAGATGCATGCCCATGTCCCACTTCACATAGTCATTTGTCTTTCAGAGTATCTCCCACTGGTCCTCCTGTCACACCTCCTAGCCCGAGTCTCTAATTCAGATCTCGGTCATGGTTCTCAGAGCACCAGCCATCTGCTCATGTCCTCTTTCTAATCTTGCTCCCATGATATGAGTTATTTGCATTCCAACTATGTGGGGCATTTGAAAATAAAAACAAGATTGTATTACTTTCACACTTATTAATAGATGAGGATTAAATAAATGTTTCTTTCAGTGGCATTGAAGTCATCCTCAGTGAGCCAGCTGCTTATTTCCCCAGCCTCATCACCTGCCTCCTACACTATTCAAGATAGACTAAACCCCTGGCTGGCATAGCTCAGTGGACTGAGTGCAGGCTGTGAACCAAAGCATTGCAGGTTCCCAGTCAGGGCACACTCCTGGGTTGCAGGCCACGACCCCCAGCAACCACACATTGATGTTTCTCTCTCCCCTTCTCTCTCTTTCTCCCTCCCTTCCCTCTCTAAAAATAAATAAATAAAATCTTAAAAAAATATAGAATTAACCTTCTTCCCCAATGATTTTAATTGTTAATTTTTTTTCTTTCATTTCTAAGCCTCTTCATATGCCTTTTCAGAATGGTTTTCATGTTCCACTACCCTCTCCACTATGATTAAATCCTGTTTAAAATAGACTATCTCAGAGAAGCTTTTTTTTTTAAAGAAAGAGAACACTTGAGAGACAAAGGGTAAATGAGGAAGAGCAGTATCACAGGAAACAAGAGACAAAGTTGTAGGAACAGAGAAGAGAGAAACACACCAAGAGAAAGAGAAACCCCAAGAGACACCAGCAGGAAGAAACAGAAGCAGAGATTGGTAAAATGTACGGAAAGGAATGAGAAGGGAAGGTGTAGAAAGAGTATGAGGAGTAAGAATAGGAAAATTTCCCATGATGGGTGAATCCTTTTCAGTCTGTAAGGCAACCTACTGAAGCAAAGTTAACCTTCAGGTCAGGCTGTTTTGCAGAGTGGGACATTCCAGCTTCTCAGACTTTCTTGGTTTTCCTATTGTTTTCTTGTGGCGATTCCTTTTTAGCCATAAATTCAGACGTCCTTGGGATTTTATTTTCTTCTGAAGAGGACAGCAAGGCCTGCTGTATGACTTGTGATGGAAAACAGCCTCAGGAAGCCTTGAATTCCCCACCAACATATGAGCCAGGTAAGAAAGGGGAGATTGTCAGCTCTGTGCTTCAGGATGTCAGGTGGCTGAATTCAGGACTGGTGTTTCCTGATGCATGAAATTGTGAACACCCTCTATTGTCAAGATTGTGTGTGTCCTAAAATCTGTGGAGTCACATAAATGTTTCTAAATGCATATTCTTGTACAAATATATAAAGACAGGGGATGCCTTTTATATCTACTAATACTAAAGACTTGAATTTATACCTACCCACCCTTTCTCTTCCTTACAGAATAAAAACTAAACATTATTCTTTTTGTTCATAATATTATTATTGTGTGCCTAACTTTGGAAAACCCTCAAAAGAAACATGGTCCTTTAGATCAAATGCTCTCAAATCTAAATTATAATGTTTGCCAAATATTTTGCATTATGTTAGTGATTTTTCAAAGAATTTTGGCAAACAAGGTGGCATTTTATCTGAAGCATATAAGGGTCTTTTACCAGTTCAGATTAGTCAAGCAAGTGGATGGACCAGAATCCTCAATGACTCAGTGCAGTGAGGGTCACGTGGGATTGACAAAGGGTCAGGGCAACCAGGGTCACCTGGGCTAAGTTCACTCAGGAGAGCCCAGAAGGTCTGCAGGTACCAGGGAAGTGGAACAGGGCTGGGTACAAGGAGACTTTCATTCAACAAATATATTTCATTGGTGAGAGAAGGGAAAAGCAGAAAGAGGTGGTAGGGTGGGACTTGTCCTATGGGATGCGAGAGATCTAGTTAGAGCTAGAAAGAAAGAGAGAATCACAGTGGGAAAAGTGATAAAAAGCAATGAAGAAGCACAGGACTGAGAGGGAATCCAGAAAATTGAGCACATGAATCATCCTTTATGGTGCAGAAGCAAAGTGCTTGGTGACAGAAAATGAGGTGACTGAGGGAAAACAAAGGAAAAGAGGCAGAGCAAGGCTTGGGGGATCTTAGGTGAGGTCTTTTGAGCAACAGCACTTTTCTCCCAAGGAGAAGCTGAGCTGAGCCCCAGACATAGAATTTGGCATGAATTCCCTGAGTCTGTTTCCTGGTCACCATGTCTGGTTGGTCATTTCCATTTTTCTCTTCAGTTTCCTGTGAGCATGAAGACCTCCAAAGGACTAGTGGTGAGGATTCTGAAGAGATACCCAAACTGCTACCAGTTAATGGGGGAGGTAATCATGATTTAAATGACTAAATACCTCACTAAATTTGTCTGTCTGTATGTAAGGGAAGTTTCTCTTCCTTCTCTCCAGCATATATTCACAGTTTTTCTTTTTCTCTCTGGTTGCTTTCTCCGGGTATGTGGAGGCAAGTGGGAAAGGGCAGCTAAGTACCTTAATGAAGGGTCTCCTTAGAGAAGAATTTAAGGGTACAAAATAATAAAAATGTAGACTGGGGTCACCAAATGAAGCTATTTTAAGCGGGTCCAATTTTATCTAAATGTATATGGAATCTAAGTACTACCAGTTTGGAGTATGGGAAGAAAGAGATCATTTTAATATTACTCACCAAGGATTGCTTGGGAACAATGAAGTACTATGTATGGGAAAAACACAGAAAAATAGAGTTAAAAGAATAAGTAGAAAGACAATGGAGCAGAAAGGTCAAGAACATCATGGGGGAAGAAAAAGACAGAAATACAGAGTGGTAGAAGTCTGGCACAGAAAGTCATAGTCCAAGAGATCCACCAATAACTCCATGGCACAGATGCAGCAATGTGTAGAAATTGGGTCAGAGGATAAAAAAGAGAAGAAGAGAGAAGGAGGAAGGGGGAGAGGGCTTAACAAGCTGCTCAATGGTAGAAAGCAAAGCTTGTTTGGTGCAACACACTTTTATTCCCAAAGAGCAGTTCTCCTGTACTCTAAAGATCAAAGCTCTGATACACTCTTGAACATGACCACATCCAGGTAGAGTTCAGGTCACTCTCAATTGTTCATCATGGTCCTGTTTCTCTTTTCAATGTTCTTTGGACTTATAGATCTACAAATGGGTGGAGCAGGAGAATCAGAAGAAATGCCCACCTTACTGCCTTATGATGGAGAAGGTAATTAGGATTTAAATGACCTATTATCTAATTAAAGCTTTGTTTTCCTGTCAACATTGAAAAAGACCATCTCTTTTATCTTCCTTCTTATTCTTCCACCCACCCACCCAGCTACTTATCCACCCATGTATCCATCCATCTGTCTGTCTGTCCATTCATCCATCTACACTCACATATGCACATAGACTATGATCATTTTCTAGTTGCTGTCCTCTAGAGGTTCAAGCAGTGAAGAAAGGATGAGCTCTAAAAGGTTGGGGACACAGGCAAAGACAGGGAGAATGATGAAGTCACTGTATGAAGAGAGATTGGATTGTTGCCACTTTTACCTAAATAAAATTGGAATAGAACTATTACCATGTTAGATGTGTTATCAGGAAGGGAGGTAGTTTTCAAGCTTGGAACATGGGCATAATGAGTGTAATTGAAAAATGGAACATGCTTGTGAAAAACTTTCAAAGTGGACCTTGCAAGGGGAAGGATCCCTGTTCATTTGTTAACAACAAAAGAAGAGAAATTTGCTGACGTGGGAGAGAAATATGTAAGATGAACAAAATAGACAGGGAGGTTGAAATTTAAATTTTAGTTTCAAACATTGGTAACAGAATGTTAAGAACTAGAGAGAACAGATAGAAACAAGGAATTGATCATCACAGAAGAAACAAGGCTGGCTTAACAATCAATAGAGGTGCAGAATGAAAAGGTAGAGAACATGGTATTTAAAAACTCATGTTCTGAGAGGAAAGTGCTCAGAGGTAGAAAGAGTAGGGGAAGGCACACAGTTATACAAAAAGGAGAATACAGGAGAATGAGTGAAAAGTCAGTGGAGCAGGAGCATTGTGTACAAGGATAGAGAAGATGGTTGGGGACATTGCAGGAACTGAGAGATGAACTGCACATAAACAACTTCTGGCTCTAGGAGTAACACGTTAGCAATGAGTTTTCAGATCACGGTGTGCCTAGTTATCAACGTGGCCCCTGTTAGATCCTTAGAGGAAATGGGCCTCCCCCAGCCATTCTTGACTGCTCCCATCATAACTTGATAATCCCAAAATTCTTATCTCTGGCCTAGACTTATCTTCTAAACTCATTAAGTGCCTGAATATGTTTTTGCAGGAATCTGAGAGTCATCTGCATTTGGAATTTTTTCCAGGAGCTTCAATGCAAGATACTTCCATAATTGTGCCTACCATCTTTCTTGACACCAGATCTGCCTCCTTTTCTGGTGTTCCCTATCTCAGTGTAGAACACTCTTGTTCCCTTCTTCAAGCAGGAACCTAGGGGTTATCGACATCTAGTCAACTTATACACCCCATCAATCATTCAGTTTAGTCAACTATACCTTTGGCATGGCCATTTGTGCACTTCTTTTCACATTCAGCTCAGGAACTCTAGTCAGATCTGTCTTCTCTCTGGAACTATAGCAGAGAGAAGACTACAGCCTCTACTATAGCAGAAGACTACTATAGCAGAGAGAGACTACAGCCTCTAGTCTCACCTCTTCCTCCACTCACATTCCCAGCACCTCCACTCTCTCCAGCTCAATGAGATGAGTGTTTGAAAATGTGAGTTGGCTTATGTTACTTTCCTACCTTAAATCAATAACTTCTGGTTGTCATAAGAATTAGGTCTGTTTTTCTTCCCATGGCTTCAATCTCCTACCTGCCTCTCCTGCAATCACTTCAAAACTTTGTATAAAACTGCAGGAATTTTGATTTTTCTTGACTACTTGTTCCCATCTGAGTCTTTGCACGTGCTTAGCTCTGTGCCTGGAACAGTTTTCTTAGCCCACTGTGCTCTCCATTTGCTCACTAATGGCACATTCTGCTCACTAATTTGGTGAATTTATGTGGAAATTACACTATATCTCAGAGATGCCATTTCTGACCAACCACTAGCTCAGGAAAGCAATAGGATGAGAGATAGGGAAAAGACATAATGAGCAGCATTGGGGAAGCAAGACGGAAAAGAGGGAGGCAGGAACAGACATGGGAAAAGAAACAAATTGGGACAAAGAGAAGTACCAAGAGATTCCATTAGCAAGATACAGAGGTGAAATAGAAGAAGCAGGGAGAGGTGGAATGAGTGAAAATGAGAAAGAACGAGGTGTGGAAGATAAGGATACAAGGTTTTTGATAGTTTCCATTAGATTATCGGATTGTGCAAGACCTTTTCCCTTCACAAAACCTAAGCCACAGTCATCAACTGTTATAATTCTATTTTATGGATGAGGAAAAAAAGCACAGAAAAGCATGCTAGTCAGTTTTTAAGGGCCAAATAGAAAAATAAAAGTGGTACAAAGGTCCTGGGTATGTCACTGAGGGTGACAGTTTAGGGAAGCCAGCAGGCTGTTAGGGTGGAGTCATGTGGTCAGGAGAGATACAGGAAGTCAAGGAATTCTTCAGGTTCCCATGAAGTACACAGCTAGTCAAAAACTAGACCTAAAAGAAGAGACAGAACAAAAAACCTGGTAATTGAAGCAATGCACAGTGAGGCAACACAAATGTGTGGATGCAGAACTATAGGAAGAACACTGAAAGAGAAGGAGGTACCTCAAGATGGTAAAAACGCAGAACAAGACAGCATGGCTTTCGGGAGCAGTGCCTGGGGCAGAGTGACAGGCCGAGGTCCATCTCTGATTGCCTTCCATGGTCCATCATTTTCTTGTTTCTCTGCAGTGACCTGTGATTTTGAAGTTTCAGAGTTGACTAGCCTAGAAGTAGACAAGGTGCTCAGCTTCCTACCTGCTGAAGGAGAAGGTAATTATGATTTAAGTTCCCAACTTCCTCAATCCATGTTTGTTTTCTGGTCAGCAGGGAACAACAATCTCCCCAGTCTCCCATCCTCTTCCTCATATTCACATGCATACAGATGAGATTGCTTTGTTTTTCCAAAACTGTGAGAGAGACACAGAATGAAGGTGAGCTTGGCTCCTGGGAAGAGAGGGGATCCCTGCATGGAGAACAGAGGGAGATGGAATGTGCCAAAGGCAGGCTGGGGCACCAAGGCAGATGTGCCAGGTGATGTTGTTAAATGGATCCAAAATCCAGATATCAGCAGATTATGGCAAATCAGGCAAGGAGCTCCTTTCCTGCCCACTTCCGGAAGTACCCGGAACACAGAACTAAGTTTTGTGAATGATGGATAAGGCTCTCTGGCACTGTGGTCTATGTGAAATGGCAGAGTTTATGTCAGTTTGGAAGAAGGGATTTGTGAGAATGAGGAAAATATGTAAAGTAATGGCAAATCTTACAGATGTCCAGCAGGTGAAGACTCAGAAACAGAGATAGAAAAGAAAAAAGTTATGCTAAGTGAAATAAACCAGGCAATGAGGGACAAATATCATATGATCTCCCCTTTAACTGGAACCTAATCAACAAAACAAACAAGGAGGCAAAATATAACTAGAGACATTGAAGTTAAGAACAATCTGACAGTAACAGAGGGGAGGTGGCAGGGGATAATGGGGGGCAAGGGGGGAAGGGTTTTCAGGAACAACTATAAAGGACACATGGACAAAAAACCAAGGAGGGGTGGAAGCAAAGGAGGAAGGTATGGATGACTGGGGTAGCAGGGGAGTGGTGGGGGGGTAAATGCAGACAACTGTAATTGAACAACAATAAAATAATTCTAAAAAATAAAAAGAAGAAAGTGAGAGACAAAGTAGAAAGGGTATAACCTCAATAAGCAATGAGATACAGAGATAAAAATTAGAGAAATCATAGAGAGGCAAATAAATATACCCCCCCACCCCAAATGGAGAAGGAAGCACAAAAGAAACTGATGCAGAGAGATAGTTTTAAAATGATTTAAGAGTGAAAACTTCTAAAATAAGGAGGAGAGGAGAGAAGTTGGGATCCTCTAAGGCTCAAGTGCAAGTCACTAGACAGAAGCTTCTCCCAGCACAAAAGGGCATGTCAGTAGTGAGTTTTCAGGTTAAGGTTTCCCCAGGTAGAGAGTGGTGCCCGTACACACTCAGAATAATGCTCTTCTCCCTGGCACCCTCAGCTACTCTCGGGTAAAAGAACAGAATAAATCTGAAGTGCATGTCTGCTAGGCAGACCTGTCTCCCAAGGTCGTTAATCTCCAAAATGATGGCCTTTATCCCAAGACCTTGTCCATTTGTATGTATTTCAGGAACTGACACTTCCAAGATTGAAACCAACACTTTCTTTTGTGAAACAGAAACTCCTCCTGCTCCAGGGTTGACATGGATGTCCCCCTTTCTCTTGCTCCCATCCCACCCATTTTTTTCACTTCGGCAAGATATAAATGGGATCACATTATTTTCTCACTTAAACCTGGCGACCTTTGTTGCCCTTGGATTATATCAGTTATCCTTCTTCCTGGGGCTTTTTTGAATCCCATTCACTATGGGGCTCCAACCTACTTCTTCTGCCTCATCTCTGATGAGACTACAGAAATTTTCAGAGGTTGCAATGCTCTGGTCTTTCTTTCATAGGTGGGTCTTTGAACAACTCCTGTGTTTGGCGGTGTCACCCTGGCCTACTCTGCTCTTTATCCCATTCCCTGATCAGGTTACATCATGCTATTTCAAGGATACTTTTCCTGAAAGGTGTGGGAAGTAGATACGTGAGGCGGGGAAAGTCAGTAAAGAGCAGTGTCAGAGGCTCAAGAGAAAAAGTCAGGAGTGGAGGAAACAAACACATCAAAATGAGAAACACCTGGAAACACTGACAGCAGGAATGAGGGCAGAGACAGAAACAACAGGCCAGAGACTGTGGGGCCGGGAAAGAAATAGAGAGAATTAGGTGTTTGAGAGGGAAGAGGATGGCGGATGGTTCACAGCCACTGATGACAAGGACAGAAGTCAGCCAACCTTCAGGGCAGGTGAATGCAAAGGGAAGACCAGGACTGTCTGCATCAGAGACAGTCCCATCTCGGGGATACTTGAACTGCCCCATCTTCACTACGAGTTTTCTTGTCATCATTCCCTCTGGTTGTTTACTGAGACTTCTGAGGGATTTCAATTTCTCTCTGCAGAGGACAGCAATGTCTGTTGGGATCTCAGTGATGGAGAAGAGCTCCAGGAGACCTTGAGCCTCCCACCCAGAGGTGAGCCAGGTAAGGAAGGGGGGATTGCTAGCACCTGGCTGCAAGGTGTCAGGAGGCTGAATCCAGAGCTGAACAGCAGGACATCCAACATTAGAATAGGTGTGTTCTCTCTTCATTTTGTAGTAGATAAATACCAAGGAAAGATAGAGCCTTTCATATTCTTTACACATCTTATTTATGCTACAGACTCAATATTGTGATTTTAACTTTGCCCATCTTTATTTTCTATATAAAGTATAGAAACTTAGTATTTATTTAGTGCTTAATATTATCATTATCATAATATCATAACCTTGGATAGGCTTTAAAAGAAACATTGTTCTGAGATCTACTTGTCAAAAAAAGGAACAATGACTTTCAAGCCCAAATTACAGGGTTTTTTTTCACGACATATTCTTCATTAAGCTGTTGGATTATATAGCACTTCTTTCTTTCAAAGTACATTGGCAAGTAAGATTTCCTCACAAAACTTTAGGACTTAGCCAGGAAAACTGTTATTGTCCCTCCTTAGAGAAAAGGAAATGGAAGCACAGAAAAGGGATACTTGTTTTCCCCCCAAGATGTCTCAGGTATCTCACTACAGGTGATGGCTGTGAGGTTAGTGGGGGTCAACATGGTGACACAGTCAGAGTCCAAAAGGGGTCTTGTGGGCTCCCAGGGGGACGAGAGCAAAGGTCAGTGCAGACACGCTCCCACTTCACAGATAAAGCATGTCAGTAGGGAGGGAAGAAATCCAGAGAAATGGTGACAGAAAGACCAGGTCCTGGTGTGGGGATTGGAGAGACCTGGGAGAACAGAGCTAGACAGAATAAGCAGAAGAGGAGATCAAGATCACCATTGAGGAAAAAAAAAAGATAGAAGGGTAACAAGACAGAAGAAGCCAGGGGGAGTGGAGCCCACAAAAATCCAAGACAAATATTGTCTTGGTGCAGATGGACAATGATCTGGAGGCAGGTCTACAGGTAACTCAGAAGCAGAGAGCAGGAGAGCGAGGTGCTAGAGACAGATGCAGAGGCAAACCAGGGCTTGGGTGGATCTCAGGTGAGGTCCTTGGAGAAGATGTCCCATTTCCCAAAGGCAGCTCACCTGTGCTCTGGACAGCCTGGCTCAGCTCTTTTTCTTATTTCTCTTCAGTGTCCCATGAACCTGAAGCTCCTCAAATGACCAAAGAGAAACCAGGGGAGGTGTCCAGCCACCTACTATGTAATGAAGAAGGTAATGGTGATTTCAGTTCCCATTTAACAAAATGAATCTTTGTTTTCTGTCTATGGGGAGGAAACTCTCCCCTTTCTTCTCCCCTCCTACCCCACTCCCCTTCACATACCCAAACAGAACCAATGTGTAGAGCTCAGGGGAAAGGGTCAGGAATATTGAGAACATTACATATAAGGGGAGGGAGTGAGATGGGTGGAGTATTCTCAGCCTCTGGTGACAATGACAAAAGCTATGGTAACCTCCAGGCCAGGTAGACTCAAAAGCAGGGGGGTCTGAGGTCAGGGACATTCCCAGTAGGAGATACCTGAGCCACCTTAGACTTCCTGGGAGGTGGACTTTCCTGCCTGCTTTGTATTGCCGGTAGCTCTTGAATCATGCATAATATAGGTATAACAATGTGCACATTAATTATAAATCAATCATGTGTAAAAGAATTTTCCAGGAATTCTAAAATTAATCCTTCTTTAGGATATTTAACCTATTAGTTGTACTTGTGGAATAGATCCCTACTAATTAAATATGTACAGTTTTTTAAAGCAAACAAAAAAGGAAGTGACATTAGATGATGGTCTGAAAGTAATATTTAAGGGTTGGGACATAGGAACTTTTGGTCATTTATCTGTCTTTTTTATAGAAATAGTATCACATGCATTGTTTACTTTTGATGTGTCACAAGTTCCCCATCGAAACCCAAAGTCATCATCTGTGAAGCTTTGTCATTTATTACGATACGTGCAACAGTTAGAGTCGCAGTGAGAGCACAAACAGGAAGTGGAGTTCTGCCAGTGGGGGACTGCAGCTTTGGCAAGGACAGGCTCATGACAAACAGCAGCAGCCACAGCATTCAGTCATAAGTGTGAATGGTGTCCCACATGTGAATGGGGCATGGAGTTTATTCACCAAGCAGAGACGAAAAAGGGGACAAATGATCAATTACATAGTAATATTTGACCTCACACTATGTGCTAAACAAAATTATTTTCTTTACAGTTTGACAGGAGGTCAGGTGTCTTCAAGAAGTTTTTGGAGTGGGATTCAAGACTAAGTGTGCCCAAATATCTTTGCACAAATGAGCTACTGTGCAATGGACCCACACCCATTAATTAGTCTTTGGAGCTAACTTGGATAGGGGGCATGCCAGGTCTCTGCCTCCATCCACTTGCTTTCAATCACTTTCTTCTAACATTCGAGAATCACAGGAAAATCAGGAACAAGCACACGTGAGATAAGACTTTTTATACTAGACAAGGGAGTGAGAGTAAATGAAGTAATGAAAGAATAAACACCTTGACACACTATTTGCTAAATGCTGCATCTGCAAAGTAAATGTCTAACTACTTTGCATCTAACTGCATACATATCATTAAATAATAAGATACTTTCAGGAACAAGAGCTCAGGAAATAAGTCAGCGTCCAAGTATGGTCTTTTGCCATGTATAATGCATGCTCACTTTTTGGGGCCCAACCTTTCAGGAAAAAAATCTTTTGCTTTAATTTTTTAATTCATTTTTTATTTATTCATATTGAGATGCTTTTTTTGTATTATAAGGGAATTGTAGCATTTATTTTTGAACATGTTATGGTACAAGAAATTTTATGTAACAAATAATTACAAAACACAAGAACAGATACAAGGTATTTCAGATGCTACTCATGTATAATGCACATCCTTATTTTTCCCTCATAAATTTGGGCAATAAAGTGTGTATTATACATGGCACAATATAGTAGTTGCTGACACAGAATTTATACCTGTTGGTCCAAGGGTCCCACAGGACTTTCCTAAGAAAAATCTTCAAGACGATCTTGGTGGGAACTCCATTTTGGAGGGGTCGTCTATCACACAACATCTGAAACTAAAAGAGGGATTTATTTCTTGCATAACGAGGCACATGGTAGGAGGAGGCAGTGTACTTACTGGACACTGTTTCTTTTAAAATGGAAACTACTGATTTTATATGGAATTTTGTCAAGCACGTGTTTCAGGGACTACAGACTTTCAGAAACAGGAGTGATTATAACAGGTTACATTTAGCCACAGATGAAGGCTTTCTGGAGTGTGGTTGTTGCTGACTGGCTGATTTTCAGAAGTGTATGGCTGTAACTGATTGGATGCCTTGAAATGTGGTTGGTGCTGTAAGTAGTCATTTGCTAACTGGGATGAGTTTGTACGTGGTCTGGTACTTTTACCATTTTCAAAGAACAGTTAGTTTTTTTTCCTGGAAGAGTACATTCTTTTCAGTTATTCTTAGGGCTACAAGTAGGAAAATAAAAGTAGAAGAAGCAGAATGAGGTGTAAAACATGGGGAATATGTGGCTCTGTAGGCTCTCAGGTGTGATTATTGGAGCAGGTATATATACATTATTTTCAATATAGTTTATTGATTATGCTATTACAGTTGTTCCATTTCCCCCCTTCACTCCCCTACACCCTGCACACCCTCTCCCATCCACATTCCCCCCCTTTAGTTCATGTCCAGGTATATGTATATATATATTTTAGGAAGCAGTTCATTTGAACACAGAACATCAGTGTGCCAAATAGGAGCACCAGGAACTCTTCCCTAATCACTGTCTTAGGATCCATGGACACTAACTTTCTTGTTTCTCTTTAGTAGCTGGTGAACTGGAAGCTCCCCAAATGGGAGGGGAAGGAGAATCTGAAGAGCTTACCTCTAGCCTACCACCCTGTGATGAACAAGGTAACTGTGACTTAAAGAATAATAAAAACAGAAACAGAGTTCTAAAAAGGGAAGAAAACATGGGAGGAAAAATTGGGGACTTAAAAGAAGAGTCAGATATAGGGTGGATCGATGGAAGATTTTGGAGAAAGAAGTAGAAAAATGGAGATCAACAAATTTACACAAAAGAGGATCCTTGGGGAAAATGAAAGGTCTTTATAAATCACAATTTTAATGTTTCTGTATTATGTGCTTCTCAGAAGATGAATCAGGATGTCCAGAAGCAAGAACTGAAAGCAGCCAAGCACAGGACACAGAAGGTAAGGCTGTCCAAAGGTTATGGCATGAGGGTGGATGCACAGGTTCCACAGGCCCCAGGTAGAGTGTGACAGCCAGGTGGTCCAATACATCCCGATATCCTGTTCTTTGCCTTTTCTCAACCTGATTCTTTTGGGAACAATAGGAAGACAAGAGATCATCATGAAGTCATGTTTAATAGGATGAGCCCTGTTGATTATACTTGTTTGATATAGTAAAAATACACACACACACACTCTTAAAATGACAGTATCTAGTTTACTACATTAGTATATTAGTAATAAACTCTGTATTTATACAGTGATTTCTATCCCTGCCCCACCTGAAAATTTATGGCATCCAAAAAGAGGAGGGTGTACTTCTGCTAACAGATAATATTGTCACTTGTCGGAACCTTAGAAAGACCTCAAAGGCAACTGATCCTGCCACTTAATTGTCAGTAGGGGAGATTTCAGATCACCTGCTCTTTACCCAGCACATATTTTTGATGGATGTCCTCCACTGTCACTAATTTATGTAGTGTTTTCCTGCCAATTTTGCACTTAAGATGCTAATTCTCACAAAAAATCATAAGACCTAGGCAGAATAGGATAACTGTTTCGATCCCTGAGTAAATTGAAGTGCGTAGGTATTTAAAAGTGTTTTTCAAAGTCCTGTTGAGAAATAAAGGAAGACCCACGAACCCTCTGGGACTCCTACTTCTCAATTCAGAAGATATTTAGTTCCTTTAGAAGGAAGAGAAAAATGATAAGCCAGACATCTTTAAAAACTCAAGTCTTCTGTGGTATGATTCCCCCTAGGGTTGGCAACTTTTAGTTATTAATTTGTTCCCTTACATCAACCTCATTTTCTAGATACTGTGGATCTTGGAAACAATTCTACTCTGGGGAAACTCAAGAGGAAAAGAAGTAAGAGTACATAAGATTTTACTTGATTTTGATGTTATTATGAGTCTTTTTAATACCAGAGTTTCATTTTATTATTTACAATAATAAGTGATAACAAAAAAAATAAGTGATAATAATGTGATATTCCCTCAAATATGTCCATATCCTAATCTCTGGAATATATAATGAATTTTCTTCCATGACAAGAGGGATTTTATAGATATAATAAAACTAGGGGCCTTGAAAGGGGAGATTATCCTGGATATCCGGGTGCCACCAAGGATAATCAATGGACTTTAGAGTGAAGAACTGTTTTCAGGTGTGGAGAGAGGAATTGACTTTGGAAGATAGTTACAGAGAGATGCAATATTGCTGGCTGTGAAGATGAAGAAGAGGAACAAAGAATAACAGGTCACATGTAGAGAAGTTGGAAGAGGTATGGAAATAGCGTCTCCTCCGCAGCCTCCAGAAAAGAATGAAGGCCCACAGAAACCTTTATTTTAGCCCTTGTCAGACTTCTAACCAACATATCTGTAAGACAATAAATTTGCATTGTTTTAAGCCACTAAATTTGTGGTCATTTGTTATGGCAGCTACAGAAGAGCAATACAGATTTTGGCTATTGTGCAGCTATAACGTGTTCCTGAAAAGGTGGAAGTGACTTAGGAATTGGGCGATGGGCAGAGGGAAATTGGGCAATGAGAAGAATTTTAAGTAGAATGGTAGAAAATGTCTACATGGCCTGGAGCAGTTTGTTAGTAGAAATGTGCAAAGACCGCTAGGGAGGACTCAGGTGGAGGTGAAGCACATGGGAAAGAAAACCTGTATTGCCTTAGAGAAAACATAAATCACACCAAACAGATGTTAGTAGAAATATGATAGTTAAAGGTCTGACTGCTGATGGATGAGAAAGAAATAAGAAACATGTTTTTGGAAACTGGAAAAAGAGGATCTTTATTAAATAAAGGCAGAGAGCACAGTGGAAATTCTTTTCTGAAGACATGAGGAAAGCAGAACTTTCTGGGTATATATATCTAAAGAGATTTCTGAGCAAGTGAGGAAGATTCCGTTTTTTTCTCTTCTTAGAGTGAAATGGGAAAAGAAAGATAAAATCAAGGGAAGAACTGCTCAACACAACAACAAAAAATAGAACTTGATGATCTGAAAAAATTCTCAGTCTATTCAGGTTACAGAAGATGCTAAAATTAGTTGATTCTATTTCAGGAAAGTGTGCTCTGTAGAAGTGACCAAGAATGTGACTTAGTGAGCTTTTTTCTGGTGCCTCAGAAGTAACAAAAGATCAAAGAATTCAGTCACATATAAGGTTCTTTGAAGAGATTACTTGTGTGACTCATAGATCCCCTCAAGCCACCTTAGCAGGAGTAAAACACAGATATATAGTTATATACAAAAGACCTGTGGAGGAGACTCTTTTTAATGAAATAAGTCCCCATGACATACATGGGAGACCCATAAGATTCCTGAGAATTTGATACCAGCAGAAACAGAGCTATCGATGCCTAATCCCTGGGACCTGTAATATGTTTCTTTTCATGGAGAAAGAGTTTGAGGATGTGGTTAGGGATCTTGAGGTGGGGAGGTTATTTTGGATAATCTGGGTGGTCCCAGTCAAATTAGATGGGTCCTTAGAATCAGAAAACCTTTCCTGCTGTGCAGACAGGAATATGCAGCCAATAATCTGAGAGATGCAATGAGGCTGGCTTCGAAGATGCAGGCAGGGAACAATGAGCCAAGAAATTGGAAGCTGGCTAAGACTTTAGACAACGGATTATCCTCTGTCGCCTCCAGAATGGGACAAAACCCTGTGGATGACTAGATTTTAGCCTAGTGATACTTGCGTCATATTTCTGACCTTCAAATATGTAAAATCATAACTTTGTGTTGCTTTAATCCACAAAGTTTATGATAGTTTATTACAGCAGCCATGACATGCCTTTCATAAAATAAAAAAATGAATATTTCACCTTTACATGGTTAGATTACATCTTTTAAAATAGCAATTTATACTTTTAAATGCTCACATCTTCGTCTTTTTAATTTTAAAATATATGAACTTTGCAAATTTAACATCTATATTTTTTAGATTTTTTTCTATGCATTTATTGACATATTTAGAATTATATATCTAAAATGCCTATTCATAATGTTACACTTCTCTTACTTTCATTAGTATATCATGCACAAGATATTACAAACATTTAATATATTGCCAACTTACCTTTAAAAATTTTCTTTTGAGATGAAATTTACAGTGAAATGTAACAAAGTTGAAGATATTATTTGATACATTCTGATAGATACATTGTCCTGTGTAATTCAAACCCTCTCCAGATACAGAACATGCCTGTCATCCTGGAAAGGGCCCTTATGCCCTTCTGGTATATTCTTAACCTTTCACTCATCAAATGCAATTACTATTCTTATTTTTTCACGATAACTTAATTGGCCTTGTTTTCAAACTTTAGATAAATCAGGCTTTAGAGCATATTCCCTTTCGGTGCAGTGCTTCCCTCAGCACAACGTTTTTTGAGTTTTACCCATGTTGTTGAATGTAGCTTGTGATCGCAGTTAGTGCACATTGTATGAACACACCAAACTTTGTGTATATATTCTCCTACCAGTGGACGCCACAAGTGTGCCAGTTTTTGGCTAATACGAACAAGCTGCAATGAACATTCTTGTGGTAGTCTTTCTGTGTAGCTCCATGCCTTCGTGTCTTTTGTATAAATTCCTGGAAATGAATTTTCTGGGATATTGCATAGGTGCATTTCCTTTGTCCCCCCCAAACCCACGCAGGGGTGATGCGGCACACAGAGACAGTGCCAACCTGAGGGATACAAGCTTCAGAAAATGTTCCTATCTGTTAGAAACCCCCAGTTGTAGAAGGGGTTTAATAAACCTGTTAGTAAACCTGCTGAAACCTTACCCCTGAGGGAGGCATTATTTATAAGCAAATCTCTGAGGAGAGGAGGGAGACTTTACTATCTTCGGATCTTTCTAAGGAGGGAGATGCCCTCCCTTTTACACTGGTTAGGGAGCAAATCTGCCCTCTGATCTGGACAGCCGTGTTAACTCCAGAGACTCTGAGGCATGTGGAAATGCCACACAGAATTGCCTGTGAACAAATCCACTTCACCCAGTAGCCTGGCGAATTTCCACGTGGAGACACCAATCCACCAGCCACTGCAATGATTCTGACCAGTGGGGATGGGACCAAATCCATTTGATTTGTTTCTTGTATAATTTAACATATTTCATAAACCATAAATACTGTCGGTCTCTAATGACCAACCCTGATCTGCAGTTCACCATGTTTGCATGGGAGAGGCAAGTGAGTGCCTGGCTTTTACTTAAGAAATATCTTCTCAAGGGCACACACAGTGACTTTGGAAGGAATGCATCTACAGTTATTGAGGTCCCCTGATGGGACATACACCAGCCAGGGGAAGATAGACAGTGGCCCCAGCGTGGGCCCTGGCTGCAAGCCTTATAGCTCCCCGTTCCATTCAACATGCCTAGTCCTTGATATTCAGGGGGGCTCTGTACGGGTGTACAGATGCAGGGGCCAGACCCCGTTTTCTCACATCTGAGTGGCAGGCTCAGCATCTCCATGGTGGGCGTGTTGGAGTGTGCACATGGTCCTGGAAGAAGGATTCAGGACACTTCTGAAAGACAGATATTACTAGCGCCTCTCCCCCCTTTGTATGTCTTAAGGAGTGTGGTGCTCTGTCCTCAGGTGCGTGGATCTTTGCTCTCCCTTCACCGCCACGAAATACGTGTGTGCCATTCCAGTGGCTGCAGTTTCATCTTTCTTTCCCAATCATTTTTATCTGTCACTCAGATCTCTTGTCCAAAAGGATCAGATATGAGCAGGAAAAGACATTTTCATTAAATGTAACCAGAATTAAATGTGACCCCCTTAGGCATTCCAATGCTAGTTGGAGATGTCTCCAGGAATGGTCAGAACAGAATCCCGAATTTTAAACTTTGGTTTATGTAACACTATGCATCCCTTACTGGTTTTGTTCTGATCTCGATGCAGGAAGGAGTTGATCTTCTTCTGGGAACAAAGAGCCTTACCGAGGTATATGGACAGGAGGAGATGAGGGAGGTTGAGTCAGACAATCAGCACATTGGGAGCAGCTTCTGATAAAGGGCACACCATTGTCAGGCTCAGATAATCCAGCCAGGCAGGCTCATGATACCTGTGAGTTCCTAGGGTCACAATGGTGTGGCCAGAATCAGTTGGTCTGTAAGTTGAAGTATGAACTGTGTTGATATGCCACCCACAGCCTCAAGAGGGGTTTGAGGTCTGATCAGTGTGTTGGGAGCAGGCAGAGCACAGCCCCTTGTGATGTGGCTCCCTGATCATGGGACGGATGGGTCGACTTTGGCAGGAGTCATGAACCTGGCCTGCAGCCCTGCATCAGAATCATGGTGTCGGCCTCTGTCAGCAGAGACCAGGCAGGTACTTGGGCATTTCCATGAGGGGGTCAGACTGGTCAGTCAGTAGCATGGGTTTATTTCTGCAGTCATGGCCCAAGAGATAAGTATGTTAACTTCGCCAGCCTATACTTTTCCACTTGACTGACAACACAGCTAGGCCATGCACAGAAGCCTCGTTGTCTTGAGTTCTGCCAGCCAGAGGAGTGACAAAATTTGCTTTTGGTTCTGCAAAACTGGCTCTGATGCCAAGCAGCCATGGCAGCTCAGTGGACAGCAGCTGTCAGCTTGTCAAGCATTAGGGGACCAGGCTTATGCCCCATGGGAATCTCACTGAATTGAGTGCCCTGCAAGGCCGGTGTTCGCTGCAGGCCGGGCAGGAGAATGGAAAACCCATGTGCCCAGAGGTAACATCCCTGCATTCTTGACTATCTTGTTTCCACTAGAAGAGCAAGGCTTTCAGGCTCTTCCTGCCTTGTAGGTCCTGGAGTTGAGTTGACCCATCTCGACATGGGGATCTCAGGAGAATCACAGGCCTCCCTCCATGGGTTGAGGCTTCACTTTCAGCAGTAAAAATCTAATAGTTGGCTGTTATGATACTCATAATAAGAATAACAAGATACAATTTCTATTCACCCAGCCCTGATGGTTTTCTCACATTCACATATTCTCATACCATTCGTAAGAAAGCAAAAACACAACCACACACAAACCCACTGTCGGTCTTTGAGTTCTCCAGGAGTTTCAGGCACTAGATTAAATATAAGTGAGAGGATCTGTTTCATACCTGCAAAAGCTCAGCGATTATTTCATGAAAACACTCCACAATGAAGTTGAGACTGTTACCCATGAGATTATGCAGGAATATAATATTAAGAAGTATGCTTTCTTATTGCACATTTGAATCAACACTTGAAAAGGGAACATGTTGCTACATAACCACAATTATTATTCAGTCTAAGGTACAAACAGTTTATTTTCTAACTTAAAATTCAAATAAGAGTCATCTTTTATTGCCTCCCAAGTCCTTGAAGTATAAACTATAACGCTATAATCAACATCATGCAGCTACACTGGTAGTTAAGAATTTTGCCCCATTCTTGTGGATCAAAGTCTGAAAAAAAGTACTTGAACACCACTGACCTATGAGGCTTTGAGATGTATATTGGTAGCTCTGAAAAAATAACTTTATTCTCTTTTTTCCTGAAGGAAAAAAGAAAGGACATGCCTGGACAAGATATAGAAGGAAATGGCAAAGAAACATACATCAAGGAGGTAAGCAGGCAAAGTGAAGCAGTCACACCATTGGAGTTTAGGACGGCACTGCTTCTTGTGCCCTTGTGGCCTGCAGTCACCGGTGGGCCCTGACAGTTTCCCCACTACTACGCCAGGTAGAATATAGGTTAAGACACTATAACAGAGCAGTCTGAAAATACAGTGGCTTCAACAAAATGGTTTATGTCTCACACACATAATCACCCAGAGCTAAATGATCCAGGCTGATAGGGAGACACTGTCGTCCTCAGTATATGGCTTCTTCACTGGGTCAAGAATTCTTACTGATTAATTTAGAAAGATGTTCCAAAGAAAGCACATGAACAAAGCAGAGTGTAGACCTCACTAATATGTCTCAGTTGATTGGGCATCATCCAACAAAGCAAAAGTTTGTTGTTTTGATTCTGGGTCAGGGCTCATGCCTGGGTTGTGTCCTGGTCCAGGGTCAGGGCATGTGAAAGAGGTAACCAATCGATGTTTTTCCCTCACATCATTTTCTCTTCTTCTTTCTCTCCATGTCTTCTTGTTTCTTTAAGAATAAATAAACAAATCTTTAAGCCCTGGCTTAGTGGATTGAGTGCTGGCCTATGAACCAAAGGGTTGTCAGTTTGATTCCCAGTCAGGGCACATGCTTGGGTTGTGGTCCAGGTCTTCATTAAGGGGTGCATGAGAGGCAACTACACATTGATGTTTCTCCCCCTCTCTTTCTCCAACCCTTCCCCTCTTTCTAAAAATAAGTAAATAGCACTGGCTGGTATAGCTCAGTGGATTGAGTGTGGGCTGTGAACCACAGGATTGCTGGTTCGATTCCCATTCAGGGCACATGCCTGGGTTGTAGGCTAGGTCCTCAGTAGGGGGTGTGTGAAAGGCAACCACACATTGATATTTCTGTCCTTCTCTTTCTCCTTCCCTTCCCCTCTCTCTAAAAATAAATAAATAAAATCTTTTAAAAAATCTTAAAAAAAAAGAAATCGGGCCATATGTATATGTGTGTACATGTGGTAAAAAATATACATATAAACATGAGTATATACACATTTGTGATAATATGTTTTTATATATTTATAAATGCTTATTTATACATATGTAGCTATCTCTCTGTATAGATATATAGAAAAATCAATGGCAGTTCATCCATAAAAATATATGCAGTGATTACATTTGATCTATGAAATATAAGTGATATTTATATATTTTTTGGTTTTTAGATGTATGTGTGTACATTCAAAATAGTAAACATGTTCAACTATTATAATGAAAAATATTATTTAAGTCATAACATATGCAAAGAAAAAGTCCAAGAGGATGTTTTTGAGCAAGTTAATTGTGGTTATTTCCAGATGGTGACACTTCATACAATTTTTATTTTCTAATTTTTCAATAACGTATATGTATTACTTCTGATCAGATCCCTGAAATCTTGTTATTTTAGTAGTTTTTAAAGAACTCCTTTCTTCTAGACAACAAGGGAGAGACATCATTTTCTACATGATTGACAATTTTGAATCAGTAGGCCTATAAGATTTTTAAGTCCAATTAAAAATGATTAATTTTCACTAACCAGCATATCTTATATTTTTACTAATTCACATGGCTGCCTTGCTGGTGAATGTGCACAATTTTGTTTGGAAAGGAAGAAAAAGTGGTTGCATGCATTTTAAGATTATTTTCAAAATATCAAATATAGGGATTTAATCATTATAACATTTTTCTTTCAGCCTATGTGTCGGTAGATAAATTCTAAACCATTGCTCTCCAAAGTGCAATGAAATCTTGCATGTAATTTAAAGTCATCTCTAATATCCTGGAAACCTGAGGCTGACCCTTACCATTAATTTACTTTCTTGGCTCGGTGTGCAGTGAAGGTGTTCAGAATTGAATCCAGTGTTCCCACACATGCTTTTGAAGCCTCGTGTCGGCTGCTGTTTTGCCCAACTCTGTATTTTCTGTGCCTATCCCTAAACAGCAGCAAAGCTGTTGGCCAGTTGGTCTTGAGTAGAAAGAAGGTGAAAGTGAATCTGCAGGATCCTGACAAGATTAGGCAGGAGATACACTTTGTGCCACTTCCACTTTGCACTGTGTGAGGGTCAATACATTATTTGCTAAGGTTTTGCATTCCATGAGGGTGGCTCTAAGATGTATGATGCAGGCAAATGTAGGAAGGCTTGTACAGAAAAGTTTGACACCCACTGTCTTCAATTCTCAGTTCATTCTGTACATCCTGTTATTTGTCTTTATGTAATTGGTTTTGGGTCATTTTGGATACTCTGTAACATTTCTTTATACAGTGTTATTCTTCAGCCAATAGATTATGGTGGGACACAGGAACTTTTAGATATTTTACTCTCCTATGGAAATATTATGATATGCATTGTTTACTTATGATGTGTCCCAAGTTCCCCATCGAAACCCAAAGTCATCGTCTGTGAAGCTTTGTTATTTATTAAGATACGTGCAACAGTTAGAGTCGCAGTGAGAGCATGAAGAGGAAGTGGAGTTCTGCCAGTGGGGGACTGCAGCTTTGGCAAAGTCAAGCTCATGACAAACAGCACAGGCCACAACATTCACTTATAAGTGTGAGTGGTATCCTGCATGTGAATAGGGCATGGAGTTTATTCACCAGAGACGAAAAAGGGGACATATGATCAATTACATAGTAATATTTGACCTCAGATTATGTGCTAAACAAATTTTTTCACAAATTGAAAGATGTTAAGTGTCTTCATGAAGTCTTTGGAATGGTATTTAGAATAAGTGTGACCAAATATCTTTGTATACATCAGCCACTGTGTAGTGGACCCACACCCATTAATTAGTCTTTGGGACTAGGTTGGATAGGGGACACGCCAGATCTATGCCTCCTTCCATTTGCCTTGGATCACTTCTAACATTCAAGAATCACAGGAAAATCAGAAACAAGCATGTGTGAGATGAGATGTTTTATAATGGACAAGAGAGTAAGAGTAAATGAAGTAGTAAAAGAATAAGAACCTTCACAGAATATATGCTAAGTGCCGCATCTCCAAAGTAAATGTCTATTTTGTACCTAACTGCATACAAACATTTAAATAATAAGGTAAAAGGACAAGAGCTCATGAAACATACCACAGCTCATGTAGTTGTTACAACAGTTCACTTGGCAGTGGGTCAGGAACATAACCTGAAGTGGGCACAAGAGGCTGGAGAATTATCCCTGTTGGTCCAACAGTCCCACAGGACACTCCAGCAAGAGTTTTCAATTTGACCTTGGTGGGAACTCCATTTTAAAGGGGTAGCCTATATGCAATATCTGAAGCTAAAAGCAGGATTCATTGCTCACTAAGCAAGGTGCATGGTGGGAGGAGACAGTGTACTTACTGGACACAATTTAAAAAAAAAAACCCAGAAACTGCTGACTTTGTAAAGAGTTTTGGGAATTTTGTGTTTCAGGCACTGAGGACTTTCATAAACAGGAACGATTATGAACAAGTTACACTTAGCCATAGATGTAGGTTTTCTAGAGTGTGGTTGTTGCTGACTGACTGATTTTCAGAAGAATATGGTTGCAACTGATTAGCTGACTTCAAATGTGGCTGATGACATAAGTAGTCATTGGCCAATTGGGATAAGTTTAAGAGTGGTCTGGAGATGGATAATAGGGAATAATAGGGGGCGGGCTATCAAGGAACATATATAAAGGACACATGGACAAAGCCAAGGGGGCTAGGTTTGAGGGTGGGAGGCGGGGAAGGATGAGGTGGAGGGGGCATGGTGGAGTGAAAATGGAGACAACTGTACTGGAACACCAATTAAGAAAATGTGGTCTGGTACTTAATTTTACCATTTTCAAAGAAAAGTTGTCTTTTTTCCCTGGAAGAATACAATCTTTTTATTTTATTCTTAGGGCTACAGTAGAAAAATAAAAGTAGAGGAAGCGGAATGAAATGCAAAAGATTGGGAAAGTGTGGCTCTGTAGGATCTCAGGTGTGATTGTTGGAGGAGTTGTATGTTTTTTTCTGAGAATGCAGTTCATCTTAACTCAGAATATCAGTGTGCCACATAAGAGCACCAGGAACTCTTCTGTATCTCAGGATCTGTGGACACTAACTTTCTTGTTCCTGTTTAGTAGCTGATGAACTAGAAGCTCCCCAAATGGGTGGCGAAGGAGGATCTGAAGAGCTTACCTGTAGCCTACTACCCTGAAAGACTAGGTAAACTTGACTTAAAGAAACAGTTATGACAAAGAGAAAAAGACAAGAGAATAAAAAAGGAGACTTGGATATAGAGAGGATTAATATTATATTTCAGAGGAAGAAGTTACAAAACAGAATCCACAAGGGTATCAAAAATAGTATCATTAGGGCATATGAAAACAGTCTTCATAAATTATGATTTTTCCCAGAATCAGAGCCACCAGCACATGGAAATGAGATGTGTTCCTGTGTTATGTGCTTCTCAAAAGATGTGCCAGGAGGTCAGGAGCCAAGCAGTGGAAGGAATCAAGGTAAGATGCTGCATGAAGGTCATGGCATGAGGGCGGGTTCATAGTTACCCGGGACCCCAGGGGGAGTGACAGGCAGTTCAGCCCATCTTACTATGCCGTTCTCTGCATTTTCTCAATGTGACCCTTTTGGGAAGAGCAGGGAGACAAGAGATCATTATAAAGTCATGTTTAACAGGATGGGCCTTCTTGATTATTCATGAATAATGTAGTAGAAATGCACTCTTATAATGGATCTAGTTTCCTGCTTTGCTCTATTAGTAATAACACCTTGAATTTATGTAGTTATTTCCATTGTTGTCACATCGAACATTCTATGGAACCCCCCAAAAACAAGGTGTACTTCTGTTAGTAGATGTGTCATTTTATTTTATTTTATTTTACTTTATTTTTACTTTTTTTTAAATTTTAATCATTGTTCAAGTACAGTTTTCTCCCTTTTACTCCCATTCCAGCCCACCCACCCAACCCTCCCCACTTCCCTCCCATTACCACCCTCCCCCTAGTTTTTGTCCATGTGTCCTTTAAATTTGTTCCTGTAAACCCTTCCCATTCTCCCCTGAAATTCCCTCTTCTCTCCCCTCTGGTCACTGTCAGCCTGTTCTCTATTTCAATGTCTTTGACTATATTTTACTTGCTTGTCTGTTTTGTTGTCTAGGTTCCTGTTAAAGGTGAGATCATATGGTATTTGTCTTTCACTGCCTGGCTTGTTTCGCTTAGCATAATGCTTTCCAGCTCCATCCAAGCTGTTGCAAAGGGTAGGAGCTCCTTCTTTCTTTCTGCTGCATAGAATTCCCTTGTGTAAATGTACCATAGTTTTTTGATCCATTCATTTACTCATGGGCATCTTGGTTGCTTCCAGCATCTAGCTATTGTAAATTGTGCTGCTATGAACATTGGGGTGCAAAGGTTCTTTTGGATTGGTGTTTCAGGGTTCTTAGGATATAGTCCCAGCAGTGGAATTACTGGGTTGAAAGGCAGATCCATTTTTAGTTTTCTGAGGAAGTTCCATACTGCTTTCCACAGTGGTTGTACCAGTCTGCAGTCCCACCAACAGTGCACTAGGGTCCCCTTTTCTCCACAACCTATCCAACACTTGTTGTTTGTTGCTTTGTTTATGATGGCCAATCTGACTGGTGTGAAGTGTTATCTCATTGTGGTTTTAATTTGCATCTCTCTGATAACTAGCAATATTGAATATCATTTCATGTGTCTTTGGATCTTCTGTATGTCCTCCTTGGAGAAGCGTCTGTTCAAGTCCTTTGCCCATTTTTTAATTGGGTTGCTTGTCTTCTTAGAGTGGAGTCATGTAAGTTCTTTATATATTTTGAGGATTAAACCCTTGTCTGAGGTATCATTGGCAAATATGTTTTCCCATACAGTTGGTTCTCTTTTTATTTTGATACTGTTTTCTTTAGCTATGCAGAAGCTTTTTATTTTGATGAGGTCTCATTTTTTTATTCTTTCCTTTATGTATGTCCCTTGCTCTAGGGGACATGTCAGTAAAAAAGTTTCTGCTTGAAATATCTGAGATTTTCCTACCTACGTTCTTCCCTAGGACTTTAATGGTGTCAGTTTATATTTAAGTCTTTTATCCACCTTGAATTTATTTTTGTATAAGGTGTAAGTTGGTGCTCGAGTTTCATTTTTTTGCATGTGGCTGTCCAGTTCTCCCAGCACCATTTGTTGAAGAGGCTATTTTCACTCCATTTTACGTTGCTGCCTCCTTTGTCAAATATTAATTGACCATATAGACTTGGGTTTATTTCTGGGCTCTCTGTTCTGTTCCATTGGTCCATGTGCCTGTTTTTATGCCAGTACCAGGCCGTTTTGATTACAGTGACCTTGTAGTAAAGTTTAGTGTCAGGTATTGTGATCCCTCCTACTTTACTCTTCTTTCTCAAAATTGCAGCAGCTATTCGGGGTCATCTATGATTCCATATAAATTTTTGAAGTGTTTGTTCTATGTCTGTAAAATAAGCCATTGGTACTTTAATAGGTATTGCATTGAATGTGTAAATTGCTTTGGGTAGTATGGACATTTTGATGATATTAATTCTTCCAATCCATGAACACGGTATATGTTTCCATTTGTTTTGTGTCTTCCTTGATTTCTTTCCTGAGTGTTATATAGTTTTCTGAATACAGGTCTTTTACCTCTTTGGTTAGGTTTATTCCTAGGTATATTATTTTTCTTTTTGCTATTTCAAATGGGATTTTTTTCTTGATTTCTGTTTCTGCTGTTTCATTGTTGGTGTACAGAAATGCCTTTTATTTCTGGATATTGACTTTGTATCCCGCTGTTTTGCCAAATTCATTTATTAGGTCAAGCAGTTTTTTGGTGAAGTCTATAGGATTTTCTATATACACTATCATGTCATTGGCAAACAGTGACAGTTTTGTTTCCTCCTTTCCGATTTGGATGCCTTTTATTTCTTTTTCTTGTCTGATTGCTGTGGCTAAAACTTCCAGAACTATACTGAATAGAAGTGGTGAAAGTGGACAGCCTTGTCTTGTTCCTGATCTTAGTGGAAAAGATTTTAATTTTTGCCCATTGAGTATGATGTTGGCTGTAGGTCTCTCATATATGGCCTTTATTATGTTGATGAATGCTCCCTCTATTCCCACTTTGCCAAGTGTTTTTATCATGAATGGGTGCTGTACCTTATCAAATGCTTTTTCTGCATCTATTGATATGATCATGTGGTTTTTGTCTTTGCTTTTGTTTATGAGATGTATTACATTTACTGATTTGTGAATATTGTACCATCCTTGCATCCCTGGAATGAATCCCACTTGGTCATGATGTATGATCTTTTTAATGTATTGTTGGATGCGATTTGCCAGTATTTTGTTGAGAATTTTAGTGTAAATGTTCATCAGTGATATTGGCCTGAAGTTTTCTTTCTTTGTTGTGTCTTTATCTGGTTTTGGAATTAGGATGATGTTGGCCTCATAAAAAGAGTTTGGGAGTCTTCCATCTTTTTGGATTTTTTGGAATAGTCTGTGAAGGATAGGGGTTAGCTCTTCCTTAAATGCTTTGTAGAATTCTCCTGTGAAACTGTCTGGTCCAGGGTTTTTGTGTGTTGGGAGTTTTTTGATTACTGCTTCAATTTCTTTTGCTGTTATTGGGTTGTTCAGGCTTTCTGCTTCTTTTTCATTGAGTTTTGGAAGATTATATTTTTTTCTAGAAATTTGTCCATTTCACCTAGGTTTTCAAATTTCTTGGCATAATTTCTTCGTAATAATTTCTTACAATCCTTTGTATTTCTGTGGTATCTGTTGCAATCTCTCCTCTTTCATTTCTGATTGTGTTTATTTGGGTCTTCTCTCTTTTTTTCATGATGAGTCTGCTTAAAGGCTTGTCAATTTTGTTTATCTTTTCAAAGAACCAGCTCTTGGATTCATTGATCCTTAGAATTGTGCTTTTAGTCTCTATGTCTAGATGTGTCATTTTTTCACAACCTTACCAAGACCTTAGAGACAACTGATCCTGCTACTTAATTGTCAGGAGGGGAGACTTCCAATCAACTGCTCTTAACCCAGCATGTATATTTGGTGGATGTTCTCCACATGTCACTAATTTATGTAGTATTTTCCTACAAACTTTTTGCCATAAGATGCTATTTAATTCTCACAAAAATCTTAAGACCTAGACAGGATAGGACGTTTATTCCTATTCATGAGTGAATTGAAGTATGTAGGTATTTAAGAGTTGTTTTTTTTTTTAAGTCCCATTGAGTACAAAAAAAAAAAAAAAGGAAGACCCAGGGCTCATCCTGTATTCATACTTCTCAATTCAGGAGGTTTTTCGTTCCTTTATAAGGAAGAGAACAAAGGTAATCCAAACAAGTTTATAAACTCACTCCTTTTGTAGTATGAATCATCCTAGGATTGGTAACATTTAGCTATTAATTTCTGTTACCTTACATTCAACTTCTTCTTCCTAGATCCTGTGGATCTTGGAAACAACTCTACTTTGGGAAAACTCAAGAAAAAAAGAAGTAAGAGTGCATAAAATTTTACTTGATTTTGATGTTGAAATGAGGTTATTAATGCCAGAGTTTCATTATTACTATGATAAGTGAAAATAATATGATGGTCCCACAAAAGGTGTTTATATACTAATCTCTGGAACCTGTGATGCATTTTATTTGGTAGCAAAAGGGATTCTACAGATATAATAAAGCTAGGGGCCTTGAAAGGGGAATTTATTTTAGATATCTTCGTGCCACCAATCTAATCAATTGGCCTCAAAAACTGGAGAACAGTTTCTGACTGTGGAGAAAGAGAGAAGTGACTTTGGGAAATACAGAGAACTGCAGTTATTGCTAGCTTTGTAGATGGAGACAATGAACGAAGATATGGGTGACTTGTAGAAAATGGAAAAGTCATGGAAATAATAGCTTCTCCATAGCCTTCAAAAAGGAATAAAGACCTACTGAAACCCTCATTTTAGCCCAGAGAAAAATTTATCTGACTTCTAACCAATGTATCTGTTAGATAGTAAGTTTGGGTTGCTTTTAGCCACTACATTTGTGTTCATTTGTGATGGCAGCTACAGAAGAGCAATACAGATTTTGGTTGTTGGGTGTGGGGTGGGGCTGTAACACATTCCTATAAAGGTGGAAGTGGCTTAGGAATTGGGCATTGGGCATAGTTTTAAGTAGAATGATAGAAATTGTCTACATGGCCTGGAATAGTTTGTTAGTAGAAATGTGGATGCTAAAGATGGAAATAATGACAGAAAGCTTAGTGAAGTTTATTTTTGTAGACATATGAGGAGATTTCTAAACAAAATGATGAAGGTGAAGCAGGTTTTATTTTACTGCTTAGAGCAAAATGTGAGAGGAAAAAGGTATATTATGGGAAGAAGTGCTCGACAAATGAAGTCAGGACTTGATGATTTGGAAAATTCTTAGCCTATGCAGATTGCAAAGATGCTAAAATTAGGAAGTCCACTGCCAGGACATTGTTGTATAGAATAAGAATCTGGCCTAATGACTTTTCGCTGATGCCTCAGAAGTAGCAAAAGATCAGTGTCCAGTCACATAAAAGGTTCTTTGAAGAGTTTAAGTGTGTGAGTCACAGATCCCCTCAAGCCATCTCAGCAGGAGTACAATACAGATACTTAATTATATACAAAAGATCTGTGGAGGAGACTCTTTACAGGAGTAAATCTGCATGACATAATGGGAGATCCATAAGATTCTTGAGAATTTTATAGCAACAGAAACAGAACTGTTGATGTCCAATCCCTGGAACCTGTAATCTGTTTCTTTACATGGAGAAAGAGAGTTTGAGGATGTGACTAGGGATTTTGAGATGAGGAGGTGATCCTGGATTATTTCAGTGGCCCCAATAAAATCACAGGTATCCTTAAAATCAGCAAACTTATCCAGCTGTGGAGAGAGGTTTATGTACCATGAGCTAATCAGAGAGGTCAATAAGTCTGGCAGACAAGATACAATGAGCCGAGAAATGTGGACAACTTCAGACTAGAAAAGACAAAGTAATGGATTATTCCCTACAGCCTCCAGACAGGAACAAAGCCCGGTGGACAGCTTGATCTAGCCCAGTGAAGCTTGTTTGTGACTACAGCGCTGTTACATTTCCCTTACTTTAAACCAGCGGGTGATGCACAAGACATTATAAACATTTAACATATGCCAACTTAACTGTAAAATGTTTTCTTTTGAGATAAAACAATGAATTATACAAATATTAAATTGCTGGGAACCGCCCTGCCTGGTATCAGAAGCTGTAACCCCTGCCTAGGCTAAGGCTAAGAGACCGCCCTTGGAACTGTAAGCCAGCAAGGAGACAAAAGCTTATCTCCCTGGCAGGAGTGCTGCTCCTGCTGCTTCATTCAAAACTGAACCCCAAAGCTTGGTCGGTTAGCCAAAGATGGGTAAGATTCCCCAAGGGGGAAACGATCTATGGCAGGCACGATCACGTGGGAGGCCCCCAAAAGAAGGACTTTGGGGGCTACAGCAAAAGGGGGTGATGGACCCTCGCACCTCGGCTTTGATGTAGCCTGAGTTCTCGACTTCTGAAAGAAACTCTCCTTATCTCTTGGTTGTCTTAGTGCCCTTGCTCCACCTAAGCCTGAAACAATGACAGGGTGGTGCAGCTCTTGGCTGAAAAGGGCAGATTCCCCGGGTGATCAGGCCTAAGAAAGAACATGTAGATTACTGTGAAACCTTCTTTGTTTAGAATGCTCTCAGTTGAATGAGAAGGGTCCAAGGAGGAAGTTAGTTTGTTTCTCAAAGTTTTACAGCTCTTTGACGCTGACTCAAAATAGACCTGCAGAGCTCCTTGTTATCTGTTGTTCCTTACTTCCTCGTAATGAGTAATGTACTTTACCTGAATTATTATGCAAAACGAGCCCTATAAAAGCAGGTTTGGACGTAAATCGGCGCGCTTCCCACTAGAGGGGGTGGCCATTCCGTCCCTACTTCTCCACAGAAACTAGTCTGTCTCTGTGCATGTTTTTTCTCGCGTTTTTACGAGACATCTGCAGCGTTCCGTGATCACTGCTGGCCAGTGACCCACGCATCATTAAGTATGTTATTTAATGAGTTCTGAGAAATGCATTCTCCTGTATAATTCAAATGATACCAAGATATAGAATATGACCGTCACTCTGGAAAAAAATCTGATGCTCATCTCTTACATCCTTACCTCTCACTCATCAGAGGCAATTACTATTCCTTTTTTAATGGTAACTTAATTTGTTTTCTTTAAAAACTATTTTATTGAAATTTTCTCACTCAGCATAATCATTTTGTCTTTTATTCACATTGTTGAATGTATCAGTAGTATTTTCTTTTTTATTTGAAGTAGAGCACATTTTATGAACACACCAAATTTTGTGTATACATTCTCCTATGATGGACACCACAAGTGTGCCAGTTTTTGGCTAGCATAAAAATGCTGCAATGAACATTTTTGTTGAAGTATTTCTCTGTCTCTGTGCCTTCATATCTCTTGTATAAATCCCAAGAAATGAAATGGCTAGGCTGTAGGATAGATGCATTAGTTCTTTTTTTCTTGCAAACCCATGTAATGGTGATACTGCACCCAGAGGCTATGACAAACTGAGGAATAAAAGCTTAGAAACAGTTCCTATCTGTCAGAAATCCCCAGTCTTAGAAAGGGTTTTAATAAACCTGTTAGTAAGCCTGCTCTAACCTTACTCCTGAAGGGGACATTATTTTATTATCTGAAACTTAAGCAAATATCCTCTGAGGAGAGGAGGGAGATGTGCTCTGGTTTTATACTGGTCAGGAAACAAATCTTCCTTCTTCCTGGAAGGTTACATGATCTCCCATTTCCAAGGCAGCTTGCTGTTGGAACATCCTTGGAAAGATAATCTGAGGCATGCGGAATTGTCATGGAGAATACTTTGTATGTATCTGTTCAGTTTCTCTCACATAATTTATTGAGGAGACTGTCTTTTCCCCACTGTAATTCTTGCCTCCTTTGTCACAGTTTAATTGACCATGTAAGTTTGGGTTTACTTCTGCCAAAGCAATCTACAGATTCAGTGCAATCCTTATCAATCCTTAAGGAATGTCATATTTCACAGAGTGGAACAAATAATCCTGAAATTTATGAAACCACAAAAGACCCTGAATAGCCAAAGCAATCTTGAGAAAGAAGAAAGCAAATTGGAGGTACAATGTGCTTGGATTTCAAACTATACTGTAAAGCTATGGTATTCAAAACAGTATGATACTAGCATCAAAACAGACACATAGATCAATGGAACAGCATAGAGATCCCAGAAATAAACCCATGCTTACATGTGATTTTTTAAAAAAATTTCAAAGAAAGGTTATTTCCTATTGTCTCCCACATCTACACACAGTGGAATATAGCCTGACACTGCTATACTGGTAATTAAGAATTTTGCCTCATTCTTGTGGATCAAAGTCTGAAAAAAGTACTTGAACACCACTTACCTATGAGGCTTTGCGTTGTATTGATAGCTCTGAAAAATTAACTTATTCTCTTCTTGTCTAAAGGAAAATATAAAGGGCATGCCTGGACAAGATATAGAAAGAAACAGCAGAGAAACATACATCAAGGAGGTAAGCAGGCAAAGTGAAGCAGTCACATCTTTGGAGTTTAGGATGGCACTGCTTCTTGTGCCCTTGTGGCCTGCAGTCACCGGTGGGCCCTGACAGTTTCCCCACTACTACGTCAGGTAGAATATAAGCTAAGACACAGTAACAGAAAGGCTTGAAAATGCAGTGGCTTCAACAAAATAGTTTATGTCTCACACACATAATCATCCAGAGCTAAATGATTCAGGCTGATAGGGAGACATTGGGGAGACACTGCTGTCCTCAGTGCATGGCTTCTTCACTGGGTCAAGAATTCTTACTGATTAATTAAGGAAGATGTTCCAAAGAAGGCACATCAACAAAGCAGACCATATGTGTATGAGTGTGTATATGTGGTAAAAAAAATGTAAATATATATATTTGTGAAAATGTTTTTATATGTATAAATGCTTATTTATACATATTTATCAAACTCTCTGTATTGAGAAACATAGTTATAGATATAAAGAAAAGTCAATGACTGTTTGTCCATAAAATATATGCAATTATTACATTTGATCATTGAAATGTAGGTGATATTTATATTTTCATTTGGGTTTTGTAGTTGTATGTGTACACATTAAAAATAGCAAACACATTAAACTTTCGTAATAAAAGTATTATTTAAATAGTAACATATGCAAAGAGAAGTGCCTACAAGGATATTTTTGATCAAGTTAATCAGTCTCCTGACATTTTGTTTATTTTAGTAGTGATTTAAGTTACTTTTTTTCCTGAAAAATGAGGGCAAGACCTCATTTTTCATATCATTGAAAATTCTGAATCAGTTGATCTATATCATAGGATTTCAGAGTCCAATTAAAAATCTCCAATTTTTACCAATTTGCATATCTTATGTTTTTGCCATTTTACATGGCTTCCTGGTTAGTGAATTTGTACAACTTTGGGAAAAAAGAAAGTGGTTGCATCCATTTGAAGAGTGGTTATTTTCAAAATATCAAACACTAGACTTTAATCATGGTAACACTTACATTTATGTCTCTATGTATATAGATAAATTCTAAACGATTTCTTTCCAAAATTCAGTGGAATTTTGTATGTAACTTAAAGTTGTCCTTCCTAAAAGTAGAGAATATTCTGGATACCTGCTTGAGATAGATGCCTTACCATTAACTTGCTTTCTTGTCTGAGGGTAGAGTGAAGGTGATCTCACATGGCATTTGCAGTTTTGCACAACTTGATTTCCCCTGCCTCTTCTTAAACCACAACAAAGCTGTTGGCCCCTTGGTCTTGACTAGAAGGAAGGCTAAAATGAATCTGCAGGATTCTGCCGAGAATAGGCAAGAGATAAACATTGTGCCACTTCCACTTTGTGCTATGTGAGAGTCAGTACAAGTTTTTTGACATTTTGAGGAATGTCAGTCCTCCTTAACTTTTTACTAGTCAGGCTTATTAGTCAATTGGAGAGCTACAAAATCTAGAAAACCATTCTGTTGTCAATTGTTTGCGTTTATATCATAGCTCTTATCTGCCTAAGACCTACAAGTTTTTCCCTCTTTATTAGGGTTGTGATGAGATTTCAGTGTTAGTAAATGGATTTTACAACCCGGGGACACAAAAATTGTTAAATCCTGCCTTGCTAAGCTAATACATTGGGAAAATAAAACACAATAGTGCTGTTATGAAGTAGCTGGTTTTAAACTCCAAACTCCAAGTCTTCTTACACCAAATGCTCCATGGGCTAGGTGAACTTTAATGTATTTCTCTTTTTACCCTAAAAATATGAAGCCTAACAAGTTTGATGAAAGCTAAACCAACATATTCACTGGTTTCAGGAAAGACACAGAAAGAACTCTGTATTTGCAGCATTGTCCAAGGTTGGAATTCGATTTTAGTGCCAAGCCTGACTGAATATAGGGGAGATGAGAATAAGCTGCCTGGATCTCTTCTCACTGGGCTCTGAGCATGGACTTTCAGAAGAGGAGGGAGGAATGAGAGAGAGCCAGGCATATCCTGGCCTTCCAGAGTCCCTCATTACTTCAGCTTCTTGGGTGAAAGAGGAGTTCAGGAGAACCTTTCAGAGAGCATTCACCTGGGTGGATGACCTATTGCCTGGTGACCCACTTTCCAAGGGAAAGAAGCAAGAGGGAGTAAAAAGCAAAAAAAATTAATCTGCCTCTTCAAACACCACATTTTCACCTTTTTAGTAGATCTCCTTTGCCCGTGGCTGTTAATATCCAAGTCTTCCACTTTCTTACACAAGTTGATCCATCTCAATAGCCATCTTCTTTGAGCCGCTGTTATTCTGGTTATGTAATAATAAGGTTACAATTTGCCAGTCTGAAATTTGTATGATTTTGTGATAAAGTCTAATTATTAATATTTGTCCCATGGGACCATTTTGATCTTGAAGAAATAAAAAACCTCTCAGTAACTGTTAAGTCTAAAAATCAGGAAGTGGGGTTATTTTACCAAGCAGTAGGTCCATTGTGGGTTTGATGGAAGGGAATATCCCTCTTACTTTGCTGGTCTCATATGCTCCTAATGTGCTTAGAGTTTCTTGCACTTTGGACTGGGTAGTCCAGAAAATATTTCTTCCTAGAGTCTACAAAACTTCACCTGGCATCAACAGATGGTGGTTGTTTGGTGGAGGGCATTGAACAAAGAAAGAAGGAAATGAATTCGTCTTTCTGCCTTAATAAGTATGACACATTTGAATAATAGCAAACATTGAGATGCGTAGTCATAGCCAATTAACTTACAAATAGAGGAACATTCTCTGCTGCAATGTCTATCAAGCCAATCCTTAGTTACTATTTGAAACTAAGGTTTTGTAAGACTCAGTTCTCCCCATTTCTCTTGGTTAGCCTTCTCCTGGTAGTTTCTTAGATTATATTTTTTTCAAACCAAGGTGGACAAAGCCCTTGGTCACATTTACTTCACTTACACATCACTTTCCGTACAAATAACTTTATTTGTACAAGGTAATGTGTATAATGTGCTTGTCACCTGTAAGCCCACCACAGGGTTATTCTTAATGCATGGAATTTCTATTTTTTCTGCCTCTCCACTGAAAGAGTCCCTATATGTATTAACTTAATTTTGTAGTTTTCCCCTCAATTTTCTCAGAATATTTTAGTTTATGTAATGGGAGTAATCATCTTGATCTCATATTTGTGGGAAAGACTGAATGAGTTAGTAGTTGTATGATTGGAATCTGTTAAACACAAATCACATGGCTGCTTGAGATATGAGTAAAATGCTGATTTCAGTTGTTTGTTTGCTTAACTGATGTGGGGTTATGAAAAATAAAATGGATGATGAGCCCAAGATTAATTCCTGGTAGTTTAAAGACTAGGGATTATATATTGTTCTTTATGCTTTAGTCAGGCTTTGAGGAAGTTACATTTAAATTTAGAAAAACACTAATATCTGAAAAAAAAAGGTATGTCTGCAACTGTGATTTTTTTTTTTCATTTATGTCAGGGAAAAAGAGAAGCAGATGTAGAATCCATTACATGATAGTAACAGAGCCTTAAAGAGGGGAATCTAGTAAAGAGGCAGTGAAGGAAAGGGAATATACTTCTTTTTGGAGGGGGGATATACTTTCAATAACTATACACCTATTTGCTGTGTTCCACTCTGTGTTTTTAGTAATAAATCAATTTACCTAATTGCTTCATGTAGCTTTACTAACTACTGAGAAATGTATATGACTTGGACTGTTTCCACATACGTCAGGGGCAGAAGGAAGATAATCTGACAAACCATTTAGTTGGTGACAAATCTAAGCCAGACCCCAGGGATCCAGGATGCACTGTGGTGCTGCTATCTCCACTGAACTGATAACTTTCATGTTGGACCTTGTCTGTTGCTATATAAAGGGGATATATAACCCACAAATGATTTAGCCGACTCTTCTGTTGCACAGAGAGTCACAGGTTGGACACCACTGGTGACCCAGAGTGGTGGTCAGAAGACTTTCCCTCTCTTTAGTCTCTGGGCTTGTGTCAGTCACTTAACTACTTTTGCGTCAGTTTCCTCACCTGTAAAGCAGGAGTGTGAATTAGGCCACCCGTCCTTCTCAGCCCCTCCTAGTACTAACAGTCTATGTATCTCAAAACTGGAACAAGGACAGCCCTCTCCTCCCACCATGATTCTATAACGTGGCTGAGAGGGCAGGATCAGGTACACATCATTCTTGAGTTAGTTCATTTTGAATACATTTCACTCTTTAGTGGAATCAGATAGCTAGCCTCATCCTCCTGCCCCCACATGCAATTTGCAGATTGCTCTAGAGCTTCCTGGGCTCCCCTTTCAGCTTTGGAGAAGGCTGATGTGGGGGAGAAATGAGGCAAAGCAGTGAACACAAACAGCAGGCAGACACCGTCTCCATTAGGTCACTCCATCTTTGTCTTCTCGGCTCTTGAGTCAGAGCTCACACAGGAAGAGGCAATTACAGTCTCAGACTTTGTCTCCAGTGACCTAAGTGCAGGGAAATAGCCCAGCTGCAGAGCTCCCTTCTACCAGGGCAGCAGCTGCATGTGTCACTGCCCCATAAGAATCAGGGGGCTGACTGCATGAGGGGCTAAGACACTTATACTGATGCCTGGTGTCTCTGGTAAAACATTCTGATTGTGGGGAGTTTGAGAGGTTAAACCACAGGTGGCAAACACAAGGCCCATGGGCCGAATCTGGCCCTCTACCTTGTTTTATCTGGCCCAGCACCTTGTTTCTACTCAGTGGCAACACTGAGCTCCTTGGCCTAGTTAAGGAGTAGTTACACTTATACAGTCTAAAATTACATTCAGTCCTTTGAAGGCAACCAGGAGGCTGATATGGCCTCTGGTGAAGATGAGTTTGACACCCCTGGGAAGGTAGATATTCTGTGGTTATGTACCAAAAATGCCACTGAAAGACTCTGAAACTCTAGACATTTGTGGAATAAAGTTCCCTAAGTACCTGTATGTCTTTCTGGGAACAAATTCAACATGGGGAGAGGGGTACATGTGCAATTGTGAAATGATACAGATTGAAAAAATCTTCTGTTTTAGGGTCAAGAAAGCACAGAGATAACACTGTGAATTTTTGCTCTGCAATACTTCCTGTGACCTGTAGACAGGCCAAAGGCATGTTATATAAGAAGAAATTGAAACAAGGTGGGTCTCATGGTCTAATTTGCAGCTCTTATGTGAAGGAATGACAAGAAGTCCAAAATTACCCTTGTGAATTACACATCCTTCAAGGACTCGAGGTTGTATTTTCACTTGAGAGATGGAGCAAGGGAACCTCAAGATGATATTTTCATACTCTAAGACACTGTATATATTAGATGTTCCCTACCACATGGAAGTAACCACAGAAATACCCAAAGAACTAAATCAAGAAGTGAATCAGAAATAAATGGGAAGAGGCCCTTGGCCTTCACCTTCCTATCTCCTCCTTTCTGGGTCATTATTACTAGGACGGGGTGTTAGAAGTGGTGAGAAGATCACAGGATTTAGAATTAGAAATCCCAGCCTCAGCTGTGCCAAGAGTGACTGATTCATCTGAGTAAAAAGCGTACTTCTCTTGACTCTGAAATTCCTCATTAAAAAATATGATGATTAAAATATGCCTCATGGTATAGCTGTAAGGAATAAATTTACGTAATTGATGTATGGTATTTAAACAGCTTTCCTGAGATATAACTCACAAATCATATAAGTCACCACTTAGAGTGCATGACTCATTGTTGAGTTTTGTTTGTATGTTCACAGGATTGTGAATTGACAATCTAATTTTAGAACATTCCTTGTCCCCCACCAAAGGAAACCCCATGTCTCTCAGTAGTCAGTGCCAACTACCACCTCACCCCCCTGCCCAGCCTGAAGAAACCCAGCCTAGTCTAGGTATTTTACGTAAATGGAATCATATAGTGTGAGCTGTTCTGTGACTGGTTCTTTCCCTTAGCGTGATGTTTTCAAGGTTCACCCATGTAATAGTATATGTTAGTACTTTGTTCCTTTTTAGTATCAAGTAATATAATATTCTATGGTATGAATATACTGCATTTTGTTTATCCCTTAATCAGTTTGTGATATTTCCACTCTGTGGGATTACAAATAATGCTCTTTTGAGCATTTGTGTGAAAGTTTTTGTGTGAACACATGTTTTTAATTCTTTTGGGTGTATACCTAGGAGAGAAATTGCTTGTTCATATGGTAAGTTTATTTTTAACTTTTGATAAAATACCAAAATATTTTTCATACTGGCTGCACTATTTTATATTCCCACCAACGGTGTATGAGGGCTCCAATTTCTCTCTCTCCTGGCCAACACTTGTAATTGTCTGATATTTTAAATGATGGCCATGCTAGTGGTTGTGAAGTGATCTCACTGTGGTTTTGACTTGCATTTCTTTAATGACTAATAATGTTTAGCATATGATTATCTTTTATATATAACTTAAATTTTCCACTGGCTACATTTCACAATTATGTTTACTACAGACTGTCTGTGAATTCAGGAATAAAGGAAAAAATCACTGCTCAGTCATGCCACTAAACTGGATGGAACATGCCGTAAGGGGGGGCACCAATGGGGCCATGGGGCCATTCTGAGCAGCGGGGTCCCCACCTGACATCTCAGTCCAGCTTGAAGCTCTGCCTGCACACTGTCCCTGGGCCTCCAGAGAGTCTGGCCTGTTCTCTGCCTCCAGAATTCAATAGCAAATTTAAATTCTCTCATTGTTCAGAAAGAGAGGATTCTTGGAGCACTCCTTTTAGGTGATTTTGGAATACTTTTATAATGTTGATTTTGATGGTAATGATTATTTCTTTTTTTGCAAAAGGTCAAAGAAATGTGTGTACAAAACAGGTAATCTCCTGGGAGGGGGTTTATAGGCTGTGTTTGGGATTCTGATGTCTGAGAAGGGAGGCCAGACACTCCTGCTCTAGTGGTCTTGAGCCCCAATGGGGCGACTCCAGAGCCATTGTGTTGAGAGGCTGGTGTCTGAGCTGTGAGAACAGAAGGCCAAAGGTCAACTTACCCTGGTCTTACAGGAGTCATGAGGAAGTGCATACAGAGTGAGGATGGAAATTGGTTCACTCCCAGAGAGTTTGAAATCAAAGGCGGCAGTGCAAGATGCAAGGACTGGAGGCAGAGTGTGTGCTGTGGCGGGAGAACCCTACGATGGCTGATGGAGGTATTCTAGTGACAGGAGGCTTTGATGTGATTTTCCTGCAGTCAATATTTACTCAACAAATATATGCTGAGTTATGGCTAAAGCCCCAAACCCATGAGTTTATCTTTTTCCTGTGAAGACGTACCCCACACTCCTACCTTAGTATAAGGCAGCACATCCATTTGTCAAAGGGGCTTTGTCTGGGTGGATGCAGTGGCCTCAACAGGGAAAGGTCACTCTGACCCATGTGATTGCAGACAACTTCAGGTACTGAAAGAAAGAAGATTGTCTACAATCAAAAAAGTGGGCAGAAACCACTTCAGAGAAAAAATGGTATAAGAACCAGAACCACAATTAATGTGACTCTGTGGTTTTAGGTAGAAGAATTGTGTGTGATATGGCATAATCCATCAATCTGGGTTGTTTGCAGATAGATTTATGCCAGGATAAGGAGTTTAAACTCATAACATAATGCAGAACCAGGGAGTCTCCTGAGGTGTGAAATGACATATTAAAACAGTATCTCAGACAATGTGGTGCCTTGAAATGACTTCAGTGTCTTTCCGCCCAAGAAACCTGTAGTCAACCTGCAAGGCTCAGCTCCCATGTCACTCCTGTCTGGATGTTCCCTGACTGACCTGCCCTGGTCACCCCTTCCCAGGGTGCCCTGAACTCACTATTGAGGCCCCTCTTCCACTGTATGATTCTTATCCTTCTGTGCATTCCTTTTGTCTCTCTAGACCCCTCCGGGGTTTGTCCATGACTGTGTGTCCAACATTGTCCAGAGTGTGTGACACCCTGTAGATGTGAGGCATGTGTGTGTCAGTTGAATGAATAGTCTTGGTGTGAGGAGGCAGGTGTGAGTGGCACTGGTGGGAATGGAGAGAGGGTGAGAGGTGTCCCAGAGATTGTGAAGGAGAATCTCTGATAACTTAGGAAAAAGCACAAGAGCAAGGAAAATGGTTCTAAAGAGGATTTTTTGAGTTCCATGGATGAATTCTAGAAGAAGAACAGGTGAGAAGTAGATGGCGTCTCATTTAGACACCTGGGCTTTGAGCAGACAGTGGGACATAAGTTAGAAATATTTGGGAGGAGGTTAGAAATGCCAGAGTCCCACACAAAGGAACAAGGCTGACCATATCCTTGGGCATTTTTATTTTTCAGAAAGGATTTCTCTATAATCCTCCAAGAATATATGAAGGGAGAGAAAAGGTAATAATTACATAACTTTCTACAAGTTCTCATTACATAACTGATTTTACATATAAAATATGTTATTTTGTGGTTTCTCAGTTGGATAATTATAATTAAGTATACCTTTTTTGCATCTGCCTTCAGAGTTACTACCTTGAACATTACATTGTATGCAAAGTCTTCTTTGAAGAGCAAACCATTTGAGACAGAGATGATAAGGAGGTATCAAAATAGATCTCATAGATGAGTTTTAGCTATAGATGCAGACATAAGGGTGTCAAATTTGTAAAAGCAAACGTAACTATGGAATACATAGAGAAATTTCATAATAAAGTCACAGGGTCGTCTTCAACACAAACCTAGGTATTTTTTAAATCAAGGTTACTATTTTCTAACTGTATTGAAATCTGATGGAGTAAAGTTGGCTCACCATCAATGAGATGAACCCTGTGTAGTAGCTAGTCTATCTTGGGGCACATATGAAACCATGTACCATTTCATGAGATAGGCAACAAAAATACAGGTTTCTTTTTGAATATTTTACATCCTCTTACACCTTCCAGTAAAATGTGCACAGAGACATACAGAATTCTTTTCTGGGGGGAAACTATTTGCCCTTCATGAGGATGCTGCTTATGGGGAGGAAGCTTTTGGGAGATACCTCTATATAGGAGGGCCTGGCCGGGAAAATTATTTACTTTGATGCTGCCCCTTTGGCTCCAGCAGAAGAGCTGGTCAGGCCTCTTTTCTATCTGTGAAAGTGGTTTCTCCTTCTATGGAAAAAGACTATGGAGGCAACAAACAAATACTTAATGTGTAGTGTAGAGAGAGGACAAAGTGATGGCTTTTCCAAGACTGGGTATGAGAGAGAACTTAAGGTAGTGGGAGAGGAAAGAAATACTCTTCTTATGTACTTCAGGTAGAAATGGCCATCTAAGACATTCTCAGAATCATCCTAAGATAGGTCATATAGAGCTGGCCAATGGGACTTCATCTTTCACTGGGGATGTGAGGTCCAAGTTTATACATTCTGTTTTGTGAAATAATATATTCCTCAAGAACAATCATTTATTGTATGCTAATGTTTGCTCATGAAGTAGCAAGCAATCTATTTTAAGTGACACAATACTCATTCATTCTCTTGTTGAACATAAAATTGTTGAGTTCATACTAAATGCCCAATATCCATCAAAGAAGATTCAAACAATATCCTTGACTTCAAGGATTTTTCACATTTATTGTCAAATATGGAAGAATGAATAATGGGTAGGGCTGGGGGAATCTAGGCCACACGAGGAGGTGGGCAGTGACATGGCCACCTCTCAGGTGATTGTCCAGTGGATGACACTTGTCTATGACCTCTCTGCCCTGGGCTAGAGAGTAAGGCTGAGGCTGTTTGAATCTAGAGGGGAAGTCATTCTACTGAATGTGCATGAGCAATGTAAGTCTAGTGGGTGGCAGTCAGTTACCTCTGAAATGCCACCTAACTGATATCTGGGATTTGAATGGAGAAGAGAAGTGGGTGACATTCTGGAAGAAGAATGGCAACACTGCAGTCCTTGAACTCATTTATCTTTGAAGCTACACCCTAGAAGAGCTTCAGAGGGTGATGGAATTCTTCTCTGGGACACTGGCATGGATTGCAGGAATCTGGGCTCTGTGATTGTTGGAGGCTGTGGATGATGAGTCCTCAGCTTGATCCTCTCATTGCAGCTACTCTGGTGGGATATAGAGAAGAAAGCTTGAGGGCCCCTCAAAGTGGGAGAACCAGAAGAGTTCCTCCAGTTACATCTGTGAAAGCTGGGCCACTCTCCCTGAATGACTTCACATAGGCCCACCTTGGGTCTGAGAGCCAGGACTCATAACTAGATCAGGCCAAACAGTGCAACTTTGGCACTTTTAATTCTCTTTGTAGATATATAGGTTTCATAAAAGTATGTATGAAATAATGGATAGATTGTGAATGGAATCCCTAAAAAGATGGCTGTATAAATAAATGATGGGTGCAAATATCCCATTCATTATTGTCACTCTTTCTCTTTTTTCAGCGGAGAATATCAAACTCTCACAACAGTATCTTAGCTGACCTGTGTGTAAGTACTACATCCCGTGTATAACCCCCAAATAATCTAGGCCTTTTCCTTCGGTATTTTACCTGTCTTGTTGTCACTTTTCTCTGAAGTGTGCTCGCACTCAGTTGGAACATGCTGCTGTGTATTTTGAGCAGAGAATAGGAAATGCATCACCCATGTCAGGTAGATGGTTCTGGAGTTGGGTGTCTCAGTATTAAAGCATCCTTTGCATTTGTTTGGTGGAAACCTTCTTGATTCCCTGTTAGTATGGGAGGCAGAACTCTAGTCCACTGGGTTGCTTAGAGATGGGACTTGAAGTAGAAATAGACAGGGCAGGCCTGCAGATTAGAGGTAAGGTACAAATTTGAGTGGATAGCAGCATTTTTTAAGAAAGCAGAAGGGAAGGGAAGGAACATGCCAAGTATTCACCCCACCATGCAGGCAGAGCTAAGATGGTTTCATGCATCAGGCAGAAGGCACTGGCCAGACCATGCAGCCAAGTTCAAGATGTACTTGCAGAGATGAGACCCACTGAGACATGCATGCAGGGCAGCTGGGTCCTTTATTGGGGCCCTGCATCCAACCTCAAGGGAACCATCATGGTGCTGAGCTGGAGGTTAGGAATCAAACCACTACTGCTTAGCAAATCTGGGCATCTTTACTCACACTGATACCATATGGCTGCCTGTTTTGAGGTCTGCCAAACCCAGGGAAGATTTCACTGTCTAAGCTAAATCATACATTGATTTCTTTCATTGTGACAAAGTGATGCACATTTTAAGCAGAGTCACTTTTACACAACTCCAGGGGACAGCACTCCATAGGATGTGATGCAGTAATATTGATACATGACATCCACAATGGAGGGTCAGTCAAATAGTTCTCCATAGACTTTACCTCCAAGCAATCCCCTGATAGGATGTAGATGTTATTCCCATGGATTTTGACCTTCAGCCAACTTAGGGAATCCTCAATCATCTCAAGAGGAGTCCAGTGTTTGTGAGGCTTGTTTTTAATTGATGTAGACACAGAAGGCTGGGTCTCACTGCCCAGGGCTGAAGGAGGAGGAGATGGCAAGAGTACCCACACTCCTGTCAGTCTCTTTCCTAGAATCGACATTACAGGCCAATTCAACATGGACTTATAATATCCCTCTGCTTTATTGACCAGCCTCTGCTCAGTCTAAATCTCCATTAGGTTGCACACTGGAGTCATTTGAAGATCTAGATTACCCCCTAGAGAAAAATCTGTTTTAATCACCCTGTGCAATGACTTGTATATTAGGGTTATTTAAAAGTGCCTGGATGATTCCAATACACAAAATTAGCCCTTTTGTGACTCAATGAAGAATATCAATGCCTGCACCCCACCCAGACCAGGTGATTCAGAATGTCTAGTATCAAGACTAGGACATTAATATTTATACACTTTCCTTGGAATATTCTATTGTGTAGCTGGGCAAAGATTCAGAGAGGCACACCTGTAAAGAAGATTATATATGTGAGATTCTTAAACACTGGTTATGTTTGTCATTTTCTTGTTTTGTTTTGTTTTTTTTTTGAGAGAGAGATCATCATCTTTGGAGAATGATGCTGGTATCTGTGAGTGTCTGCACTGATAGGAATACAGCGCAAGCCACCCTGCTGGAGTGTTTCAGAGCCCACATATGTGTCAGAACCCCCTCGCCCCCACTCCCAACACTGAATGGGAGCTCTTGGCAGGATATTTTTGGGGCTACACTCCCTCATATATGACCATTTTTAATAACAAAAGAAATGGCCAGAATCCCAATTTTGCCAAACCAACTATTTTCAACACAAAACCCAGAAAAAGACTCAAAGTAATTATGAATTAAAGTCTTTTCATCTTTGATTACTTTGTACACTAAGACATTTTTTCCATCTTATCAAAATCTTAATGCATCACCCATTTTCACTGTCCATCCAATATATTATGCCATTGTGGTGTAGACAAACAGGTCTAACACTATTTCAGGAACTGATTTCACCTGCATGGTAATAACACTATTCAGATTCCCATGAAATCATCCCCTTGTTTGTTGTCTGTCTTTCTGTGTTAGAATCACTGGTTTTATAAGCAAAACTTCACTGGTCTGGTCACATAGGCCCATCTCCTGAACTTCACCGCATCTGAAGAATTCTTCTTCTGAAACCCTCCTTCCAGCTCAGGAGAAACACATAAGAGTTCCTGCAGGTTCACACAAAGTCTACGAGTCCTAAATTCCCACAGCCCTGGTTGTCATTGGGGGCCCATGGGGATATGGTCATTGTTTTACCTTCTAGCTGAATAACTCAGATGTATGTGAGATCTGCCTGGATGGAGGAATGCTCTTCTGCTGTGACACATGTTCCAGATCCTTTCATGGCTACTGCCACCTTCCACCTGTGGAGACTGAGAGGTTTGTGAGATGCAGTCCCCTCCCCTTTAGGGACCCTTCCTCCTGCCATGCATGCTCTACTTCATGGGCTCCTCCTTGTGACCCGATGGGGACAGAATGGTGCTGGATGTGTGAGTCCAGCAGTATGATCCTGGGAGCTGTTGAAAGATGCTGGCAGCAGGAGGGTAATGCTCCCCTCTCTCCTCTGGGAGGTGGAGGCCAGTGGCTGCATCCTTTGCTTTCATAATGCTACTGTCCTTTCCAGAACTTTCCCAGCAGAGACTACTGTTTATAGGAGTGGAAATGCCAGTTGTTTATGTTCTGTGCTTATTCAGAAAAAGCAGAAAACATGGCCTGGTTTCCTCATTTTGCCACCTTCCCAACTGGCTGATGAAGGCCTAAGGTCCCCAGGGTTAAGTTAAGGTCCTGTCTCTGACACTCAGGCCTGGGGGACAGGGCTCCCTGTGCTCCCAGCAGTTCAGATGGGGAAAGGAGAGCCCACCACTTACACTGACAAAGCCCTCCACACACTCACCCCCTGCTTTTACTTTTTATGGTCAGAGGGTCGTCAACTCAGACTGCGCATGGGGGTCTTACAGCCTCTGGGAGGTGTTCCCTTTATGCTCCCACTGTGCCCATCAGCCATTTCTGAAAGAAGAACTGAGGCAGTTATAGGAATGGTGCCTGTTTCTGAGACTTTGTCTTGTTAATTTTGTCTGACCTCTCAGGAGCCCGTGGAGTTGCATCTTCTGCAGGATAAAGGAGTTTTCAGGAAGTCAGCAGTGCATCAGGGAATCTGAGGTCCTGGCGAGGCCAATGGGGCCTGAGGAACAGCTGGTGAGTCAAATCCAAATGCCGAGTCTCCTCCTTTCTGCTCAATGTGAGAAGTCAAACAGTTGTAGAGTGAGAGGAAGGGTATCAGAGCCCTCCTGCTCCTCTGATTACACTTCAACCACTCTGAAAACTCCCCAGAAACTGTTTGCAGAAAAGAATCATTCAGCCAACATGACTGTCTTAGAGCAAAAGCTGTTTGGGGAAACTTCCAGAAGACTGGTATGGGCATGCCTGCACATATATGGGCTCATTCTTTCCAAGTTGCTTTTCATTCACATCTTCCTTCTTTTGTAGAAATGTGAGTTCCTCCTCTTGAAAGTATATCGCCATCCAGAGAGCTCATATTTTGCGAAGATTCCATATTATTATTATGTGAGTAACAATAATAGATCATGAATACAAGCTGCCATGATGTTACTTGACCTTGACACTGGCTGTTGTGGGATTTGAGATCTGAAGCCCCTGGGAGGGAGACACGAGCTGTCTTTATGTTCACCTTGGATTTCTGTTGTGTGATGGGAATTCACAGAAGGCAGACATTGAACTATGCCAGTAATTTTCTCAATGATATTTTCCTCCACCAGGTCAAAGAAGTGTCTGAAAACCTAAAGGAACCCATGTGGTTGGACAAAATCAAGAATACGCTACTAGAGCACGGTTACTCCCAAATAAACGGGTTTGTGCGGGACATGCGCCTCATCTTTCAGAACCACAGGGCATCGTACAAGGTAAGTGTCTCTCCTGCTTCAGTTTAATTTTCTTTCTGTTGACTTACTCTGCCCTCATTTCCTGGTGCTGGGAAATTTTAGTATCCCTCATTCTTTATGGTGAGCCTGTACCAGCAAGAGTTCAGGAAGTGAGTCACTTTTAAAACTCAGGATTTAAGCTCCCTGGGCGGAGTAACAGTGAGTCAGGAGGTGTCCCTACAGCCAGAACCCCAGGGCCCTGAGAGTTCATCCTCCTTGGGAAAGGTGACAGGTGCCTGTTTGGAACAGTCACATCTTCCTTGCTCCAAACCTCAGGAAAAGATTGTGCCCTAAAGTCATGTTGTTGTTCTTGTCTCTCCTCAAATATATTCAGTCAGACCTCTCAGAGATCCCCAACTGCAGAGTCCTTTGCGTGTGAATGTCCATATAGTTAACAGGGGTCAGCAGGGGGGAATAATGTGACACTGTGAAAGGAAGGTCACTGGTTGCATTTAATATTGGATTGTTGCGAAGAGCATGTATTAATCTTCTGTCATTAAGATAAACAACCCAAGCCAATAAGGAAGATAATAGATTAACGAAGAAAAAAATAATAAATAAACAGCTCTGGAAGCTTATAGAATGATAACAAAAATAATGAGTTCCCACATGTGGTCATCATTTCCCATTTTTGCCTAGTTAACATGAATCAGTTGTGCACTTGGACTCAGAAGTTACTCTTAGCCACATGAATTTTTTGTCTTAACCTGGTTAATGTAACTTCGAGGTTTACAGCAATGATTCTTGAATGCAGTGTTTCTAAACACTGAGGATGAGTGGCATTACTTTTGTTGTTTTTTATCTTTTTTTTTTCCAGTACAATGACTTTGGCTTAATGGGCCTTAGACTGGAGGAGAAATTTGAGAAGACTTTGAAGGAAGTGTTTGCTATTCAGGAAACAAATGGAAGCAGTTCACCGGTATACTGAATGCTGCTGGTACTGCAGGAAATCACCCTTGGGGGCTGACTTGTCATTTTGTGGCTGCTGTGAGGGTTGGCTGCCAATCTACCTCTGAGTGGCATGACTCATGCTCCCCACTCAGCTCAGGCTGGAGCTAGTCCCAGCTGTGACCAGATCCTCGCTTAGCTTTCCACCATGCATGCTATCCTGCTCCCCTGACCGCTCCTTCTCCTGAGAGATTTCTCACAATAAATGACTGACTGAAGGGACTTCATGTCAGGCTCTTCTTTGAGGGATCACAAGAAAATAGTCCTAGCAAGGACTAGTAAGTCCTAGCAAGCAGGCCTTAAGAACGGGGTTTGTGGGTTGGATCACTGTGTAGTCACTGCCTGGCTACACAGTGAACTGCGTAGCCAGGCAGTGACTTCCACAGTGCTTCCAACACTGCTTCCTTATTGGCTACAGTTGGATCACTGTGTAGCCAGGCAGTGACTACACAGGCAGTGACAGGCAGAATATTGATAGTCCCTGGATGCTACAACAGTGTCACTGACAAAAGTTCACCTGTAGGAAACCGGATGAACAGAGGGGAAGAGGTCCTAGCTGGTACAATTTTCTGGCATTTACAAAGGGAGAAATAGTAGCTATAAGAACTGTGGATTTTGGTGGCGCTTGCTAAGTGTGACAAATGTGTTGAAAAGAGTACATGACAGGCTTAAATCTATTAGTCACCACCTAAAGCAAAGAGATGCTCATGCCTGCAGCTGGAAGGCAGACACTAAGAAATGCCTGGAACAGGCCCTAATGTTAAGAAAGGTAGAATTTCAAGGAAGGCAGAATTCTAAGCTCATTTGGCCCTCTTATTCCAAAGTCAAGGCCCTGATATAGAAGGAGTGAGCCCTGAAGCTCAGAATGGGCCTTCCTCATCCAGAAACATCCCGAAACCCAGAAATAATGCTTAATTCAGGCATTTCATGATTCCGTCAAGAGGACACATAAAGCTAACCATCATAATCACAGTGTGTTAATTGGTCCTGATGGGCAGAAGGTACTTCTTGTTGTCGAGTCACATGAATACCAGATTCAGAGATAAGCCACCCAAGACTCAGAGATATGTCATATGTATGTTTTTAGTGGTTCCATATTCTGGAGCATATCAGGATACCCTCTCCAAGCTCCAATCTATTGTACTTTGCACATCCTACCACTAAGAAGTACAATGCTTGGTAGGCTTCACCAGGTAAAAAGAATAACCACTATTGACAATTTTCTGACAGTTATTTTAGGCTTTGGATTGTGTGTGTTGGGGTTTTTTTATGTTAATAATCATCACAAGGTGTGTTCTCATCAATGTTTTTCACATGGCATTATTATCTGTCAATAAATGCAGTGTTATATGTCTCTTCATCATAGCTTTTAGTTTTCATCAAGCCTCGACTGCAGTTGGCTCTTGTTGGTGGTGTTTGTTGTTGTGACCAATGCTAATCTGCATGAAGAGGCAGCAGCGGCAGGCATGCTGGAGGGCACTCCTCCGCATTTTGGCGGGGTATCCTCAGGCAAGTTACTTACCCTCCCATGCACCTGTGGGATCTTCCAGTGCAGATACTATTAGTGCATAGCTCACTGGGTCACTGGGAGGATAAATGAGTTAAAGTTTGCCATGCACTGAGAAAGCACCTGACCCTGAAAGCAATAAGAAACTAAGACAGAATACAAACACCTAGTATCGGTTAGGGCACTTGCCTGCAACACCAATGTTGTCTAGGTGAGACAAAAAGGGTCCTCACTGATGAGATGTTCAATGGCTCACAGAAAGGGCAAGAAGGTTGGGCGCTGAGCCTACAGCCATCTGAGAATGAAGGCGGGAACCAGAGTAGCCCCTGGAATTGAGCACCAGACATCTGGGCCATCTGGTTAAGGACTGCTGCAGAATGATGTTTTCCAACTATCCCTTCAATTCTGTAATGAACTGCACTCAGAGCCCATCTCCCCACAGAGAGTCCTACTGCCCAGGCTGGCTGAGTGCCAACATCTTTATCAATAGTCCCTCCAGTTGTGTACACAATGAGGAGACGTTGTCCCCTGAATGGGAGCTGGGTGCTGATAGGGAAGGGAAGGAGGCTGGGTGGCCAAGGAAAACATGAGTGACTGACAGAACCCACCCAGAAGACCAAAGAGGTGGGTCATGCTGTCTCACAGGAAGAATGGGACAATCCTGGTCAGTCAGCGGGGTTGCAGAGCCTGGGCCTTTTTTAATGGAGCAGGTTGACTGTGGTCCCATTGCCCTGTGCTGTGGAGATACAGGCTGAGGTGGTCATCCTGCTAGAAGGGAGAATGTCCACCCCAAAACACTGGACAGTCAAGAACAAGGAAGGCCACTAAACCTGTTGTTCCTTAAGTCCTGTTTACCTGGACTCAGATGCTAGCTGTTTCCTATGATGCTGGGAGCTTAGCTGTGGTCTTACCTGGGGTGGGGTGTGCGTGTGTGGCTGCAGGAAGACCTGGAGCTCCTGATGTCATGGGGCTCTTGCTAACCACCCATCACCCAGGCCTCCCAGAGAGGCTCCTCTGGGCATCAGCCATACCCTGCTCCACTTTGCTAGAGAGAAGAGCCTCTCTCTGAGAGGAGGGGACAGGGGTTCTCCCACTCTCTCTGTGTAAATTGGGTGGGGAGACATCTTTGTGAACACAATATTGGCAGAACAGCTGGCTGAGGGTTATGGAAAGTGAACAAGGGCAGTCCATTTTGAAGGCAAGTCAAATCTCACAAGCAGGCGGCATCAGATATTTCCTGTTTATTGTCACCCGGCTCGGAGAGCAGCCACAAGCTTGCATGGGGTGGTTAAAATTTGGTAAGCAAGTCCACTTTCTTCTTAGTCAGCTGAGCCAGTGAAGAAGCCCAGGACATCCAGGCTTTCTGGGGAGAGAGGGGAAATTCCAAGAAGAAAATCACAGGAAGAACCTCAGATTCTTTTTTTTTTAAATTAAATTTATTTTTTTTAAATTTTATTTTAATCATTGGTCAAGTACAGTTTTCTCCCTTTTACTCCCATTCCAGCCCACCCACCCAACCCTCCCCACTTTTCTCCCATTACCACCCTCCCCCTAGTTTTTGTCCATGTGTCCTTTAAATTTGTTCCTGTAAACCCTTCCCATTGTCCCCTGAAATTCCCTCTTCTCTCCCCTCTGGTCACTGTCAGTCTGTCCCCTATTTCAGTGTCTTTGGTTATATTTTGCTTGTTTCTCTGTTTTGTTGTTTAGGTTCCTGTTAAAGGTGAGATCATATGGTGTTTGTCTTTCACTGCCTGGCTTATTTCACTTAGCATAATGCTTTCCAGCTCCATCCAAGCTGTTGCAAAGGATAGGAGCTCCTTCTTTCTTTCTGCTGCATAGAATTCCCTTGTGTAAATGTACCATAGTTTTTTGATCCATTCATTTACACATGGGCATCTTGGTTGCTTCCAGCACCTAGCTATTGTAAATTGTGCTGCTATGAACATTGGGGTGCAAAGGTTCTTTTGGATTGGTGTTTTAGTGTTCTTAGGATATAGTCCCAGCACTGGAAAGGCAGATCCATTTTTAGTTTTCTGAGGAAGTTCCATACTGCTTTCTATAGAACCTCAGATTCTGTGTATAAACTCTCCCCAAGTCTCTCCAACCTGAGTTCCAAAGCAACTAACAGGGAAAATGTGTTACAGGGAGGGCCTTAAAAATACCAGCTTTCTTCCTGGTAAAAGCTGGATCAGAGATGTGGTATACATGTGTGCCAAAGAAGGATCTCTAAATCTGAATTGGATTTATTCACACAGCTTCCAAAGGCTCAAATCAACCACACACACAGAGAATCCTCCCGAGGCCACTGTCCCTGTGCACTTGAGCTTGGAGGAACACAAAACCCAGGCCTCTCCACAGGATGAGCCCAGGGAGACCCACTAGGGAGCAGACTCACCTTTCACAGGACTCCCAGCCTGAGTGTGTCCCCAGAAAGAAGGGATGGCAGGGGGACCAGGAGCCCTGGTAATTTGATGGGTCACCTCCTAGAAGGGGACATTGAAGCAGGGCTGAGTGTTCCCACTTAGGCCCAGGTGCCCCTCCCTCTCCATGCCCACATCCACAGAGGTGCCTCAGGTCTCCATCCTCAGCCCAGTGGCAGCTGTTGCCGCTGATTTCTTCCTCCTGCCCATGAATTCTCAGGTCTGGATTCCCTTCCTCATCTCAGGGACAAACCTCTGTCCCCACAGGGTCTCCCAGGCTGGAGACTCAGCCCAGTACTGACGTCTGATTGGAAGCTGCTCCTGGTGAAGCTAAGGAAGCCCCTTCCCTCTCTGTGTCTTCAGCCCCATGTCCCTCCTCAGTCATTGCCTCTCCTCCTTTGCAGGTTTCCAGGCCGTGTAGGTCAGGCGAATTCCCTGAAAACAGCAGTGGTCCCTGTAGTCAGTGCTCCTTGCCTCCAGGGAAAATGCCCAGGCACTGCCTTCTTCCCTTCACATCAGTCCAGCAGGACTGTTTGGGGGTCCTCCTGCCCCTGAAGATGGTCTTATGTGGTTCCTAACTCAGGTGCGTCTGATCTTGTTTTCTGGATCACAAATTTGCTTTCTGCACAGAGGCCCCCTGATCCCACAGAAACCACCGCTGTTCACTGAGTGGGGTGCATGCCCAACTTTCTCTGGCTCCAGGAAAGAGTCTTTTTCCCTTCAGTCAGGGCAGCCCCAGTGTGGGAGTGTCTGTTACAGGGTGTAGCCAAGAGAGGGGACCCCAAATAGGCATTTGAAATGGGGTCCAGAACTCAAGGTGTCTAGGAGATTTTAGGATGTCCTCACCCCCACACCCCTGGGTGTGGGTTGGGGGAAGGGACAAGTGGAGCAGGGCCTTTGAGAGCTGTTTCCGCATAGCAACAGCCTTGCAGCTAACCTCTGGCATGGTCATTTAACATATCTATAGCCTTTGGCTGGTCGCTTAGATATGTTAAATAGCTGTGGCCATGCTCTGAGCCAGGGGAATAGAAGTAACTTTCTTACTAAGACATAAGTGGGGGGCAGGTCCCCCGAGTTACAGCCCCTGCGTGGGAGCTTGGAGATGATTGGCTCCATCACACGGGGCCACACCTGCCCAGACTCATGATGGCAGTCCAGTGAAGCTGGAAGGGTATGAGTGCTGGCATGTGTAGCCGATTGTAGGAGGAGTCGGAAATGCGGCTGCAGAGGAAGATTGGCGTGGGGGATTTAAATCGAGATGCAGCAGCCATTGAGGGAGAGAGAACCACGTGGCCTTGACAGAGTGGAGACTCCCGCAGCCCTGGGAAAGAGAATCACCATGTGGCTTTAGCAGAGAACTGCCACTCGGCTTTGGCAGAGTGGCGACTCCCCCGCCCCTCTCCGCCTGCAGCCATTGAGGGGAGAAGCATGCGGTTTTGGCTGAGTGGGGACTCCCATGGCCCTGGGAGAGAGGACCATGTGCCTTTGCCAGAGTGGGGACCCCCGCAGCTTTAGAAGGGGGAACCACCACCTGGTTTTAGCAGAGATCCCGGCCACACAGCTGAGGGTGCCAGGAACCCAGGGAGGTCTCCCAGTCAAGACAGAGTCCTAACTGGGAATAACCAGAGGACTGCCTGAGCCATGGGCTTCTATTTCCTTTCCTGAGATACGGTACTCTGGACTGGGCAAAGGGGGAAGGAAGGAAGGACTGTCTGTTTGTGGGTGCTTTAAGGGACTTCAGGATTTTTGATAAAGACATTAGGTCACTATGTTAAGTTTGTATAGCATTAAATAAACATTTCCTTTCCTTTTCACAAATCTCTGGCATTGAGAGACGTCTTTCCTCTGGCAGCAGACATAACGGACCCGGAGCCTTCTTTCAATAATAGTATATTGTCCCAGGCCCCCCTTGTTTGTTCTGTAACATGTCCACCTAGGAGGTGGGCAGCTGTGGACCTCCCACCCAGCCAACTGCTATCCGCCTCTCATTCACATGGTGATTTGGTGACTCTAAGCAGACTCAGGGAAAAGCTGGCACATTTATGCCAACACCCAGCACAGTGGGGGCTTATTCTGCCTACTGCTCAGGGGGACAGAGGGGCCGGGGAACACTGGAAAGGCAGGAGTCATCTGTGTCAGACTATGTCTGGGCCATGAGTCCCTTGGAGTGGGAGCACAGGATAGCCAAGTGCTCTAGAGGCTCAGCTTACTAGTCTGGAGGGTGAGGGGATCCCTGTGTGTGCAGCACCCGAGACACACTGAGACCCTGCCCACTAGTAGAGGTCCTCCTCTGTGTCCTGGAATCTGTTCCAGTGTAATCAATATTCACTCCTTTGGGGGAAAGAAAGAACAAATGTGGAGAGAGGGTGGAACCTTCCCCTGTATCTTACATGTAATTGGGCGAAAACCCTTAGTCCCATCCGGAGGAAGATGGACTCAGGGATCAAATGTGGAAACCATTCCTCTAGGGATGGTGCTTCTCCAGCCCTGTGTCCAAACACTGGGACCAGCTCACTTGGGGCCAAGCTCTTCACCAGCCTGAGTGACGATCTGAAGTTTCCGTATTTCCCTTTCTCCCTAGAGCCATCTCCACGTGGATGAAGGGCAACATGGGTTCATTCCCTCCCCATGTAAGCTCTGTACCCTTTAGCAGGTTGGGGCAGCTGAGGACAGTGGGTTCACAGGTTGTTTTTAGTGTCTTTGACAAACGAGTGGACCCCTGGGAGCTGATCCTTCTCCCCCTGGAGGTCCTTCTCCTCTGACCTGCCCAGTCCTGACTGTCCCTCCTTTTCCTCTATTTCCTCATGTGTCCTGATGACTGGGGCGCAGGAGGAGGGAGACGTCTGACAACACTTAGAAAGTTACTTTCACTTTTGTTTTTCTATTTTGGGTGGAGCCCTCTCTGGGTGATTCACACTTTTCCGGGTCAGGTCTAGACAGCCACACTGGGATCAGGCTGAGGACTCCGAGGGATGAGACCCAGGCAGGACCTGGGGCGAGAAGATGGCCAGTGGGGGCAGTAACCTCAGCATCAGGTCAGTCTCTGTGTACCTTCCTTTAATTTCCTCTCTGGCTGTGCTGCTGCTTTAGTGCCTGTCGTTAGACACTCAGCGAGACCTGGACCTTAGTCCTGCTTTACATGTACACTCATGTGCAGTGTAGTGGAATGCAGGAATGTGTAGTGAGAAAATTGGGTCTTTAAACTGCAGAGGGGCAGCCTCTGGTGTGAGTGCAGTGGCCGCAGCCCACAGGACTCTTACACCTACCGCGTTGCTGTGGAGCCACCTGAGCTCCGCTGTGCTTCCTGCTGATTTGAGAAAGGGATTTGTTATTTTCTCATAACTTCTGTACACTCTCATTTTTCCCAGGCCTCCTCTTGGTTATTTTAAATACAATAGTTTAAAACCTATAAAATTCAGGGTATCCACTGGACTTATTTTCAATCACCAGTAAGTGTGGTCACTTATCTGACATGTGAATGGACCTCTAGAAGGAAAATGCTAGAAACCCATTTTTTCTCTAGTAATAGGTTCAGAAACAATATTACTTAATACATTTAATTAAGAACTTTTTTTTTAAAGATTTTATTTTTATTTATTTTTAGAGAGGGAAGGGAGGGAGAAAGAGAGTGAGAGAGAAACATCAATGTGCGGTTGCTGGGGGTCATGGCCTGCAACCCAGGCATGTACCCTGACTAGGAATCGAACCTGCGACACTTCGGTTCACAGCCCGTGCTCAATCCACTGAGCTGGATTGAGCTGGATAAACCAGCCAGGGCTTAATTAAGAACTTTTAATAAAAAAGATATGCATTATAAATTTCAAATGACATGGATGTATGTAAAGGGAAAAAGTGCTATTCACCGCCCACCCCCTGCTGCTTCCAACCCTGGTCCTGTTCGGGTTGTGGACCACAGCCTCCCAGAACTTTTCCTGTACATTGACACATATAATTTATCTTCCTAAATACATAACTGTGTCTTGCTTTTTAATAAATGGCATAATGTTATATATGCCATTCTGTATTTTACATTTTCACTTATTTTAATATTAAATATCTTAGACATCTTTTAACTCTAATAAACATATAGGTCCTCCTCATTGTTTTGATCAGATACACACTATTCCAAAGGCATGTTGTGCCATGTTTTCTAAGCAATTTTGCCTTCCATTGACTGATATTTAGTTGTTTTTCAATTGTTCTCTTTTGTCAAGAAGCTGTGTAAACAGCTAGTATATATAATTTGCATGTATATATATAAGCCTTTGGCTCGTGTCAAACCCCAAAAGTTGGAGTGTTTGAAACAAGGGGTGTAATATTTGCTTTTCATAGATCCTGCCAATTTGCCTTTCAGTGTAGCTGAACCGATACATCCTCACATCAGAACAAGTGAATCATGCCATCTCCCCACACCCAAACCCTGCAGAGGTGGTGGGTAAAAAGTCACATCTTGTTTTAAGTCACATTTTCCTGATTACATGGGGGGGTTGAATATTTTTCATCTTTATTGGCCATTAAAATGGCCTTTTCTATGAAATGCTTGCTCATTTATTGCCAATGTTATTCTGTTGACGTTGGAGTAATATGTACTATGTATGTTTCTAAGGACTCCTTATTCATTGTATTTCTTCTATCTTCTCCTCTTTTTCTTCCCTCTCGGGTTATAATAACATTTTATTACTATGCTTTTGCTAGCATATTAATTCAACTTTTACATTGAATTTGTGACAAACATTTTCTCGACACAAAATTATCTTTTGACAGTTTCTGAGGTCTGATCTACCAGTTTCTGGGCTAACCTGAGGAATTGTCTGGGTTGAATTCTTTCAGGAGGCTCATAAGGGGAGACTCCTTTTCTTGCCTTTCCTAGGCCTTAGAAGCCATCAGCATTCTTGGCTCATGGCCCCTTCCTCCACCTTCAAGGCCAGCAACACAGCATCTTCAAATTTCTTTCTGACTTTAACTTTTCTGCCTCCCTCTTCAACTTATGAAGTCCCTGTAATTACCCTGGACTCACAATGATTAATTTCCCCTTAATACGATCCTTAACTTTTCCTTTTCTTATTGAAGTGTAATAGACACATAACATACTAATTTTGGGTGCTACAAAAACGTAATAATTCAATATCTGTTTCTATTGCAAAATGATCAACACAGTAAGTCAATATCCATCGTCACACAGTTACACAAATATTTTTTTTGTGATTAGAACCTATAAGATTTATTCTCTTAGCAACTTTCAAATACGTAATTCAGTATTATTACGTATAGTTTCTATGCTGCCATGTCATTACCATGACTTATGTATTTTATAACTGGCAGTGTGCACCTTTTTACCAACCTTACCAATTTTCCCCACCCCCAACTCTGTACTTTTGGCAACCACAAATCTGCTCTCTGTAACTATGTGCTTCCCTTTTGCTTGTTAAATTTTGTTTTAGATTCCACACGTAGTGAGATCACATGCATTTTTCTCCTCTGTCTGACTTATTTCACTTACCATAATGTTCTTGTAGTTCTTTCTTATTGTTGTGAATGACCATGTATTCATTCATTTTTACAGCTGAATAATATTCTACTGTATACATACACAACATTTTCTTTATCTGTTCACACATCCATGAACATTTGGTTTGTTTCCATATCTTGGCTACTTTAAATAATGCTACAGTGAACACAGAGGTACTGCATCTCTTCAAGGCAATGTTTCCATTTTCTTCAAAAAATACCCAGAAGTGGAACTGCTGGATTACATGGTAGTTCTATTTTTAATTTTTGGAGGAAACCCCATATTGTTTTTCCTAGCATCTGCACCAATTTACATTTCCTCTAACAACACTATGATTCTGTTTTCTCTTTCATCCTCATCTATGCTTATTGTTTCTTGTCTTTTTGGTAATAGCCATTCTAACAGGTGTGAGGTGGACTTCTTTTAAAATGTTTTTAGTAGCTGTCTGGAGTTCATGCTATACAATTTATGCCACTTCACCTGTAGTGCAGGCACCTTAAAATAAACAGAATATTACCAAATCCTTCCTTCCATTCCTCATGACATTGCTGTCATTTGTTGCACTTATCTACATGCTGTCATCACCACCAGTTTCAGTCTCTCGAGATGTCTGGGTTTTCTGTCTGCTGCTGGACTGCCTTCCTGAATTTCTCTTTAATGTCTCCAGGATTGGATTCATTGCCTTCTCATTTTCACACCTTTCTCATTACTGGGTTACTTTTCTGTGATTTTGTAATCCACCTATTGAGTTTTTCTAAAAATGGGAATGTGTTGCACAGTATTGAACATTAAATAAATATATAAACAAGTCACACTTATAGAGAATTTTTTGTGAGGTATTAATGTACAAAACAAATTTGATGTAACATAACAATGTATGATGCAGAGAAAGAAAACCATAATATAATAAGTGATTTTAAAAATCCTTGTAACATACTGGTAGGTTATAGTTTTCAGTAGAGAAAGTTATATGCTTAGAGACCATTTAGGGAAGTAGACATGCAAGGTTATTAGAATGGATTATGCCAGAGGCCTGAAGGCGGCAAAGCACATGAGAACAAAGAGATGTGGTTGAAAACAAGCAAAACATAAAATTAAAATAGCAACTGCATAAAAATTTAAGAACATATATAAAGCTGCATTTCAGAAATTTGTGTATATGTATTAGCATGCACATAAAGAAAAATTTAAAATGTTTGAAAGCATACCCAAAATGGAAGTTTGCAAAATAAAATGTCTCAGTCTTACACATCCTGATTCACTCTGAGAATTCGAAGGTTGCCTCTACAAGCTCTGTGTCTGGACAGATGTCTCTAGCTGTTTTTGCCATCATTATCCCATAGGAGGCCAGTTTTTAAATTTTTTGGAAACTTCTTAAATATTTCTCTTTGTTCTTTAGGTATTGTTATTTAAAAAATGATGTGCTTTGGCTTAGTTCTTTAAAAAATTTTTTTTCTAAATATCCATCTGTGCCCTTTAAAAAATCATGCCCTTCTACTCTGGTATCTCCTTAAATAATTCCCTTGATATGCTCCTCCTCTGTGGTTTTCTCATACTGGTTTCTTGAGTCAAAGTAGGTAGCTCTAATACCACCTACATGAATTCTAACCCTCTTATATTTTCCCTCAGATTTACTTTTCCCCCTTTTAACTTGTTTATTTATACTCTAGGAAATCTCAGCTGTTTTACAACCATTTTAGTACATTTAAGAAAATATTTAAAAATTAGTTTAAAAATATCTAACCACTACTTTCTTCTCAGTTATGTTTTTTTTTCTCCTGCATCTTGTGGTACAGTATGTATTCTCAAAACTCTAAAAATATTAGAGTTTTTAAAATCTTTCTCTTGCTTACAACAATATCATTGTTTCTCCTGGGGTAACTTCTTTCTCTTTTTAATGTTATTCTTTCTTTAGTTTATTGTGGAATTTCCTCAAATTAGTGTTGATCTCTAGTTAACCTCTAGTTAAGTACCTACTTAAGAGAGGGTCTAAAAATCAATCAATATGAATTAAATATTAAAGAGAATAAAGATGAAAAACCATGTGAATAGCTCAGTAGATGCATTTGATAATACTTAATAATAAAACTCTCAGCAAACTAGGAAGAAACATAACTATTCTGTTATACATATATATGTACAAAAATGTACAGAATATGTCATACTTAATGGTGATACTGAATGCTTTTTCTCTGAGATTGAAAACAAGATAAAGAAGGTTACTCTTACTACTTCTCTTCAACGTTATATTTAAACTCCTAACCACTGTAATAAGAGAAGAAAAAGAAATAATTTTGCTGGAAAGGAATAAGTAAGAGTTTTATCTGGCAATGACGTGAATATTTTCTATAAAATCCAAAAAGAACCTACAATATTTTATTAGAACTAGTAAGATAATTTAGGAAAGTTGTGTATACATGGTTAATGCTTTTCAGAACCAATTCTAATGATTAACAAGAATAGCAAGCAATTTAAAAAGCAATACCATTTAGAGCAGGAAAAACATAACTAGTGGTAGTTTTCATGACAATGTGGGTGACTTCTGTACTGAAAACTATAAACACTGATAGGCAAAATGAAAGAAAGCTGAGTAAATGGAGTGTTAAAGGATTGTAAAGCCAGTATTATTAACATATCAGTTCTTATCAGCTAAATGTATACCCGATAAACACTCCAAAAACTTTTCATGTAGAAATTGACAAACTGATTATAAAAGAGATGTGGAAAGCTTAGGACTTAGAAAACCCAAGACAATATTTCCCTAATTTTTAGAAATATATTTTATTGATTATGCTATTACAATTGTCCTATTTTTTCTCCACTTTATTCCTCTCCACTCTGTACTCCCCTCCCACCATCATTCCCCCAACTTAGTTCATGTCCATGGGTTGTATATGTAAGTTCTTTGGCTTCACCATTTCCCATACGATACTTAACCTCCCCCTGTCTATTTTGTACCTATCATTTATGTTTCTTATTCCCTGTACCTGTTCCCCATTCTCCCCCCTCTACCTCCTCATTGATAACTCTCCATGTGATCTCTATTTCTGTGAATCTGTTTCTATCCTAGTTGTTTGCTTAGTTCATTTTTGTTTTTGTTTTTTTTTAGGTTCAGTTGTTGATAGTTGTGAGTTTGTTGTAATTTTACTGTTCATGTTTTTGATCTTCTTCCTTTTCTTAGATAAGTCCCTTTAACATTTCATGTAATAAGGGCTTGGTGATGATGAACTCCTTTAACTTTACTTTTCCTGGGAAGTATTTTATCTGCCCTTCCATTCTAAATGAGAGCTTTGCTGGATAAAGTAATCTTGGATGCAGGTCCTTGCCTTTCATGGCTTTGAACTCTTCTTTCCAGGCCCTTCTCTCAGTATTTTCAGAGGTTTCCATATACAGTTGCACAATGTAGCAATGTGGGTTGCACTGCCCTGGCAAATACCTAAGGCTCCACCCCTTACTAAGTAACAGGTGTGCTAAGACAAAAAAAATATGACCCAAATGAAATAACAGATCAAAGCTCCAGGAAAAAATACAACTAAGTGAAGAAGAGATAGCCAACCTATCAGACACACAGTTCAAACACTGGAAATCAGGATGTTCACAGAAGTGGTTGAGTATGGTCACATAATAGGGGGAAAAGTGAAGGTTATGAAAAGTGAAATAAAGGAAATTGTACAGGAAACCAACAGTGATGGGAGGGAAACTGGGACACAAATCAACAGTTTGGACCAGAAGGAAGTAATATACATGCACCCAGAGCAGAATAGAAAAAAAAAATCAAAACAATGATGAGAGGCTTAGAAACCTCTGGAATGACTTTAAATGTTCAAACATCTGAATCATAGGGGTGCCAGAAGGAGAAGAGAAAAAACAATAAATTGAAAACTTAATTTGAAAACATAAGGAAGGAAATCTTCCCCAGTCTAGCGAATAAAATAGACTTCCAGGAAGTTCAGGAAGCTCACAGAGTTCCAGAAAAGTTGAATCTAAGGAAGCACACACCAAGGCACATCATAATTACATTACCCAAGATTAAAGAGGAGAGAATCTTAAAAGCAGCAAGAGAAAAGGAGGCAGTTACCTACAAAGGAGTTCCCATAAGACCATCAGCTGATTTCTCTAAAGAAATCTTGCAGGCAAAAAGGGGCTGGAAAGATGTATTCAAAGTCATGAAAGGCCAGGACCTACATCCAAGATTACTCTATCCAGCAAAGCTCTCATTTATTTATTTATTTTTTAAAAATTTAATTGTTGAAGTACAGTTTTAAAGCTCTCATTTAGAATGGAAGGGAAGATAAAATGCTTCCCAGAAAAGGTAAAGTTCTAGGAATTCATCATCACCAAGCCCTTATTTTATGAAATGTTAAAGGGCTTATCTAAGAAAAAGAAGATAATAAAAAATATGAACAGTAAAACAATAAACTCACAACTATCAACAACTGAACCTAAAAAAAGAAGAACAAAAACAAACTAAGCAAACAACTAGGACAGAAACAGATTCACAGAAATAGAGATCACATGGAGGGTTATCACTGGGGAAGGGTAAGGAGGTGAATGGGGGAAAAGTACAGGGAATAAGAAGCACAAATGGTAGGTAAAAATTAGACAGGGGGAAGTTAAGAATAGTATGGGAAATGGAAAAGTCAAAGAACTTATATGTATGACCCATGGACATGAACTAAGTGAGGCAGAATGTAGGTGGGAGTGGGTGTTTAGGGTGGAGGGGAGAAAAATAAAAGGGAGATAAAATTGGACCACTGTAATAGCATAATCAATAAAATATACTTTAAAATAATAAAAATACAGAGTAGAACACAACTTTACAAAATTATTTTCTGATGCATGTTGGGTAGTAGGAAGTCCCAGTGATTATCTTCTGGTATGAGAAAATAGAGCTTATGAATCTTTATAATGTTTAGAAATGCAAAATATTGAATAAATATTATTGTCAGAACAATAAAGTGACTTATTAAGAAGTAGAATACAGACTCAGGTTTGAAATTACTTTCACAGGAAACAGCAGCAATTTCTGAAACTTAAGTGTGTATAAATATTTACTATATGCAACAATAACATAGATAGGTTTATATTAACACAAAATAAAAGCCCCAGGAGAAATGATCAATATTCTTTTTCTTTAAAGATTTTATTTGATTTTAATTTTTATTTTTAACTTTTTTTTATTGTTGTTCAAGTACAGGTTTCTCTATTTTACCCTGACCATGCCCTTGGCCCCAGCCATCCCCACTTCCCATCCCTGATCCTACCCCTGGTTTAGTTTCATCCATGTGTCCTTTATAGATGTTCCTGAAAACCCTTCCTCCTTTTCCCTCATTACACCCTCTGGTTACTCTCAGTTTGTTCTTAATTTCAATGTCTCTGGTTATATTTTGCTTGTTTTTTTTTTATTAGATTCTACTTATAGGTAAGATTGTATGGTATATGTCTTTCACCGACTGGCTTATTTCACTTAGCATAATGCTCTCTGGTTCCATCCAAACTGTCACAAAGGGTAGGAGCGCCTTCTTTCTTTAGAGAGGGGAAGAATGGGAGAAAGGGATAGAACTATCAATGTGTGGTTGCCTCTCACACGTCTCCTACCGGGAACCTGGCCTGCAACACAGACATGTGCCCTGACTGGCTTTCAATCCAGAAACTCTTCGGTTTGCAGTCTGGTGCTCAGTTCATTGAGCCACACCAGCCAGGGAAAATTATCGATATTCTTGTGGAAACCCTAGTGTAACAGAAAGGAGGGGGCTGAATGGTATAAAAGACGCCCCTTTTTCTCCAGGGGTTCCTCCCCACCTACTGGGTTCATTTTGCCCGCCGCCTGAGGAAAGATGTCTCTTAATACCAGAGATCAGTGAAAAGGAAAAGAATTTATTATTTATTTGAAATAATACAAACTAAAGTTCCCCACAAATGCACACAGTCCTCCAGACACCCTCCACATGGCAAAAGGGAGCACTTCCAAAGCCTCATGGTCCTGACTCTCACCCAAGCTGCATGGTCCCAACCAAGACACCAAAGCCGCGTGGCCCTAAACAGATGCATGGTCCCGAAAAGAGAGACACCCAATGGCTGCCATGCCCCCGTTTAAATTCCAGCGCCAATCTTCCTCTGCAGTTCCATTTCCAGCTCTTCTTGTAATTGGCCACAGCTGCCAGCATTCTGGGGAGGTGTGGCCCGGTGGTGTGGAGCCAATTATCTCCAAGCTCTTCTGGGCCCTATTACAAATCCCTATTTGGGGCTTCCCTCTTGGCTGCACCCTGTTACACTACTTTATATGTTATCAGACCATTATTAAACCATATCTTATCTATTATAAGTTAATTTTATATGCATATATTTCTCTGAATAGTGTTATATCAGAGAGTAGACACCTAGCTTTGATCTTTCTGAGACTTACTTTCTCTTAGCTGTTAATTAAGAAGCATTTTCAAAGTTAGATTTTCAGTTTTTTATTTTCCATTCCTGTGTTCATTTTGATTTTACATGAATTTAAATTTTTTAATTAAGAATATTTCAAATATGGTAAGATGCCTTGATAATGGATTTGATAAGGACAGACTGGAATGAACTTTTCCAATCCTGTGCTTCTCTTTCTGTTTCTCCATGCTTCCTTCAATTATATTTGTGTCTATTGCTTCAATTCCATTTATTCAGTTCTCTACTCAGGACCACTTATTTTACATACATTGGTTCTTCACAGCCTGTCCTTTGTATATAAAGTGTTACAGCCTCCACAAGGATCCCAGAATCTTGATGACCATTTTATCACAGTATCTTTTCTCCTAGGATGTGTGCAGAAGACCAGAACATAAAAAACAGTCCTATCTATGAAACTGCATTCAAACACTTCAAAACACATAAGCTTGAGATTTCAAAAGCAATAAATAAGTCATTCCCGTTCCTTGAACTCCTTCGTGACCATGGACTCATCACCGATAAAATGTATGAAGTAAGTGAGGTTTATTATGTCATAACTTGGTAAATGCACACCAACAATTACACTTTGATATCCTGGAACCAAATATCAGGGAACCACTAGCCATGTGAGGAGTCTCTTATGCGTGAGGACCTTCTCACATATTGCTGTTAAGTGTTCCTATAAGGTGAAAAGGGAGAAGAGAAGCAGAGCATCACCAAAGACAGTTCAGCTCCTAACTGAAGAAACTGCTCCATGGTGCTTCCTGGAGTAATAGAGTAGCCCTGGAGATGGTCTAATCTGAAGTTGGTGGGCTCCATAGACGTATAATGGCTTGTAGGAATATAGCATAAACTAGAAATTAAAAGGAATTTTAATGAATGGATGAATAAGTTTAATGATTTATTTTAATGAAATAATAATTGACACATTTCATTTCAATGAACATAATGTAAATAATTAGATCTGAGAAGACTGAAATCCACAGAGAATTAATGTCATGTTGGATAAATTTGTAAGCACATGCTTGCTCTTTCTCCAAAGTTTTTGTTTTTATTTCCTTTGGGGAGGGTATTTCTAGAGACTTGGAATTTAGGTTAATTTTAGCAAAATACATAAGTGGAGATACAGAGACACAAATCTCTTTCCCTATGTTTAGGCTTTCTCAATGGTCAAGTTCACAAAAAGAAAGAACTGTTACTGGCTTCTTTGAGTCCTGCCAGGACAAATTAGTTCTGGGGAAGGGACAGGGTTGTCTGCTCTATGGAACAGAAGCTCATCACCTGCTGTCTGTTCCTAAAACATTATTAGTCCAGGCTTTTTAAGGGCCACACATTGTTTAACTTTGAAGCCACCTTTATTCTTCAAAATAACTCCTCCCTCCATCTAATGTAAATGAGGGTGACGAGATCAGATTGGGTTTACAGATGGATATTTTCAAGGAGGAAGGATATCTTGATTCACTTAGTAACCATACAAAAACATAGAAATTTAAAACCCTATGTGAGAAAATACCTATGTAGGGAAATTGTAACATATTATATTCAAAATCACTTTCTGTGCCTCTTCTGTAACTTAGAAGGTTGTATTTATATTTTTCTCCCTTTGATGTTCTTTAAGGATTATCAAGAATCGCATAGAAATCTGGTTCCTTTATGGAGAGTGGTGTACAATGTTCTTAGTGAACTGGAGAAGAAATTTGACATGTCAGTACTGGAAGCAGTGTTCAGCGAGGTCAACATGAAGGAATACCCTGATTTAACTCACATGCGTACATACTTTGAAAATGGTAATTAGGCTTATTATCTACCCTTTGATGCTCATTGCCAATTTTTTAAACAAGTATGTATTGAGTCCCTACCATGTGTCACATACAGTGCTGGGCAGTGGGGTTATAGCAGTTAAGAAAACAGACATATGAGCTTATCAAAGCTTATGATATAATACAGTGCAACACCCACCTGGGGTCTTCTTAAACAGGCGTCTAGACTCACAGGACAACCAGAATCACAGTGACATCAGATTTAGTGAGAAGGATAAATGTCAGGAAACATAGCATCCCAACAGGCAGCATCAGTTGCTACTCCTCTGCGGGACCCCTTGCAGTGCTCCACACAGTAGTCCACCAGGCTGACTACTACCTGCCTCAAGTGAAAGTTTAGCAGTGGGTGCAAAATCCACATTGGCTCAGCAGCACCATGCTCAAGAGAGTCAATGTTTCATGTAACAACTCTATAGTCATAGCTTTCAGAGACCCCATGAGGAGCAGTCAAGGTACAAGAGTCACCATGTTGAAGGAAGAACAAATATGTCTCATAGTTCATGTAGAGTCTCTCCCAGGCCACATGCAAGTACCTATATACAGTCACAAGTCATTTTTCACCCTAAGCAAGGCTTGGCCTAGCAACATGCAAGAGAGGCTACCTTCATTAGGTTTCCAGAATAATGAGTAAGAAAGTTAACTCAAGGGAAAACTTGCTTTTAAAGAAGGACATGGTTGTATTAGCTTTTTCTCCACAAGGGGTGAAACAAACATTTATCAAAAAATCCCTGAACCAATCCCTGAATCCCTGAACCAATTCCTTCCTCAACTACCAGAGACTGTTTTTAACACTATACAAAAGTGACTGAGTCACCACTTTTTCCTGAGACTTATAGTTTATACTTTCCAATTGGTAGTCAGGAAAGAAAATGTCCTCCAATAATTTTTGTTTTGACTTTTATTGTAACACAGTTAGGTATCAACTATGATCTTCAAATAACAATGGAGAATTCACAAGAAAAAATGATTATATGAGCTGAGGAAAGCAGATGCTACAGGAAAAGTCTTACAGTATGAAAGGGCCCCCCATGTGCTAGTACCACATGGACAATGAGATTTCTCATGGAATGGGTAGCAGATTGTGGGAGTTGATTCAAACGAGATAAATTTGAAAAAGATTTTGGAAGGTATGGCACCTAAGGCTAAGGTATCTGAAGTTTATTTACTGGACATTAAAGACATGCTACAAGGGTTGGCAAGATGGTGGAATGAGTGGAAGTCATACTAACCTGCTCCCAGAACCAATCTGGAAATACAACGAAATTGTAAAGAAATTACCCAGAATGAATGACTGAACAATAAGGAGAGAGAAGTATTATAACTTCAGACAGACAGAAGAACCAGTTTCGGCACAACCCATCTACACCTGCACAACAGCATACAAGATGTGGTGAGTGGAGTGACCCTCTTTGGTGGGAAGGACCCACCAAAGAATGACCCAACAATAATCAAAACACAAATACATCCAGAAAGCCAACATAAATGGCATCCCAAGAGCAGCAAGTTCAGGAGATCAAGGAGACTGCACCATTGAGAACCTCATGGGTCTCCTACCATAGGAGTTCAAACCACAAACTCAGGGAGTCAGAACAAATCAATTTAGAAGCAGAAGCTGACAAGAAGAGTCTCACAAACAATGGGAAAACAAAGAAACAAACCCCAAATGACAGAAAAGGAGGAAACCTCAGAAAAAATGCTAAATGAAATAGAGGCAAATCAACTATCAGATATTAAGTTCAAAGCAATGGTTATCAGGAAGCTCAATGAGCTCACAGAGGATTACCAAAAACTACAAAGAAACTACAATGAACTCACTGAAAACTATATCAACATGAAACATGAAAAAGAAACTATTAACAAGAGCCAAGAAGAAATGAAGAATACAATTTCTGAACTGAAGAACAAGTAGAAGGAATCAAAAAGAGTTCATTTGAGGCAGATTATTGAATCACTGAGCTACAGGACACAGCAGAAAAAAGTTCCAGAAAGAGCAAGAAAAGTGAAAAAGATTGAGAAAGACTGAAGAGGTGTTAAGGGAACTGTAGGACAACATGAAATGTAATAATATCCATATAGTAGGGATACCAGAAGGAAAAGAAGAAGAGCAAGGGATAAAAAACCTGTTTGAAAAACTAATGATGGAAAACTTCCCAAATTTGATGTGAGGAAAAGTCACACAAATCCAGGAAACACAGAGAGTCTCAATCAGGAGGAACCCAAAGATGCTCACTCTAAGACACATCATAATTAAAATGGCAACATTCCAAGACAAAGAGAGAATCTTAAAGGCAGCAAGGGAGAAGCAGGAAGTAACATACAAGGGAGCCCCAATAAGGCTAGCAGCTGACTTCTCAAAGGAAATGCACAAGCCAGAAGGGAATGGCAAGAAATATTCAAAGTAACGAAAACGAAAGGCCTGCAAACAAGACTACTTTATCCAGCAAGGCTCTCAATTAAAATGGAAGGTGAAATAAGGAGTTTCCCAGACAAAGGAGGCTGAAAGAATACACCGGCACCAAACAAGCTCTTCAAGGGATGCTAAAGGGTCTGCTTAAAGAAAAGGAAAAAAAAAAGGGAATGAGAGAGAGAGGAACACAGGTACAAAGGAAGTAAAATGGCAATGAATAAGTACCTATCAATAATAACCTTAAACGTAAATGGATTAATGTCCCAATCAAAAGACATAGAGTAGTTGAATGGATAAGAAAATGATGACCCACACATATGCTGCCTACAGGAGACCCATCTCAGAACAAAAGACCTACACAGACTGAAACTGAAGGGCTGGAAAAAATATTCCAAGTAATGGACAGGAAAAAGAAGTTAGCAATACTCATAACAGTATTGCTACCCAAGTAGCCAAAAAGTACCCAAAAAGGGTAGCAGTACTCATATCAGACAAAATAGACTTCAAAGCAAGGACCAAAAAGAAACACAGAAGGACACTTCATAATACTCAAGGGAAGAATACATCAAGAAGACATAAACATTATAAACATATATGAACCAAACATAGGAGTACCCAAAAATATAAGGAAAATTTTGGAGGACTTCAAGAAAGATATTGACAGAAATACACTTATACTAGGGGATTTTAACACCTCACTGTCAAAAATGGGTAGATCTTCTAAACAAAATATCAACAAAGATATTGCAACATTGAACAAAGTCCTAGATCAAATGGACTTAACTGAAATATATATAGAACCTTTCATCTCAGAAGCAAAATACACATTCTTTTCAAATGCACATGGAACATTTTCAAAGACAGACCACATAATAGGACACAAAACAAGCCTCAACAAATTCAAGAAAACTGAAAGCATATCAAGAATTTTCTAAGACCACAAAGGACTGAAATTAGAACCCAACCTCAAGGAAAAACCTCAAAAACACTCAAATTCATGGAGATTGAATAAAATGCTGTTAAATAATGAATGGGTCAAGAATGAGATCAAGGAAGAAATAAAAAAATTTCTGGAAACAAATGAAAATGAATTCATAACAATACAAAACTTATGGGGCACAGTAAAGGCAATCCTGAGAAGGAAGTTCATAGCGAAACAGGCCTACCTAAAAAGGTAGAAACATTTCAAGTAAACAACCTAACCCTACATCTATAAGAACTGGAGGAACAACAACGACAGCCCAGAGCAAGTAGAAGGAAGGAAATAACCAAGATAAGAGCAGGATTAAATGACATAGAGACTAAAGAACAATCCTAAGGATCAATAAATACAGCAGCTGGTTCTTTGAAAAGATAAACAAAATCGACAAGCCTTTAAGCAGACTTTCCAGAAAAAAAGAGAGAGAGGACCCAAATAAAATCAGGAATGAAAGAGGAGAGATTACAACTGATGCCATAGAAATACAAAGGAATAGTAAGAAATCACTATGAAAAACTATATGCTAAGAAAATTTGAAAACCTAGGGGAAATAGACAAATTTCTAGAAAAATATAATCTTCCAAAACACAATGAAGAAGAAGCAGGAAGCCTGAACAGAACAACAGCTGATGAAATCAGAGTGGTACTCAAAAAACTCCCAGCACACAAAACCCCTGGACCAGATGGTTTCACAGGAGAATTTTACAAAGCATTTAAGGAAGAGCTAACCCCTATATTTCAAAGACTGTTCCAAAAAATGCAAGAATATGGAAGACTCCAAAACTCTTTTTATGAAGCCAGCATCATCCTAATCCCAAAACCTGATAAAGACACAACAAGGAAGAAAACTACAGGCCAATATCGCTGATGAACATAGATGCTAAAATCCTCAACAAAATATTGGCAAACTGCATCCAGCAATACATTAAAAAAATCATACACCATGACCAGTTGGGATTCATCTCAGGGATGCAAGGTTGGTACAATATTCATAAATCAATAAATGTAATACATCACATAAACAAAATGAAAGACAAAAGCCACATGATTATGTCAATAGATGCAGAAAAAGCATTTGATAAGGTACAGCACCCATTTAAGATAAAACACTCAATAAAGTGGGAGTTGAGGGAACATTTCTTAACATAATAAAGGCCATATAGGAAAGACCTTTAGCCAACATCATACTCAATAGGCAAAAACTAAAAGTTTTCCCACGAAGATCAGGAACATGATATTTGCTTTCAATACTTCTATTCAACATAGTATTGGGAGTCTTAGCCATAGAAATCAGACAAGAAAAAGAAATAAACAGCATCCAAATTGGAAAGGAGGAAGCAAAACTCATTGTTTGCAGATGACATGATCATCTACATAGAAAAATCCTATAGATGCCACCAAAAACGTACTCAACCTAATAAGTGAATTTGGCAAAACAGTGGGATACAAAGTCAATATTCAGAAATCAAAGGCATTTTTGTGTGCCAACAATGAAATATCAGAAACAGAAATCAGGAATAAAAACCCATTTTCTATAGCAAAAAGAAAAATAAAGTACCTAGGAATAAATCTAACCAAGGAGGTAAAAGACCTGTACTCAGAAAACTACACAACATCGGGGAAAGAAATTAAGGAAGACACAAAAAAATGGAAGCATGTACCATGTTCATGGATGGGAAGAATTAACATCATCAAAATGTCCATACTACCCAAAGCAATTTATAGATTCAATGCAATCACTATTAAAGTACCAATGACATATTTCACAGATATGAAACAAATATTTCAAAAATTTATAAGGAACCATAAACAACCTCAAATAGCTACTGCAATTTTGAGAAAGAAGAGCAAAGTAGGAGGGCTCACAATACCTGATATCAAACTGTATTACAAGGCAACTGTAATCAAAACAGCTTGGTACTGGCATAACAACAGACACATAGACTAATGGAACAGATTCAAAGGCCCAGAAATAAACCCAAGTTTCTATGGTCAATTAATATTTGACAAAGCGGGCAGAAGAATAAAATGGAGTAAAAGTAGCCTCTTCAGCAAATAGTGTTGGGAATGCAAAAAAGAAAAGAAAAAGAAAAAAAAGAAACTCAAGCACCAACTTACACCATACACAAAAATAAATTGAAGGTAGATAAAAAGGCTTAAATATAAGTCATGACACCATAAAAGTCCTAGAGGAGAACATAGAGAGGAAAACTCAGGTATTCCATGCAGCAATATTTTCACCGATATGTCCCCTGGAGCAAGGGACCTAAAGGAAAGAATAAACAAATTTGGACCTTGTCAAAATAAAAAGCTTCTGCATGGCTAAAGAAAAGGCATTAAAATGAAAAGAGAACCAGTCATATGGGAAAACATATTTACCTATGATACCTTGGACATGGATTTGATCTTGCAAATATGTAAAGGACTCACACAACTCTGCTCCAGGAAGACAAACAACTCAATTAAAAAATTGGTAAAGGACTTGAACAGACACTTCTCCAAGGAGGACATACAGAGGGCCCAGAGACATATGAAAAGATGCTGAGCATCGCTAGCCATCAGAGAGATGCAAATTAAAACCACAATAAGATACCACTTCACACAGTGAGAATGGCCATCATAAACAAATAAACAAATAACAAGTGTTGGAGAGGATATGGAGAAAAGGGAGCTCTAGTGCACGGTTTGTGGGAATGCAAACTGGTGCAGCCACTGTGAAAAACAGTATGGAATTTCCCCAGAAAACTAAAAATGGAATTGTCTTTTGATCTGACAATTCCACTGCTGGGATGACACCCTAAGACCCCTGAAACACCAATCCAAAAGAACCTATACACCCCAATGTTCAGAGCAGCACAATTTACAATAGCCAAGTGCTGGAAGCAGCCTAAGTGCCCATCAGTAAATGAATGGATCAAAAAACTATGGTACAGTTACACAATGGAATCCTATGCAGCACAAAGAAAGAAGGAGCTCCTACCCTTTGTGACAGCATGGATGGAACTGGAGAGCATTATGCTTAGTGAAATAAGACAGGTTATGAAAGACATATACCATATGATCTCACCTGTAAGTGGAACCTAATCAACAGAACAAACAAGCAAGCAAACTATAACCAGAGACACTGAAATTAAGAGCAAACTGAGAGTAACCAGAGGGAGGTGGGAGGGGATAATGAGGGAAAAATGGGGAAGGGTTTTCAGCAACATCTATAAAGGACATATGGACAAAACCAAATGGTGGTAAGATAAATGGTGGAAAGTGGGAATGGCTGGGGTCAACAGGAAGGGTGGGGGAAAATGGAGACCACTGTACCTGAACAACAGTAAAAAAAGTTTTAAAAAAGAAAGAGATGCTACAGATTTATAGTTTTATAAGTACAGGTGTATTACCCCAGTAGGTAACCCTGTCCATCCCTGGGCAGTGGGGGGCCACCAGCAACCTAGTTTCTTTGTTCTAATATACCCACCACTGGGATTTTTGGGTTATTCTGTTCCTCCTTATACTTGCTGGGTCACCTCCTTATAGGGCTCCTTGGCTGGTGTCCTGACCTCTTCTCTTTAGCAGCCTTCTGGGTCCCTGGTCTAGGCATCTTGGGGACGTCCTTCAGCATTGCAATGTGCATTCCTTGCTTGTAGCTTCAGAGGATGTTCTACCTTTATTCCTGAGATCTGCCCCATGCCCCAGGATGTTTTTTCTATCTGATTCTACTGAAAAAAACTGTGAGCTCTGATGCCTCTTTGGGAAGTGCATCCACATGACCCAATTAATTACACCTTTCTCTTGCCCAGCCAAAATTTTAAAGCTCTTGAACTTTCTCTTTTATATATGTAGCCACTTATAGGATCTTAGTTCTATTCTGAGGAAATTCCTGATTTTTCCTTACAGTTTGGAAGTGTTATATACTTTCTAAGCCATCTGTAAATGTTTTTTACATAAATAACTGGCTCACGATGTTTTCATGACTCTTTTATCCTGACGTTTGGGAGTCGCTCCTTTGTATGGGAAACATAAGGGCTCCCTTGTTGAGGGTTCTCTTTTCTGTCCCAGGGATGATGTGCATTTTCCTATCAGGGTGAGGACCCTGAATTTTGAGTAACTGGAAGGCTGAAAATTCCTAAATGTGCAAATTTGAGATGACGCTGTGATGGAGATCTCTAATTTTTCTTCTCTCTCTCTTCAGGTATCCAGCAGAAAATTTATCACCAAGCAAGTGATGGGAAAAAGCTTACAGCGAACCCCAACACCCAACTAAGCCTTGAACAAGGTGATTGCAAAGACTGGTTATCATCTGCTAAGAAGAAAGGAGAGAGGGAGGTGGGCCCTGAGTCCTGAGTTGTTTTGAGGAATCAGGGGGAGAAATGCTGAGGAGCCTGGAGAAGTCAGGGAGGGGTGTTCATATGAGAATCTGACCAGAAACCTATCCTGGAGTAGTAGTTGTGCTGAGACCAAAGGCTCAATACCCAGGACAAAGAAACATAAACCCAGTGGGTCAGGAAACCACATTTAAAAAGAATTGTGACCTGGAAGTAATTATGAAATAGAAAGACCCAGTAGGAGAAGATCAGTGGGAAGCTGTGATGGGCTAAGAACTGTGGGCACAAGGTCAGATATGAGAGGAAATCCTTGATAATGCCAGAAGAAGGAACTTGTTTAAATGTGGGGCGTGCTGTTCAAGAGCAGAAACATTGAAGAATATGGGCAGTCATATAAGGAGAGAAGAAGGGAAGTGATAAGATGTGCAGGAGAGGATGGTTGTATTTCGAGAGAGAAAAAGACAGGAAATGAAAGACAAGAGAAAGGGGTAAAGGACACAATGAAACAACCATATTTTGAGCTCACTTATTGAATATTTACTCTGGCAGTTGTGGGCTTGGTGCTCACAGCTGCCCTTCAGGCGATGGTATCACTCTCTTCCCATTTGCAGAAAGGGAGACTGAAATCTAGAGAGACTATGTATGCAGGTGGCTCAGGGTCAAATGAGCAGGATGAACCCAGGCTCTCTGAACCCAGGTCCTATGTTCTTAACCCATACACTTAATTCTCATGGAAAGGCTGAGAAGACAGTAAACACACGTGAAGAGGGAGGGTGTGGTATGAATTGGGGTGGGGTTAGCAGACATGATTTAATAGGAAGTAAGGTAAGGCCATCATTCAAAGGCATCTCTAAGGACAAAAATAGATTCACTATGCCCAGGGTTGAACTGAAAAGCTATCTCCAGTACCGAGTGGCTCATTTCAGTAAGATGTCCTGACTGGCATCAAGGATGCAGCTGATGGCAAAAGTCAGGTGGGATCCTCCAGGTCCAGATGGCCTATATATTAATACCTGGGGTGAGGGGATCTTCAAGTCCTACTTTATAGAGATTAAAATGGGATTAGAGGAGAATGGCACAGCCCATACTTCGATATTTGTGATAATTCATAAATAGTTCATTGAATGGCAGAAACCTGTAGAATGCTTTCAATTAACAACAGAGCTGTACAGTACATAATCCATCATGTGTAAATGTGATTCAAGCCCAGACTCTCAAGAAGCTTAAACCAATGGCCATCTGCGATTGCCTTGAGGCAACCAGGATAATCTGTGGCTACTAGAAATGGACTGTTGATGTCTATCATGTATTGAACTAATACCCATAGAGCATGGCCTATTTTCTTATGTATGTATAAAATAAAAGGATTATGATAATATGATAGATGGCTGTTGAGAGAATACTTTCAGATCATGAATACCTCTGCAATTTGTTCATTCCATGAGGGTGGCTCTAAGATATTTAATGTAGTAAAATGTGGGAAGGCTATTACAGAAAAGTTTGACATCCATTATCTTTAACACTCAGTTAATTCTATATATCCTCTTATCTTTTAGTAATTGGTCTTGAGTAATTTTGGATACTCTGTATCCAAATGGGGATACATTTCTTTACACAATGTTTTTCTTTAGCCAATAGATTGACTGAGACAATAGCCTGTTGTTTTACAAACTTGGAGTTTTTACTTAGCAGTTTTGTATGGTTACACTTTGTTTTATTTGGACAGCTCAGTGAGTAGGCTAAGAATTATCTAGATCTATAGAGTATAGGAGGAGGGAATCTATATATTGCATCAAAGATGCACAAATGAACTTTATATCCCTTAGGTCTCATTTAAGACTTGGCAGAGGTTGTTTGTCTTACTTTACCAAAGCTACATAACAAATTCCCAAAAACTTAGTGTCTGGACACAAAACCAACTTATTGTCTCACAGTTCTGTGGATTGCAAGTCTGGACAGGTATAATACAGCTCTTGCTTAAAGTCTCACAAAACTAAAATTAAGCTGTCCACCAGTCTCTACTCTATTTGAAGATTGTGGGAGGATTTATCCAAGTTGTTGACAGAATCTAGATCCTTGAGGCTGTAGGACTGAGGTCCCAGTTTTGTTGCTGATTGTTGGCCAGAGATCATTCTTAGCTCCTGAAGGCCACTCATTCTCCTGGATATATGGCTCCCCACACATTCAATCCAGTGATAGCCTGTAGAGTTCTTCTCAATTCTTTTTAATCTTCGAATCTCTGGCATCCAATTAAGACACCAAGTAGAGAAAACTCTCTACTTTTAAGGGGCTTATATAATTAGATTGGGCCCACCAAGATAAACATTTCTTTAAAAATTTAATTTAATTTAATTGCATTTTATTATTTGATGCTCACTAAATTCTTTTAGTCCTTTCAGTTTTATTGAGATATAACTGAGACATAACACTACATAATTTTAAGGTGTACTGCATAATGACTTAACTTACATATATTATGGAGTGATATCTACAATAAATTGAGTTAACACCCATCATCTCATATAGACACTGAAAAAAAGGGAAAAAAGTTTTTTCCTTGTGATGAGATGTTTTGTATTCACTCTCTCAGCAAACATATTGTACAGCAGTGTTAACTACAGTCATCATGTTGTATATTACATTTCTAGTACTTATTTATCTTATAACTGGAAGTTTTTAGCTTTTCACAGGCTTATTTCAATATCTACCCCCTACCCCACATTCCCCACTTCTGGTAACAACAAATTTGACCTCTTTTTCTATGAGTTTTACCTTTTGGCTGGTTTGTTTTTTTGAGACTCCACATTTAAGTGAGGTCATATAGTATTTGTCTTTCTCTGACTTATTTCACTTAGCTTAATGACTTTGAAGTTCATCCCCCTCTCAAAATGGCATGATTTTCTTTTTTCTTTATGGATGAAATGCATTTCAGTGTGTGGGTGCATGTATGTGTGTGAGTATCACATTTTCTTTAAACATAAATTTGTTGATGGACACATAGTTTTTTTTTCTATTTGTTGGCTGTTGTAAACAATGCTTCACTGAACATGGGGGTGCTTTATCTCCTAGACATAGTTATTTTGTTTTCTTTGGATAAATACATCATATAATAGTTCTATTTTGTTTTCTTTGGATAAATGCATCATATGGTGGTTCTATTTTTAATTTTTTGAGGAACTGACTTACTGTGTTCTACAGTGGGTCTACCAATTTACAATCCCACTTACAGTCCTCAATGGTTCCCTTTTATCCACATCCTCACCAGCATTATTTATCTCTTGTTTTGATAACCTCTTTATCTTAACGTCACTTCTGCATTATAACATAACCTAAAAACTGGGGGACATTTCATGATATTTACAGTCCTTGGGGGTCAGAAAGGAAATCTGAGAGGGTCATTTCAGAATTCTGCCTACCACAATGAGGTTTAAGTAAATCCCTAGAAAATAACAGTCCTAATGAGCTATTGACTTTTCCCAAAAATAATATAGGCTATCCTTATGAACTTAGTATAAATGTACTAAAGATTTTGTTATATATAAGTAGTAAATGGGTTAGGCACTACAAGAAAGTGAGGGATTCCTATTTTGTTTATCATCGTATAGATCTTGACTTACGATCAGACTCTAAGTATACTAATGTTTAAAATAACTATAAGTTGATTATGTGTAAAAGAATTTTCCAGGAATTCTAAATTATTCCTTCTGAGAACATTGAATCTGTTCATTTGCATAATAGATCTCTACTGATTTAATACATAAGGGGGTTTAAAAGCAAGCAAAGCAAAGGAAAGGAAATAAAAGGAAATAAAGAAGTTTTTTAGATAATGATCTGAAAGTAACATTTAGTGATTGAGACACAGGAACTTTTAGATATTTTACTCTCTTGTAGAAATATTATCAAATGTATGGTTTACTTTGATATGTTACAAGTTCCCTATCGAAACCCAGAGTCATCATCTGTGAAGCTTCATGATATATTAAGATATGTGCAACAGTTAGAGTTGCAGTGACAGCACAAAGTGGAAATGGAGTTCTGCCAGTGGGGGAGTGCAGCTTTGGCAAAGACAGGCTCATGACAAAAAGTGAAGAGGCCACAACATTCAGTCATAAGTGTGAATGGTGTCCTGCATGTGAACGAAGTATGGGATTCAAGCACCAAGCAGAAACTAAAAAGGGGACATATGGTCAATTACATGGTAATAATTGACCTCAGGTTAGGTAGTAAAAAATGGTTTTCTTTTTCAAAGTGACAAGATATTAAGTGTCTTCATGAAGTTTTTGGAGTGGAATTCATGACTAAGTGTGACCAAATATCCCTGCACAAATGGGTTATTGTCTAATGGACCTAAATTCATTATAGTCTTTGGGACTAACTTGGATATGGAACTTACCTCCTTCCATTTCCTTTGGATCACTTTCTTCTAACATTCAAGAAACATAGGAAAATCAGGAAGAAGCACACATGAGCTGGGATGTTTTATGATAGATAAGAGAGTCAGTAAGTGAAATTGTAAAATAAGCACATTCACAGAATATTTGCTAAATGCTGCACCTCCTAAGACAATGTCTATTTTATACCTAACTCCAAACATATATTTAAATAATAAGATAAATTCAGGAATAAGAACTCATGAAACGTACCAAAGCTCAAGTAGTTGTTACGACAGTTCACTTGGCAGTGGGTCAGGAAGATAACCTGAAGTGGGCACAAGAGGCTGGAGAATTATACCCGTTGGTCCAAGGGTCCCACAGGACACTCCAGCAAGAGTGTTCAAGATGACCTTGGTGGGAACTCCATTTTAAAGGGATAGCCCACATGCAAGATATGAAGCTAAAAGAGGGATTTATTGCTCACTAAGCAAGGTACATGGTGGGTGGAGACACTGTATTTACTGGGCACAATGTTTTTTTAAATCAGAAGTTGCTGACTTTGTAAAGAGTTTTGGGAAGTATGTGTTTCAGGTAGCAGGCCTTCAGAAACAGGAGTGATTCTGAACAGGTTAAATTTAGCCATAGATGCAGGCTTTCTGGAATGTGGTTGTTGCTGATTGGCTGATTTTCAGAAATGTACAGCTGCAACTGATTAGCCAGCTTTAAATGTGGTTGGAGATGTAAGTAGGCATTAGCCAATTGGGATGCATTTAAATGTGATCTTGTACTTACTTTTATAATTTTCAAGGAACAGTAAGTTTCTCATTTTCTGGAAAAATTCAATCCTTTAATTTTAACCCTATGGCAACAAATAGAAAAATAAAAGTAGAAGAAGTTTAATTGGGTGCAAAGAATGGGTATAACATGGCTCTGTCAGAGCCAAAGTGTGATTATTGGAGCAGGTATACTTTTTTCCAAGGAAGCAGTTCGCCTTAGTTCAGAATATCAGTGTGCCACACAGGAGCACTGGGAATTCTTCCCCAATCACTGTTTCAGGATCTGTGGACAGTAACTTTCTTGTTTCTCTTTAATTTCTTGTGAACTAGAAGCTCCCCAAATGGGTAGAGAAGAAGAATCTGAAGAGCTTACCTGTAGCCTACTGCCCTGTGATCAACAAGGTGAGCATGTCTTAAAGAAACAGAGTTAAGATAATGAGAAGAGAGAAGAAAAAAAAAAGAATTAAAGGAAGACTCAGATATAGAGAGGATTAATATTATATTTCAGAGGAAGAAGTAGCAAAACAAAATCCACAAGGGTACCAAAAATAGGGTCACTGGGGCATATGATAAGAGTTTTCATAAGTTATGATTTTGCCCGGAATCAGAGCTACCAGCACATGGAAGTGACCAGTGTTCCTGTGTTATGTGCTTCTCAAAAGATGTGCCAGGAGGTGTGGAGCCACGGACTGAAAGGAGTCAAGGTAAGATGCTGTATGAGGGTCATGGCATGAGGGCAGGTCCATAGTTACCCAGGACCCCAGGTGGAGCGTGACTGGCAGTCGAGCCATTCCATTATACTGTTCTCTGCCTTTTCCTTGATGTGGCCTTTTTGGGAGAAGCAGGGAGTTAAGCGATCATTATAAAGTTATGTTTAACAGGATGGGACCTGTTGATTATACATGGATGATGTAGTGGAAATACAATCTTAAATGGCAATATCTAGTTCATTACGTTGGTATATTAGTAATAACACACCTTGAATTTATGCAGTCATTTCCATGGGTGTCACACCCAATAATCCAAGAAAACAAGGTGTACCTCTGTTAGTAGATGTATCATTTTCTCACAACCTTACCAAGACCTTAGAGACAACTGATCCTGCCACTTAATTGTCAGGAGGGGAGACTTCCAATCAACTGCTCTTAACCCAGCATATCTATTTGGTGTATTAGTGACGTGTTCTCTGCATGTCACTAATTTATGTAGTATTTTCCCACAAAATATTTTGTAGTATTTTTGTAGTATTTTTGCCACTAGATGTTATTTAATTCTCACAAAAATTTTAAGACCTAGACAGGATAGGGCACTTGTTCCTATCCATAAGTGAAATGAAGTATGTAGGTATTTGAGCTTTTTTTAAAAGTTCCATTGAGTTAAAAAAAAAAGAGGAATGCCCAGGGCTCACCTTGGACTCCTATTTCTTAATTCAGGAGATTTTTAGTTCCTTCAGAAAAAAGAGAATGATGATAAACAAACAACTAAATTCACTCCTTTTGTATTATGAATCATCCTAGGATTGGTAACTTTTAGCTATTAATTTCTGTTTCCTTACATCTACCTCTTTTTCTAGATAATGCAGGTCTTGGAAACAATTCTACTTTGGGAAAACACAAGAGGAAAAGAAGTAAGAGTACATAAATTTTACTTGTTTTTTTGATGTTAAAATGAAGTTATTAATGCCTGGGTTTCATGATCATAATAATAAGTGAAAATAATATGGTCCCACAAAAAATATCCATATCCTAATCACTGGAAGCTATAATGCATTTTCTTCCATGGCAAAAGGGATTTCACAGATATAATAAAACTAAAGACCTGAAAGGGTGGTTATTTTAGACATCTGTGTGCCATCAATATAATCAATTGGCATTAAAAACTGGAGAACAGTTTCTGGCTATGGAGAGGAGAAGTGACTGTGAGAGATACATAGAAATACAAAATTGGTGGCTTTGAAGATGGAGAAAATGAACAAAGATATGGGTAAATTGTAAAATTTGGAGAAGTTACAGAAATAGCTTCTCCTCTACAGTCTCCAGGAAGGAATAAAGGCCTAGTGCAACCTTTGTTTTAGCACAGAGAGAAACTTGAGAATCTTGAGAAAGAAAATAAAGTTGGAAGTATAATGTGCCTTGTATAGCAGTATAAAAGCTGCTTTTAAATTGTACTACAAAGATATAGCAATCAAAACAGTATGGTACTAGCACCAAAACAGACACATAGATCAATGGAACAGCATAGAGATTCCAGGAATTAACATATGTGTTTAAAAAAAGATATAAAGAAAGGTAATTTCTTACAGTGTGCCACATACACACATAGTAAAATATAACTGTAATCAACCTCACACTTCTACACTGGTAGTTATAAACTGGGACATTAAACAAAGCTGATCTCTATGTACTAATGATGATTTGTTTATGTAAGAGAATATAGTAATTGAGTTAGGTACTAAAGAGAAGTAAGGTATCCCTATTTGTTAGCAAAGACATTGATTTATGCATACTGGAATTATGCTAATATTTAGATTAACTATATATTGATCATGTGTAAAGGAATTTTTCCAGGAATTCTAAAGTTATTTCTTCTTTAGATAATTAAATCTGTTCATTTCCTTTGCATACTAGATCCCTATTGATTTAATACATAGAAAGGGTTAAAATAAAAGTGTTTTTTTAATTGTTTTTCAATTATAGTTATCCCCATTGCCCCCCGCCCCCATTACTCTCCCTTGCCCTACCAATCCCCGCATCTCACACTCAATCCTCCACCCCCACTGTCTTTGTCTATGGGTCCTTTATACATGTTCCTTGATGAACCAGCCTCTCCTTTCCCCTGTGTTCCCCTTTCCCTCCCCAGTCTGGTCACTTTTGGTTTGTTCTTTATTTCCATGTTTCTGGTTCTATTTTGCTCACCTGTTTGTTTTGTTAATTAGGTTCCACTTATAGGTGAGATCACATGGTATTTGTCTTTCACTGCCTGGCTTATTTCACTTAGCATAATGCTCTCCAGGTGCATCCATGCTGTCAACTGTGTAAATGCACCATAGTTTTTTGATCCACTCATTTACTAATGGGCACTTATGTTCTTTCCAGTACTTGGCATTTGTAATTTGTGTTGCTGCAAACATTGGAGTGCATAGGTTCTTTTGAATTGGTGTTTCAGGATTTTTAGGGTATAATCCCTGCACTGGAATTTTTGGGTCAAAATACAGTTCCATTTTTTTTCACTTTTCTTTTTTAAATTTTCTAAATACATTTTATTAATTGTGCTAATACAGTTGTCCCATTTTCTGCACTTTATTCCCCTCCACTCTGTATACCTCCTCCCACCTGCATTCCCCCCCAGCCTGTAGTTCCTGTCCATGGGTCATACATATAAGTTCTTTGGCTTCTACACCTCATACTATTCTTAACCTCCCCTTGTCTATTTTCTCCCTACCATTTATGCTACTTATTCCCTGTAACTTTTTACCCTTTCTCCATCTCCACCTCCCCTGCTGATAACCCTCCATGTGATCTCCATTTCTGTGATTCTGTTCCTGTTTTAGTTGTTTGCTTAGTTTGTTTTTGTTTTCTTTTAGGTTTGGTTGTTCATAGTTGTGAGTTTGTTGTCATTATACCGTCCATAGTTTTGATCATCTTCTTTTTCTTAGATAAGTCCCTTTAAGATTTCATGTAATAAGGGTTGGTAATGATGAACTCCTTGAACTTGATCTTACCTGGGAAGCACTTTATCTGCCCTTTCATTCTAAATGAGAGCTTTTCTGGATAGAGTAATATTGGGTGTATGTCCTTGCTTTTCATGACTTTGAATATTTCTTTCCAACCTCTTCTTGCCTGCAAGGTTTCTTTTGAGAAATCATCTGATAGTCTAATGGGAACTCTTTTATAGGTAACTTTCTCCTTTTTTCTTGCTGCTTTTAAGATTCTCTCTTTCTCCTTCTCTTTAATCTTGGGTAATGTAATTATGATGTGCCTTAGTGTGTGCTTACTTGGGTGCAACTTCTTTGGGACTCTGTGAGCTTCCTGGACTTCCTGGGAGTCTATTTCCTTTGCTAGACTGGGGAAGTTCTACATTATTTTTTCAAATAAGTTTTCAATTTCTTGTTCTTCCTCTTCTCCTCTGGCACCCCTATGATTCAGATGTTGGAACATTTAAAATTGTCCCATAGGTTCCTAAGCCTCTCCTCATTTTTTCAGGAATTCAATTCCTGTTTCTCATTCTGTCCTTGTTGGCTGTTTATTTCTTCCTTCTGGTCTAAACCATTGATTTGGTCCTGGTTTCTTTTCCATCACTATTGGTTCCCTGTGCATTTTCCTTTATTTCACTTTTCATAGCCTTCACTTTTTCCTCTATTTTGTGACCATACTCAATCAATTCTGTGAACATCCTGATCACCAGTGTTTTGAACTATGTGTCTGATAGGCTGGCTATCTCTTCTTTGCTTAGTTGTATTTTTTTTTCTGGAGCTTTGATATGTTCTTTCATTTGGATCATTTTTTTTTCTGGTCTGGGCACACCTGTTACATAGTAAGGGGGTGAAGCCTTAGGTATTCCCCAGGGTGGGGCAGCCCAGGTTGCGGCATTGTTGTTGCTGTATGTGGGGGGAGGGGTCTGAGAGGGAACAATGCCACTTGTTCATCTGTCTGCTGGTTTTCAGTCACTTCACCTGCTATCCAAAAGCAAATTGGGCTCTTCTGGTGGTGGTTCCTGGGTGGGGGGTTGTGCATGTTTTAATACCCTGTGGGTCTCTCCAATGAACTCTCCTGTGAGGCTGGGATTGTCTCCTGCCACCCCAACCCTCACAGGTTTTTCAGAGGTTTTGAGGCTTTTTTCCCTGCACTGGAACTCTGGGTTGCTCAGTCTGTCTTGCTTCCCAGTTGTTCCTCCTGGTTTATCTGCATGCAAATGTGGGACTGCACACTCTGCCAGCCACCACCTCACCTGGTCTGCCAACTGCACCTGGCCCGCCCCCATCCTCCAGTCCCTGCCTTGCCATGAGTCCTCTCCACCCAGCTGCCTGTGCCAGCTCCTCCTACCAGTCTGGATGAATATTTGTTCTTTAATTCCTTGATTGTTGGACTTCCATACAGTTCGATTTTCTGTCAGTTTTGGTTGTTTTTTGTTTTTAAATTGGTTGTCCTTCTTTTGGTTATGCGAGGAGGCACAGTGTGTCTACCTATGCATCCATTTGTCTGGAAGTCCTGTTTAGAGTAATTTCTTACAATCCTTTGTATCTCTGTGGTATCATTTGCAATCTCTTCTTTCATTTCTTACTTGTTTATTTGGGTCCTCTCTTTTTTTTTTTCTGGATGAATTTGCTTAAAGGCTTGTCAATTTTGTTTATCTTTTCAAAGAACCAGCTCCTGGATTTATTGATCCTTAGAATTGTGCTTTTAGTCTATATGTCATTTAATTCTGCTCTGATCTTGGTTATTTCTTTCCTTCTAGTCCCTCTGGGCTTTGTTTGTTGTTGTTCCTCCAGTTCATGTAGTTATAGTGTTAGGTTTATTATTTGTAATGTTTCTATCCTTTTTAGATAGGCCTGTATCGTTATGAACTTCCCTCCCAGGACAGCCTTTGCTGTGTGCCATTGCTTTTGGGCTGTTGTGAGTTAATTTTCATTTGTTTCCAGAAACAATTTTATTTCTTCCTTGATCTTATTACTAACCTATTCATTGTTTAATAGCATGTTATTCAGTCTCAATGAATTTGAGTGTTTTTGAGTTTTTTTCCAGTTTCAGTCCCTTGTGGTCTGAGAAAATGCTTGATATGATTTCAATTTTCTTGAATTTGTTGAGTTCCATTATGGTTTTGTGTCCCTTTATATGTTCTATCTTTGAAAATTTTCCATGTGCATTTGAAAAGAATGAATACTTTGTTTCTTTGGAATGAAAGGCTCTATATATATCAGTTAAGTCCATTTGATCTAGGGCATTGTTCAATGCCACAATATCCTTGTTGATATTTTGTTTGGAAGATCTACTCATTTTTGACAGTGGGGTGTTAAAATCCCCTAGTATAAGTGTGTTGCAGTCTGTCTCCTTTTTGAAGTCCTCTAAGGTTTTCCTTATATATTTGAGTACTCCTATATTGAGTGCATATGTTTACAATGTTTATGTCTTCTTGATGGATTCTTCCCTTGAATATTATGAAGTATCCTTCAGTGTCTTTTTATGGCTTTTGTTTTGAAGTCTATTTCATCTGATATATGTATTGCTACTCCAGCTTTTTTTTTCCTGTTTTTTTTTCAGAATATTTTTTTCTAGCCCTTCACTTTCAGTCTGTGTAGGTCTTTTGTTCTGAGATGAGTCTCCTGTAGGCAGCATATGTGTGGGTCATGTTTTCTTATCCATTCAGCTACCCTATGTCTTTTGATTAGAGCATTTAATCTATTTAAAATTTATGGTTATTATTGATAGGTACTTATTCATGTTTTCCTCCTTTGTGCCTGTGTTCCTCTGTCTCTCACTCTTTCTTCATCTTCTTAAAGCAGTTTGCTTACCTCCATTTCATTTAGCTCTTTTACTGGGGACACTTCCATTCTTTTCACTTGTGGGTTCTTTCTTTTTCTCCCCATTTTAGTTGACTCTTTTTGTTTGTTTCTGCATTTCTGGTCTCTTT